GGTCAGGAGCGGCCGCGTAATCGGAGTCGCCGAATTCGGCAGAGGAAGCGGTTTCGAGGCGATCCTCCGTCCGGCGCGCCCTCCGAGATCGTACGCTCACGGAAGCCCAAATATGGGGTAATGTGCGTCGAATTAGCGTCCCCGAGCCGCGACGCCTGGCGTCGTCATCCGTCCCGGCGCGTCCCTCCCGCCGCGTCGCGGCGCGACCCGCGACCGCCGAGAGGTGGGAGGAGTCGGCGATTTTAATGGCGGATTTTTGCGATTCGCCAATCGCGCTCTCCTCCCCCTCCCCCCCCCCCGCACACACGCCCGACCTCGGGCCCCTCCGGCGCACGCGCGCACGCGCGTGGGACTCGGCGCGTGTCGCGTGCCCGACCCCTGGCGGGCGCGGTCTCTCCCTCGCCCTCGCACGCGCCCGATAGCGCCCTCTCTCTCGGCCTATCCGCGCTTTGATCCTAACCTCCCGGCGACCCGCGGGCCCGAGCCTCCTCCGCGGAGAGCGCGAGTCCTCGCGGGCCCCCCAGTGACTCTCATTCGGTCGGCAGACTCCGCGGAGGAGGTCGGAGGAGGAGGTTAAAAGAGATAGAGGGGGTGGAAAGGTAAAAGAGATAGAGGGGAGGAACTAAAGGGTGGGAAGGGTGGAAGGGGCGAGGGGGGATCCAGGAAATGCAAAGTGGTGACGGGGTGAAGCATCGGACTCATCCAGGAGGCAAATAAGAACCGCGTGGCGCGATCGATCGGCAAATCCGGTGCCTAACCCTGCGCTTTTTAACTCCTCCGCCCCGGGTACGGGGATCTTCCGAATACCTTCGACAGTGCCCCTCTCCCGAATCGGCCGGATTAGGAATTTTTATTACCGCTACCTGTCCCGCCCGGATGGGAAATTAATCGCCGCCATGGGTGGCTATCGGACGGCAACGGGAAACGACTTACCGCGGTGATGAATTTTCGGCTCCGAGGACCCTCCCTCGGGGTCGGGCTTCACGAGGGAACTCGGAGTTTCGAGTTTTTCCCGTCGCCTTGAAAGTTTTCCCGCTTTCGAATCGAGAGAAATCCTGAAGTCGGTAAAGCCCTTTTCTGAAGGAGGGGAGGAGGGAATCGTTTCCTCCCGTCGGGGGGGTTCCGAGGCGAGACTTCAGAAATAGGAAATAACGAGCCTCGCGGGGAAGTCGTCCGCTCGTATCTCTTTTTTCTCCCCTTATCGTTTCTTTTACTATTCCCTGATAACGTTATCTCCCTCTTCCCGTGCGCTTCTTTTCCGTGGGCGGTTCTTAGACGGGGGGACACTCTCGCCGCGGCAGGAAATAATTAGAGGCGAGACCGAGGAGGCACCTCGCGACGGGTTCGCGTCACCGTCCCGAGTCCTCGTCGCTACCAGTTTCTAATCTCTCCCGCATCGATAGATCCGAACGCGAGCCGGTCGAGCGTATACGCGCTGGCTCCAGTTACGAGGTGCGCGCGCACCCTGCGCGCGCACACCGCATAGGCGAGTCGCGCGGCGTGCTCGGACGCGTGTTAAGCCCGGTTACGCGCGAGTAGAACGCGACCGCAATTTGTCGCGGCGCGCCGTCCGAGCCGTCCGCTAAAAACTCGCCTTACGTCCCTCTTACGCGCCGGCCGCCTCGGAGGGACTCCAACCCCCCCAGGTTCCTCCGATAGGAGTTCCCCCTAACACGCTGGCGTTATTTCACTGCTGTCACCCGAATATAGAGGACGCGGCTGTCAACGTCTTAAAGTAGGCCAGGTGAGCCTGGAATACAGTTTTAGGCCCAAACAAAATTAACAGGCTTATTTGAATGTTCCCGTGACGCAGACGTTCGTGCCATGTTGGATTTTCTTTGTCGCATTTTGTTTTTAACCTTGGAACCTTGAGCCACAGAAAAAGAAAGTCATAGAAATAGTGAAAAGGAAGATCTTAACGTTATTAAGGACTTTCATTTTGCTCACCGCCAAGGACTACTCCTATCGGTCCCGAAAAATTCTCAGCATAAATACTTCCCGCGTTACACCCGGAAATTAATCTTCCTTAGGGATAATTCCGTGCACCCAGTTTGGGGAAGAGTTTTATAAATATTCTGACGTTTCGATACACATGCCGCCCTAAGGGGATGCGACAGGGGTATCCGAGGGGGCTCGTATACGAAACTTTCCTCCGACCCTGGACCTTCCTTGAAGCCTCCATATTCCGGTATAATAAATATAATAAAAAACGATTCGACGTATCCAGTGCGGAGGAAAGTGTCCCGAACGATCGAGACCCCGCACCCCCTGAACGTAGATAGGAAGATCTCGGCCCCTAATCCGGGATTCCGAGTGGAGGCTCGGCTAATCCCTCGGGACCCGGCTCCAAAAGGAACAGAGCGAGCGGTGCGAACGCAAAGGTCGCCCTCGACACGGGGTCCCCGAGAGCGGTCCGGCGGGCCGACGGGCCGCGGTCGCGCGCTCCACCCACGAGCGGCACAGCGCCGGCCCGGTAACGCTCCGGAAACCTGTTCCGAACCGTTTGAGACTCTCTCTCTCTCCTCTCCGTCTCTATACGCTCATCCGACGGCGTCTCGTCTGCCTCCACCGCCCCCGCGCCGCACCGCGAGGGAGAGGACCCGCGCGAGAAGGATCGACCAGGGGAAGAGGGGAAGGAGAGAAGGGGGCGCGCATGCGCGCGCGCGCGTGCGCGTAAGGGAGGAAGATGGATGGGCCGTCGCGCGAGCGCGTGCGGGAGAGAGCGAGAGGGCGACCCCGGCGACGCACGAGAGCGAGGCAGAGAGGAGAGCGGGACAACGGGAGAGGAGATAAAAGGAGATCGCGAAAGTTAACGACGGAAATCTCGATGAGGGGTAATTTTCCGGGGGAGGGGTGGAAGGACCGCGGAGTGGATTTCTAAGGAACGAGCGGGAAGGATCGAGGAAGAGTCGAGTCTTTACCTACATCGCGGGAACGGTCTAGGCCCGGCTTCGAGAATCGGAGGGAGAGGGGTGGCGGCGGCGGAGGGGAGAGGGAGAGAGAAAGGACGAGAGGGGGAGGCGGGCGCCGAGAGAAGATGCGGGCCCGAGAGAGCGCGACGCACGCTCGGCGGGAGAGAGAGAGAGAGACCTCCGGGCACGGGGTAGGCACACGCCACACGCCATCGTAATGGAATAATGAGGCAAAGACGATAGCAATCGTGCGGGCCGCGCGCGGCCTCTCTCTCGCGCCCCCGCGGGCCGCCTCCCTCCCTCTCCCTCGCTCCCCGCCGAGACGGGCCCGCGCGCGTGCGCGCCGATCCGAAGTGGCGGCCAAGTTGGAGCGAATTGAGCGAATCAGAGCCACATCCGATGAGGTCACCTCGCCGGTTCCTCGCGAGAGGCCGCGGCGTCGCGGCGCGCCGCGACGCGCCCCGCGACGCCGGATGCGGGGCGAGGGGACGACGCGGCAAGAAGCCGCGGCACGTGACCCCCGGGACCGGCGGAGTCAACTCGCTCAAGTAGCCGGACTCTGCCCTCTGACCCCGCCAATTTCGAGCCCCCCTCCCCCACCCCGGAGACGACTCCCGAGAGGTACCTACGTGCGAACGCGTCCGGACGGACGCACGCGTACTCATGTACCCACACTTGTACCTGTGTCCGCGCAAAAAGCCGGGATTCCGCGACAATGATCGCCCTCTTCTTTTTGTCCATCCCCCGGGATAACGATCGAGAAACCGCGCATTCTATCCCCGAGGAGGAGGTTTCGGCGCCGTGGGATCGTTGGTCGATATCTCGTGGGGTACCTCGATAAGAGCGGGTATTCATCCCCGAATTCGCGAGGTGGGCGCGGCGGCCATCTTGGATCCCGGATCGGCGAGAGAGCCTCTCGCGTCCGGCTATTACGAGATTAATGTAATGCCGCTAAAAAGGTGTGTTTGCTCGGCTCGGAAGGTGAGGTGAGGTGAGGCCGCTCGCGCGCCCGGCTTAGCCCACGTAGGATAGTCTGGCCAGATATGGCGTGTGCCGCCGCCGCCGTTTCAGTCAATCGCCCCTATCCCTACTATAGTTGGCCTCCCCGGCCCCTCCCTGCGTTTCCCTCCCTCTCCGCTCTTTCCGTTTTCTTTCTTTCTCCGGAGGAGCGCGGAGGCAACCTCGTATCTTTATTCGGTCATGCAAGGATCCGCGAGCGTCCGGTCGCCGGCGGTCGCCGGCCGTCGCCGGCCGTCGCCGTGTCGCAAGGGAAGCCCGGTCACCGGGGATCGCCGCCATCTTCGAGACCCCGGAGGACGAGACGGGGGCTTTTACCCCGGAAACGAAGGGAGGCGAGGGGGATCTCTCGATCCCCCGGGTGAGGTCGAGCACCGCGTCGACGGACCCCTTGACGGGGGAGTGCGCCCCGCGCGTCGACGGGACCGTCGCTCCGAGGGAATCCGAGAGAGAGAGAAAGAGACGGAGAGGGAGCGAGAGGGGCTTGCTCCTGCGGGGGTGCGCCCACGCCGGGTGACGTCACCCGGCGAACGTCGTCCGTGTGTCGCGGAGGGGGGCGGCGCGCGGAGGGGGGCGCGCCGCGGAGGGGAAGCGAGCGCCGGTGGCGGGGAAGGAATGAATGGAGATCGCGGACCATGCGGGAGAGACGGATGGGTTGACCGAGAGGCCCGAGAGAAGGAGGAGACCTCGCATAGGTAACCACCGTCAACACAGTATCGGGAGTAACCCCGGGGTGATGTCGACGACACGTGACGCCGGCGGATCGCACCGCTCCGAGCCGAGACGCGCCGACTCTCGGTCCGTCGACTGCGAGCGCGTCCGGGCGCGCTAGTGCAGCGCGCGCGCCCGAGGACTCCGCGCCCGGAAGCGACCGCCACCGCCGCCGACCCTTGCCGACCGCCTCCGACCGCCGCCGACCGCTGCGACCGCCGCCGACCGCCGCCGACCGCCGCCGACCGCCGCCGACCGCCGCCGACCGGCCGGCATGCGCCCGGCCGACGGGTCGCCGACCGCCGCCGACCGCCCTCCGGCGCGCAACGACCTGGACTAGGGGCACGACCGCCGGAAAAGATGCTGGCCCTCGCGATGCGACGCGAACACCCCACAGGACGGGGCGGCTTCGATCCCGCCAACCCCCTCGCGGGCTTCGAGCACCTCCAGCAGGCCGGCCCCTTCGGCGCCCCTGCCGACCGCCTCCGCGACCCCGCCAACCCCCCGGAGAACGAGCCCGAGCTCCAGGAGTTCGTCGACATCGCTCAGGTGCAGCAGCTGCTCCAGCAGCAGCACCACCAGGACCAGCACCAGCAGCAGCCCGCCCCCGGCGCCGGCGCCTCCTGCGTCTGGGGCGCCGTCTATCCGCCCCCGCCGCCCGCCATCGGATATCCTCATCTCCATCACCACCATCATCACCCTCCACCCCCAGGTAATACCCCGGCCCTGTCTTCCTATTTTCCGCTCTCGAGCCTCGAGTTCACTCGCTTTGTGCGGTTCCGTCGACCCGATTCTCGAGTTCGTCCCGTCATGTTTCGCGGACGACTTTCCGTTGACCGATTACGCGGTTTTGAGACGATGCGGAATTTTTCCTTTCAATTTATTGGGAAATTAGGAAATCTGTACGAACTCGAGGATGGGGCGCCGGGAGCGAGCTTGCTCGTCACCGTCGGAAAGCCCTCGCGGAATGCCGACTTTCCGTACTAACGCTGACGGCCGATCGGGTGCTTTTGCGATTCGGAGATTGGGCACGCGCGACCGACTCCGATGGGGGAGATTTTGCGCTCCCGATCCATCGATAATTATCGATCGATCGCGCGATGACTGGAATACCTGGAGACGGTATTTCATGGGTGTGTCCTCTGCCGTCGCCGCCGTCGCTGGGCCGGGCGAGACCAATAAAGGAGTGCTCGATTTTCCCTCGGAGTTTCCTGCGATCGAGAAATCCCGCTAAGTGGTATCCTTCCATACTTTCGGCAATTTTCTTACGGTGATCATTTTTGGAAATTTCGCCTTCGGCTCGCGCGGAGGAAATCCGAGGCTTTCGAGAGACGTTTAGAGCCGCTCGAAGCGAGCGACGGCCCCGTCGGGGCTGGTCGACGGAAGTCGGATAACGCGAGATAACCGAAGGCCCGATTTCACGGCCGGAAAACCGTTCTTTTTCGTTGGACCCTCCGACACGTGTCGCAGGTTCCACGATTCATGATTCTGGATCTGACATATAAATCCTGAGGGAATCTAATTCACGCGGTTAAATTTGCACCTATCGATTTGCCCAGTTTCTACGTGGCGACCTATCGTTCGTCGGGTGGAAAATCTCCGGAAAATCGAGGGATTTGTTCTGACGTCCCGAGAGTTTTTACCATTCTTTGGTCATTTCTTATACATCTTCGCTCTTAGAGTTCTCGACGCGGTTCTTCTTTCTATCGCGCCGTTAACTCGCGATTTTTGCGATTTTTTCTCGAAAAGAGACATTCGGAACGGACTCCATTCCCGCTCCCCGTTGCCCAAATGTTCCAAATGACGTCACTCCAGTTTCTGGATGACGACACGGTCGCGAGTGTCCACTCTTGCTCGGTCCTCGGATTTGTCGTCGGGTCCGGGCTCCTCTTACGCAGTGTCGCAACTATAATAGGTAGAGGAGGCTCCCCTCTCGCGAGTGTCCGCACTGTCCCTCTTCGCTTTTCAATTTCCTCCCCACCTTCGGATGAAGCAAACTCGGAGAAAAATTGCTACATCTCCAAGAGTCGGCATTCCCTCTGTCTCTGAAATTTTTCCGATTTTCTTTTAGCTTAGATATCCGCACTTGTGCTCCCTCGATTAGTCCATCGTTTATTTTCACACGGTCGGTAATTAGACTAGCGATCGGTTATATGCCTGGCCCCTTTTCGTACCTCGTACGTGAAAGGAATAAAACCCCCCACCGACTTTAACTCAAAGTTTCCATTTTCGTTCGCGCACCAGGGAATCCTGAAAATCTGAGAAATTTCCACAGCGTTACTCCGCTTTTCCGAGGCGCGAAAGCGGGCCAAGTCTTCGGCCGGCCCAGATAGCACTCCGAAAATACCCGTTCCAGCTATTCGGAGAGCACGTACGTCGGGCGCGATTTTTCGGGAACTTCTTACGAATTTTTTGACGTTAGGTCCCGCGCGATCAGCTGATCGGCCGTCACGCGCCCCGCGCGCCTCGTCGGGTTCCGCGTTATGGTCGCCGTTACGACCGCTGTTACGGTCGTCGTCACGGTCGTTGTTACGACCGCCGTCACGGTCGTCATAAAAAATGACGTCGGCATCTGTGACGAAACGATCTCGCTTCGATTTGTGCGTAGATTCGCCGAAAAATCGGGACTTGATCGAACAGCTGATCGACCGTCACGCGCGTCTCCTCGGGTCCCGCGTTACGGTCGTATTTACGACCGCCGTCACGGTCGTCGTCCCGAATTACGTCACCGAGTGGTGACGAAACGACCTCGCGCCGATTCGCGCGTAGATTCGTCGTAAAACCGGGGCCGTAACCCGCCGACGTCGCAGCGGACCCGGGAAAAGTCGCGATTAGCCGCGAAGGTGGACGCACGTGCTCGCGCGCCCTCACGTGCGCCGATACGGCGTGGGTGCCGATAAGGCGGAACTGTCAAATCTCCACACGTGGCTCTGACGCGATCGAACGCTCGCCGATCCAACGCGCACTCGCTTTTACGAGCGCGGCCACGCGCGAGTAGAGCCGCGCGAATCGCTCGTGATAAGGCCCCCGCCCCGCGGTCCCTTATCGCGGATAGAACTTCCGCGAGAAAAACCACTGGAGTATTGGGTCGTTGGATATAAACATTTATATTTCATCGCTAATTTACGGGGAACCTCCGAAACCGGTGACTGGATTACGACCCTCTGGATTAAGGGAGGGTGGATGTGGCATCTAAGGGTTCAACCGTTCACGAGTCGTTTCAAAGATTACAACGTGAATGCGAAGACTATTGGGAAGGTAATGCCCACGAAGCTTCCTTTTTTAATAAGAAGTTTTGTTAAATATCTGTAAATAATTTTGAAAAAATAGGAACTCGAGAATAGGGTTTGTGGGTATTTATCGAAGTCGAGCTCGCTAACCGGGCGTCGCAAATCGGGCGGAATCGGCGCCAGCTTCCGGGGGCGGAAGATCCCGCCCGGGGCGCTCGTGCGGCTCTCGAAGTCGCGCAAAAACCTGGCTCGAGCCCGCGTGACTCACCGCCGATCCAGCCGGATCGCCGTTGGGCGTGTAGGAAGGAGGCGGGCACGTAGGCAGGAGAGGTACAGTTAGGCCCTGGGAGGTACTCGGGTACCCGACTCGCGTATCGAGGGTGCGACTTTTTTCCAAGCCGGTCGCGTGCCAGAAAAGGGGGAAAAAAGGTGTCGGGAGCGTCCACGAGGGAAACGGTCCCGACTTCGTGTACCTCGAGGTCCGATCACCTCGGCCACACTTAGCGTGACATTTCCAAACTACGATCGATTGATTCAGAATCACCGGAATGAAAATAAAGTTAATCGGAGATTAACATCCGCAGTTCGGTAATCGACGCCAGGTGATAAACTTTAATCCGCGACTAAGGATTTTACCTCGAACGTCGGGGCGACCGACCTCAAGGCGCGGAAAGTCGAGGTCGACGAGACGGGGCGTAATTCACCCTCGGTGGTCGATATTAATTTTTCAAGGGGAAGGGGGCATCGTCCAGGAGGGACACGTGCGTAGTCGGGGCTCCTCGAAGGGGCGCAACGTCCTCCGTCCCGCGATCGAGGGTGAGGGGGTGCAGGCTCCGGGCTCGATCTCCGCGTGACTCACCGCGGGAGGAGTCACGTTGATATTTGGGGATGCTGGGCTCAGGTGGTTGCGTGGCGGCCCGAAATACCGGGGCTCGCCCGCGCAAACCCGACGCGACTCGCGCCGCGAATAGCTCGCGCCCACCGCCTCCGAGGGCGGGGTAATTTTAGATTTTGTTGTGCTCCGAGCGTACGTCGCGCGCGTCGCGCGCGTCGCGGCCGGGTGGGCAAGGAGCCGAGCGAGGCGCGTGGCGGCGCGCGTCGCGGCGCCCCTAATAGGGCGTCAGGTGGTCGCGCGGGCCCCGAGAGGAAGGAGGCGCCCTCGGGCGCGGGGGGCTCCGCGGGCCGACCCGCGCGCCACAGGTGTCCGCGGCGAAAGACGGGGGCGGGCCCGCGCGCCCGTATTTATACCCCCGGGGGCGCGCGCCACCCGAGCCGGCGGCTCCTCGGCCGGGTCCGCTATTTCGGGAGTCGGGAGCTCGGCCGCGATCGGGTGTCGCCTCGGGGCGAGATCGGGCGGCGCGAGGATCGATCGGGCGGCACTCGGCCGCTCGGGCTCGCGCGAGGCGGACGGGAGGTTTTCCGCGTAACGGGCGGCGGTTTCCTGGGCCGCGCGCGCTCGCCGCCACCCGCCGCCCCTTGGCGCGCGGCGGGCGACGGCGGCGCGCGCCGCGACCGACGTCACGGCTCGACGTCACTGGCGAACGGCCGCGGGAGGGGGCGCCGCCGGGTGGGGGGAGCCCGAGAGGAGAGCGGCGGCGAGCGCGCTCGCACACGGACGGCGCCGCGGAGCGGGGATTGGCCGGCGGTCGCTCGGCGCTTCCAAATATGGGACAGTCTCCGCGGTCCATTCATAAAACTACGGGGCGCGCCGCGGCTCGGCTCAGTTGGTGCGCGACCCCCACGCATCGCGCGTCCTCTGCACGTCCCGCGCCCGTATCCTCTAACCCGGTCCCGCGCGCGCGGGTGGCCGCGCGCACAGTCTCGGCTCGCCCGGACCCGCGCCCCCGCGGACGGTCGGACGCCCACGCGCGGCCGAGCGCCCCGTCGACGCCGCCCGCGTCGCCCGTCGTCCGTCGTCCGCCGCGGGCGGGCGCCCATGGCGCGGCCGCCCATCGATCGCGAGGTCTGACGCCGACCGACCGCCGACCGACCGCCGACCGACCGCCGACGAGCGCGCGATCCAGGGCCCGCAATAATTGCGTCGACCGACGATTCGACCCTAGGCGAGGTTGCGTGCCCGGCCGAGGAGGCCCCCGGGGACTCGCTCCAGAGGATGACGATGGACGGGATGGAGGTCGTGGGCTCGCAGACCCACGCGGCCGCCAGCCCCTTCCTGCTCTCGTCGCCGCCCCTGGGCCACCATCACCACCACCACCACCACCACCACCACGCGACCTTCAACCTCCAGGCGGTCCAGCTGAGCTTCGACGCCTGCCTGCCCTACAGCGCCGCCACCTCCGCGTCCGCCTCGGCCGCCTCCCCCGGCGCCGCCGCCCCCGGGCCCAAGGCCGCGCCCTCGCTGGCCCTGCACGCGCACCACGCCGCCCCCGGCGACGGCCCCGACCCGCCGCACCACCTGCGGCACCACCTGCAGCGCCTCGACGACCGGCACCGGCGCCCCGACGGGCCGCCCTCGCCCGCCGACCCCGAGCGCGCCGACGGCGAGCGCGACGACGACAAGGACGCCGCCCGGCCCGACGACCGCGACCCCCAGGACAAGGACAAGCCCGGCGACCTCAACACCCCCGTCACCACCAGCAGCGACCTGCCCTCCTTCTTCGGGCCCTCCGCCCTCGTCGAACCGCCTCCGATCTCAGGTACTGACCCGGAGACGTCCCCGTAGGAGTCGGACTTCGCCTAGAGGTCTCGTCGTCCCCCGCAGCAGGCGCCGCGGTTGCGTCTCCGCCTTCGAGGAGAGAGACTCGGGAACGATGCCGTCTCTCTTGCCTTTGCATTTCTTTTATTTTCTTTTATTTTCTTTTATTTACGGGCTTTCGCGAAAATCGATGCCGTCCGAAATTTAGTATCGAGCGAAGCCGGTCTCGGTCTCGGTCTTGCAGCTTGTGCAAGGGCAAACTCAATTTTGGTATCACGGCCTTAGTCTCGAGTTACTTTTCCAAAGCATAAATCGCTCGGCCCCGGTCGTATATTTTTTAAGGCCAGGATCGATTTCGCTCGCCACTGCCGAAATCGTCCGAGGGCCCGAAATTTCCACGGCGACCTTGACCATGACCATACCCACACCTGCCCCCTCTTCTAGGAGGCGCGACCCCGCGAGACCCCGGGCGTTCAAGGTCGCGCCACCGGCGTCGGGACGCGCACGAGGTGCCGGGCTGACGTACGTCCCCCTCCGCGCCCTTCGAGCCCCCGCGGCGCCTTCCCCTCCCCCCGCGAAATGGCTAATGTCGGACTCGCGATCAATACTCGGCGACCCCGACATTCGGAGACCCTCTCCTTTCCCGATCACTCCCCGCACCCCCTCCCCCGCGTTCATTCATGCTTCCACCCACCCACCCACCACCCACTCACCCTCCGCGCGCCGATAACCCGGCAACCCTGACTTTCCGTGGCGCACTTTCGCCTTCCCGACGCCGCTTTACGGGGGAGGCCATCTTTTTCTTTTTTTCTCTCTTTCTCTTTCGGCTTTCCGATTTTTCCCGAATTTCCGGATTCTCGTTTATCGAAGCGCTATGCATTACCGATAGAGATGTTCCGCTCCGATATCGGCCGGTATCGGGATCCGTTTCCGGAGGGACTGACAGGCCGGTTAGCGGACACGCTCCGCGGGGTAATGGAATGGACGTGCCGATCGATGCGATTACCGTGACGCCACCGACGTGCGTGCAATCCGCGGCTACAGGTTGATTGATATCGAGGACTGGTCGAGGCTTGAGCTTCGGTCGTGTAAACAATGAGGGGCGCGTGGATACCAGTCGTAATGAAGCGGTGGCGGGGAGAGGCGCCGAGGACACCTTTGGAGATTTCATCGAGCGGGTCGATGCGATATCGGTCTTGGTCTTGTAGTTTCGGTCTTCGGGTTTTGGTCGTGCACTTGTTTACCTTATTGTACTCGTCTAGCAGTCTTGGTCTTGGTCCTGGAAAAAGTGCGATCGTGCTAGATCGTAGGACTAAGATCGATCTTGCTGGCGTTGCGTCTCGGTCTTGGGAAAAATACGAGGGGAGGAGGCCACGACCGATTTATTTCGCCATCGAGGGCAACCCGGGCAGGCAGGCTCGGGATCCGACGATTGTCTCCGGAGAGTCTCTCCGTTGACAATTAGCGCACCGAGGCGCGAGGGCAGGAAGTCAGGTCGGCCGGAAACGCACTACAGATAGGCCAGGTTAGGTTAGGCCGGGCGGGGCGTGCCAGTCGGCGATAAAGCAACCCCTATCAGCTGGCTTCCGGGCCGCGGAGCGCTCGTCCACGATTCGGAAGGCCGCGGTCGCTCCTCTCTTATCCGAGCCCTGACGTTGCTTGCAGGTAGCCTGGCGGGCGAGGACCTCTCCCTGGAGGAGGCCACGGTAGAGGAGGACGATGCAGGACCGGCGAGTCGGGACCACCATCAGCAACAGCAGCAGCAGCATCACCATCACCAGGAGGTGCGCGACGTGGGCCAACAGCCCAACAGTCCCAGGCACCACCAGGACGACCCCGAGAGGTGCAACGTCCTCCAGGGGGGCGTGATCCTGTACTCCGCCCCGCACTCGGCGCCCTCGATCTCCTCGGCGCCCTCGACCAGCGTCAACATCTGCAACGTTCCCACCCTGACCTACCGGGGGGTCTTCACGACGACCTGCACGCAGTCATCGCCGTTGAACCCGCTCCAGACGCAGCAGCAGCAGCAGTCCTCGGCGAGCCAGGAACTCTGGAGCTCGCTGCCCTCGCCGACCCTGACCCTCTCGGGGCAGCCCTTCCTGCACCCCTCTCTTCACGCCTCTCCCTACTCGGGGGAGACCGTCGAGCTCCTCCAGGTCGAATCCAAGCCCCCGGCCCCGCCGGGGTACCACGAGACCCCGACCTCCACCTCCGCCTGGCTGACCCCGCACGAGGAGGCCTACGATCCCAACCTCCTGGGCCACCACCCGCACCCGCACCCGCACCACCACCACCATCACCACCATCACCAGGAGGCCGCGCTCAAGCAGGAACCGGTCCCTGCTGCCGGGTACAACGCCAACGTGCAACAGCAGCCGCAGCAGCAGCAACAGCAGCCCCAGCAACAGGGCACCACCAGCTCCACCGGGGTGCAGCTCGCGGAGTACAACCCCAGCACCTCCAAGGGGCACGAGATCCTCTCTCAGGTGTACCAACAGAGCGCTTTGCCGCTCAGGCTCGTCCCGGTCAAGCCCAGGAAGTACCCCAACCGACCCAGCAAGACTCCCGTCCACGAGAGGCCCTATGCTTGCCCCGTCGACGGCTGCGATCGCAGGTTCTCCCGCAGCGACGAGCTCACGCGGCACATCCGCATCCACACCGGGCAGAAACCCTTCCAGTGCCGCATATGCATGCGCTCCTTCTCCAGGAGCGACCATCTTACCACCCATGTACGCACTCACACCGGGGAGAAACCGTTCTGCTGCGACCAGTGCGGCAGGAAGTTCGCCAGGAGCGACGAGAAGAAGAGACACGCCAAGGTGCACCTCAAACAGAGGATGAAGAGGGAGGCCACGCACTCGAATTCAAGGAGCCACCAGCAGACCCACGCCTCGCCCACCTGTAATCAGTGATCGGCATCGAACCTGGACATCGCCCGGGGAGAGACCCGCCGGCGAAGACCCACCTCGCGCCGATGACTTCCTCCAGAGGAACTTTCTGCCTTTTCGTGTCTTTCGGATCTGTCCGATCGTCCTTTCCCCTGACCGTGTCCCGGACACGTTAAACCCGGTCGCTCCTCCCCGCTGCGAGCATCCTCCTCCCCTTGTCCTCCTCCTTATCACCCGTCGCCTATCACTCGCCTCCCCTGTCGCAGCGCCGACCACCACGCCATCTGTAATTATTATCGTGATCATTGTTATTGAATGGGAATTCTCGTGTGTACATATGTATATATATACCGAGTCACATGGATAGGTACGTTGTTGTAGGTATACATAGGTATATATATATATGATTATATGCGCGCGGGGCGCGGGGACGCGCTTCACGGGCCTCCGTAACTAAATGGTGGACTCTCGCGATTCCCGATTCTCTTTCGAATTTATCCCGTGAAGCACGACGCGAAGAGCTCGGGGCGTCTCGGAGGAGATCGAACGTCCTCCATATTTTCTTCTCCGTTCATTTCTTATGCCGGAATTAAAATGGCTCCATCTTGAAATACTCGATTCTCGTAAAAGTAAAAGAAAGTACACCCGTTGGGTGTTTTTTTTTTTTTTTCGCGATATTAAGGTCTCGTCGAAATTGGTCATCGCGGTGAGATCATTCGAGGGTTAAGGGAGGAATCTTGAAAGGCATTTTTGACAATGGAGAACGAATGGGGACGCTCGATTTCCTCGGTGCTCGCCGAGGACGGTTTTCAGGAATCGTTAGAATCCCTGCAATTCTCGGCTGCTTTTACCCTTTGGCTAGGAAAAGCGCCTAAAGGCGTCCGACGTTTGGTCCAATATTGCCTGCACGGTTAGAGGAATTTCGTCCATATGTCGATATGGCACCGTGTTCAAAGGGGGAAGGCGCTTCGAGCTCCGACGGGGTTTCGAGGGAAACCCGTGCCCTTCGCGAAACCGCGGAACTGCAAGTTCGCGTCGGCATTGCACGCGTTTCTAAGTGGCGAAGCCGAAGCCGCGACCAAGTGTCTTTCAACCGCTCAATGTAGCCTCGTAGGACGGGCCCGAGCCCGGAGAGGTTTTCTATTCGCACCCGGCGAGCAATTACCCTCGAGAATCGAAACGTCCAATTCGGATCGAAGACAATCCCTTGACGCCGCCGCGAATTCCTCGCCCGATAGAGAGAGAGAGATTTAACCCCTTGACGCACAGATTTGTTGAAAAAACCCGGCCAAAAAAATCAATGTTTCTTTTTTTTAAACACTAGAACATTGCCTTGGCAAAAAAAATATAATTCTCGATTGTATTCGAGGGTGGAAAATTATAGTAGCATAAAATACAACGCCCCTCGAATTATCTCGAGTGTGGACAGTTTGGCCGTTTAGCGCACTCGAATTAACTCGAGCCCACTAGTTAAGGGGTTAAGGCGCTACGAAAGTCGTCGACCGCTCGTGAGGACTTTTCTCCAAACCGAGTCTACCGAATCTTTCGTAACGTTGTCATGTTAACGGGTAGGCCCCAAGGAAGGTCTCCCCACCCATGAATTCTCAATTTCTTCGTGAGTATCTTTAATTAATTATATGTTAATAAAACGTCGCATTGTTGAGGACTTTGCGGCCTTCCTTGGGGCCTCCACATTCGCCTGGGGGAGTCTCGGAAGGTGCTCGGCTCCAGCGAGCGATTAACTTATTTAGGGTGGATTTCGCGATTCCGAGGTGGCGAACCGGATAGAAAAGGAGAGAGCGAGCTATCTTTTGCACGGCGAGTGAGAGAGACGCCGCAGATGTGCAATCGGGAGGTCCGTCTCCCTCTTGGGGTTTCCTCTTTACGCAGAGGCCCGCGTCGTTTTCTAGATTATCGATTTCGCGCCGATTAATATTATGTATATGTTGCTCTATTTATTAACACGACGTGTATGTACATATACACAGATATACATATTATACATACATCTCTCTCAATCCATATATATATATATACATACTGTTAAAGTGAAATCATTATTTTTATTACGTCGTCGGTGGAACACAACGTGCGTTGCGTTATAAATAAAGCGCGCGGGCGCTACGAGAGTATGCGTGTTACATGTCTATACACATATATACGTATATGTGTATACACGTGCGGCCATTTGGAAATATATATACATATATATATATATGTATGAATCGCGCACGCGTCCCGAGGTGTCGATCAGTTTTTCTACGCGCGAGGATCTATCGTATCGATATGTGTTAACTATTAACGATTTAAACCGCAGGTGAGACGCGCGGACGGTGCTCCGAGTGCAACGCACTTAAAAAAAGTAAGGAAAGAGATTAAATAAAATCGAGTCCAACTACCTGTAATTCGCGCGGCGAGTCGAGGGCGGGCCACGCTCCTACGATAATCAATTAACAGAGAAATACAAGTTAACGAGATGAACCGTACTCGGGTGGATTTATTCGACGAGGCCCCTACTTGGTTTAAGTCAAACGCCTATTCTTTGAATTAACGTTTTACTAACATTTCACCAGGATAGGGGGTAACGGTCGGTGCACACGCCTCACCAGTTATCACCTCGCGGCCCTTATCGGCCCCAAAGTCTGGGATCTTCGGATCTCGGGTGAGCATCGATTACTCGACGGGCACGCGCTCGTCGGCGCGCGCCGGCGAATGACTCGCTCTTGGGTTAGTCTCCGGCGGCGCTTTCTCGGCCGAGAAGACCCAATATCTCTCTCTCTCGAGACCGACTCTCCATCGGGCACGAGCCTCCTCTCTCGTCTAATGCCAATCGAGTCGAATTCAATTCCATTCGATCCCCCCTCGGCGGGATGGCCGCGGACGTGTCCGGCATTCGTGGGGCCGATCCTCCTTTTTTAACGGCCCCTTTTTACGAGTCTACCAACGCCTATCCACCTGGTCTCGCAGGCAGTCGGGACGGATCCGTCGATCGCCGATTAACTGTCCGGGGACCACCCAGGAACGACTGCATAAAGACACCTGGGAAGGGAAAAGATAACGCCGTGAAACGAGAGAAAATAAGAGGAGGCGCGGGTTTACCCTTGTTCTCGCCCCGTCTTTTTATATCGGAATAGATAACGCGGAGATTTACACCTGGGCCCTGATAGGGGGACGGCTTGTCGCGCCTTGTCCCGAGAAAGAGACGTCCGGTTCCCGGTTTCTAGGTAAATCCGGACTCTCCGGTAATCGAGGACCTCGACGGGGATTCGGCCTCCCGATTTGGCGATCGGCTCCGCTCGGCCTCCGGATTGGCCGGGATTAGGAGCCAATTAAGGTGATATGAAAGGGTCATTCTATATACATATATGTCTAAACTGAAAGTGAAAATATTTATCAAGCTTTTCTCCAAACTGGGTGCACCGAATTATCCGAAACCTTACCCACGTCATTATGGAGTCCCTAAGGAAGAACGCGAATAATGACTCGGTGAGCCCAGTTTGGAAAATAATTTTATAAATATATTGACGGTTTGATATGTTTAGAATGAACATTTCGTAACACCTTAAGGGCGCCGAGACAGCCGTCGATTCGCAGAAACTTCCTGGAAGGTGCGCCGAAATAGAGTCATACGCCAATTAACTGTGCATCATGCCGGATGATTAACGCGACACCTCGGGGTCGAGACATTTCCTTCGATGTTTATGCTAAATCGAGCGGTCTTGGGCGAAGAAATGGTTTCTTCTCGTTTCTTCGAGCGGAGACGAACCTCGCCGTGTTCTATCTTAATGCGGCACGAGTTAGCGAAATTGACGAATTCCTGCTTCTGGATCAAGAATCGCGGCGGCAAGACGAGGTCTAGTGGCGGCTGCAGCTCTTGGCTCGTTTCTTTTTCTTTTTACTCCAGAGGTGGTTTTTATCGGGATTAAATTTTTTTACCTGTTCACTCGGATCGCAGAGACGTACGTTCTTCCTAGTCTGGAACGTATTGCGCAGATTATCCCAAGAGATTAGAGTTTCTGCTTAAAATAAACCTTTTTAATACTCGTCGTCGCAGGAACGTAATTTCTTCCTAACCTAAAACGGACCATTTGAGGTATCTCTGAAAATTACGGAATTTCTGCTACCATACGAACCCTTCACAGGTTAATCCTCGCAGGGACGATGTACCTAACCTAGACCGTGCGAGTTAAATATCGTAATTGCCGAATTCCTTCGGTGGGTGATTAAATAACGATTCCCAGCCGGGCGGCGTCGGGATGACGCAAACCGACGGAGTCCTCCGCGGACGATTTGAAGATTTTGGACCACCCTGTACCCCGAGAGGCTTGCAATGGTACATAGGTGTACCTACGAGAGACAGTGCGAGAAGTGGGCAGGAGTGAGGCTGTGAGAGCACGTCTATAAATAGGCCCAAGACCGAGATGAGGCCTCCTCTGCACCTCGCGGTCTCCCAGCCTCCCTCGCCTTCTCTCGCTCGGCGTCTCTCTCCCACCAACGGTCGCGGCATAGCGGGGTCCTTCTCGGCGCTCCGCGGCCGCCTCCCTCGCGCCCGCCGCGCACGCGCAGGCTGCTCTCTCTCTCGCACGCCCTGCGCGCGCGCATGGTGCCTTCTCGCTCGCACCCCCCACCCCTCCGCGGCGACTCTCGCTCACGGCATCTCGAGTGCGTGGCGCGCGAGAGAGACGCCCGCATTCGGCCGGCGGACGGGGGAGAGAGAGGACGACGCGCACCTATATACGTGTGTACTCGGCGGAAAAAAAATGGAGAAGGCAGTTGCCACCCGCCCGCAAGCACCGCCGTTCCCGGAGCCGACTTTCGACGCGGCCTTTTTCGACGCTCCCGAAACCCGAGAGGTCCGTTTTCGATTTTCGCCCGCCTTCGGGAAATCGGCCCGGCGCGTGCGCCCGACTCCGAGAGGCGACCTGGAAGGTCGATTACGATACGCATCGACCCTGGAGGTATCGATAATTGCCCGGAATGGGACCGGCGAGGGGATCCCCGAGGAGGCCCTTGCAGGGAAACCCGATCGATGCGGCGAGATGCACCTCTTGGGATGTACGCACTTTCGCTCCACCCGGACACTCTAAAAATATTTAGGAGGCCGACGGAGACGAGGCGAGCCCGCCACCTGCCGCGGCCGATCCGAAAAGGCGGGTTTTCCGAAAATCCGAAACTTTACGTCCCCTTTGAATTTCCACCTACCCGTGCATCCACGATACCCTCGTCGAGTCGATACATACTTTTATACCGAATATTTTAAGATACACTTTTGCCCTTTTAAATCGGATACAAACATATTTCTTTCGTTCGGTAAATTTTTTTTTTTTTTAGAGAGCAGATGCTTTCGGAGGACCTCAAAAGCGGGCACCCATCCGGCGCAAGAGCCGGGCCGACGAGGTTTAACTCGAGCGGCTTTCCGAGCGAGCATTCCCGCCGGGAGGCCGGTCGGTCCGCCTGCCACACCCGGGCGCGATTAAACCTGTTGCCGCTCGTAGGCTCGGGGCCTGGCCGGGGATGCAGAAAGAATATCGGTACACTCGAAATATCGACACCTCGCCTCCCGCGGGCCTGCCTACGTGCCTCGGAAAACGCGTCGCCGCGCCGCGAGCGCGCGGCCACGCCCGCCCCGTCTCTCCTGGACCGCCAGGGATGCTGGAGAAAAAAACAATCCCCCCTATCCCCTACGTCCGTACATCCGATACCGTCCTTACAGACCCGAATATAAATATCGCATCAATTCGCATAGAAAATGGTGTAGACATTCGGCGAGACGACGGCTCGCGAGAAAGAGAGAGAAGAGAAAATGAACCTGACCTCTACGACCAGGGAAATGATTTTAGGATTTGTCAAGTTACGATTCGTAAAGGCTCTTTCAGTAGTTGGATGTCCCCTCTAGAGACTGGGGCCTGTTTCGGGAATTTCTCCGCGTGTAGGGGTATTTTACCCGATAAAATTCTCCTATTAGGCACAGGAAGACATGGTGAAATTTCAGATTAATTAATCTTATTTTTATTTAATTAATATTCATCAATTTCATGTACCGAAATCTGGCGGCGAGTGCTCGGTGCCGTTCGCCCATGTTTTTTTTAAGCGTTTCGCGTAAAACTGCCGAGTTTCCTGATTTAGGTGGCGAGTGCTTATATCAAGGGTCGAGGAGAGACATTTTCTCGGTTTAAGTCTCCTCTTTGATCCGCCTCGGCGGTACATCCGCCCGCGACTGCATGCCGCAGCTCGGCCGTGACCGTGACGAGTTTCGAGGTGCACACCCTCGCCACGTGGGCCGACGTGGACTGACGAGGACCGACGCGGACCGTCGGACGCGATCGATGCGACTTCCAACGCGTGACGTAACGTCGCCGCTCGTTGCACTTGCACCCGCACTCGCCTTTCGCTTTCCAACGGCCGCCCCCCGGCGGGAGGACCTGCGACCTCCCGGACCGCAAACTCTTTTCCACGCTCCACGGTTTTAATTTTCTTTTCCCATCCCCCATTTCACCGGAATAAATCCAAACCCCATCGCGATCCCCGAGGATCCACCGAGGCGAGAGGATCGAACTTCCGGTTCCTCCCCCCACGAATCCGCGTAAATCCTGGACGATAGGTCTCGTCGGAGAGCTGGCGTCATTGCGCGTACCCCCCACGAAGGAGGCTCTCGAATTACGCGGAGCACGTGACGCCATCGAGGAAGCAATTATATCCGGATGCCGGTCGGACCCACCCCGTCGAGGGTTAAGGTCGAGGAGATCCGCGGATTCCTCGGGGAGAGTGTCACGAGGGATCCTTGTGACGCAAAGGACGGACGAGGGAAGGGGGATCGTCGCGCGGTGTCGGTAAAAATGTCACCGGGGAGTCGCGAGGCTCCCTTCGAGTCGCGCCACCTCCCGGGGTTAAGGTCGGCGCCCGGGCGCGAGTGACGCAAAGGCGCCGCGGCAGGGGCGGGGGCGTCCATTGAGGCGTCGGCACGTGTGCGCCGGGGGGCGACGCGGGGGTTGCCTGGCAACCGGCGCGCCGCCGCAGGTTGCCCCTGGCAACCGTTGCGTCACCGTGGCGCCGCGTGACGTTACGCCGCTAGTGACCTTGACCGTCCAGCACCCCCCGGCCGGCGAACCCACCCCGCGGGCCAGCCACCCCTCGCGCCCCTGTAACCCCCCACCAGGCGGCGCGCCGCTCCTTCGCCACCATTCACTCGACCATCCATTCATAAGCCCGGCCGCCCTGGAGGGGCGCGAACGGACCTGGGGAGCGCTCGCATCCCGCCACCCCTGGTCCCCGTCGATCCTTTCGGCCAATCTTGAAACCTCCTCCCTACCCCGTTTCTCGATGCTTCCTTTCCTTATTTCGCACGCCCGAGAGGAAGGTCGACTCAAGGCCGAGTAGCGGTTGTAGTTCCTCCATTCATGAAGAAGTTGCGGTGACTCGCCGGTTTATCCCGATGTTGTGACAGGGGCCGCGAGCAATCGATCGCGTCAGTTTCTCGCTTTCCTCGGGAGAGAGGAGACCATGCGAGACGGAGGTGCCCCCCGGCGGTGTTAGGAGCCTCGAACGGGTGCCGGTTATCGATCCGACGATCGATCGCTTCCGGAGACGCTGGACCGTCGGCGGTGGTCGAGCCACGAGGTGAGTTGGAAAAAAATTCCCGTAGAGGGGTGGCGTCGATTGTTATCGATTTACCTTCCTATGTACGCCGGCTCGCGGCCGGCTGACTCGACGCGCGGCTTTTCCACTTGAGCGACGCGCCGTCCGCATTGCGACGCTCTGTACTTGCGATCGGTGCTTTTCTGTCATTAATAGAATTATACTTCTGTATTCTATTTGATAATATGACTACGCTTTAGGGTTTTTTTAGCTCTATTTCTGGTTTTTCGGCACGCGTGCGACAGTATTTTCGAGTTATTTTGTGGAAGGACCGACGCCATCTTGGATTTCAAATGAAACGGTAGACGCGGGTCTTTTGCGTAGTAAATAGCAGTTTAAATGTGGATGAGAACGTAATTCCATGAATACTTTAACGTTGTAGGTAATTATATCAATTCTGCATCGATTTGTGAGACAGGGGGGCGTTTTCAAAGAATTTATTTCTAACCAATGACAGAGAACGCATGGAGTCGACAGAATGACCGTTGAAACTTAAAGTGTAGGAATGGTCCCGCAATGGAATGATAACAATTTTTTATTGTACGTTGTAGAAACGAGAAATAGAGGTAATTATGCATGTATGTACATATCTTGCCGTCGATTTTACGTATTCTTAAGGAAATGTTATTTATGAATAGGTTGAGTCTCTCTTCTCAGCCACTGCAAAGCTTGCCGGTCCTCTTCTTTCTGTAGCAATGGCTCCAAAGTTGTGAGACACCTTTGATGATACGCGTTTAAATACTCGACCTGAAATATGTGATAATGCAGGAAATATTTAATTATTAGATTCCTTTATAGTAGACGTTTTAATGAATTATTTTTCATTTTTAGCAGTTACCTCGGTGTCGGTAAGCATCGAGAAATCGAGCAGTTTGGTCTGAATCGGGACGAGGGACACCGTTTCGAAGGTGAGAAATCCACGATTTTTGTGATTGTGAGGAGTCTGCGCTTTGACTACTAATTCGATATTCTCCAGTCGAATACCAAATTTACCATCCTCGTAATATCCAGGCTCTGGTAACATATGATAATACGTTTAACGGTATGCAATAATTAGTATTGTAAATTGGAAATAAGTTATGCCGTAATTATACCATTGGAAAGAAACATGCCAGCTTCGAGGCCAGGATCGTCGGGGTTTGGCCGCCAAGAGATCCCAATGGGTGATTCGTGCACATTTAAATAGGCACCGACTCCGTGTCCAGTACCATGAGAATAGTCCAGGCTGTAATAGTCGAAGTGGATATCCATGCAAAATGTCTTTTTAGTTTAGCTACATTCACTCACCCTACGGCCCACAAGTATCTACGTGGCAACGAATCTAGATGATTGCCTTGTATCTTCAATGGAAATATTGTTGTCGATAGCAAACATTGTCCCTTGAACACACGAGTGAAACATTCTCGTTCATAGTCTGACGGAATGCCAAAGTGTAGAGTCCTAGTGATGTCCGTCGTTCCATCTTGGTACTGTGCCCCGGAATCACATAGATAAATCTCTTGATCAGTTATCGGTACGTTTGTGGCAGGTGATGTGATATAGTGAATTATAGCAGCATGTGGTCCAACCGAAGATATAGTCGGAAAACTTAGCTGCACAAATTTATCTTGTTGCCTTCGAACAAATGAACACGAATTATGGTTTAACACTATTAGATTTAAAATACAGGAAGTACGTACTGCCTGAATTTTTCAAGTCGATCGGCCCCACTGATTTCTGTGATTTCTTTGTCTTTACTTTTGACTCGATCCTCTAGCCAAGAGAAATATTTGACGAGAGCTACCGAGTCTCTTATGTATGCAGCTTTCATTCCCTCGATCTCTACAGAATTCTTAATAGTCTTCATTAAACTAATAGGTGTAATGGTCGTGTGCTTCCTAACGTCTTTGCAGTCGTTGTGCAAGATGTAACTGGATGTATAACTAATCCACAGTTTCTCATTCTCTCCATTTACACAACTGTTTTGTTTTAAAAAGCTTCGCAATTCCTTGTATGGGTGATATTTTGGACATATACCTTCTTCTATTAAATGCTCTTTCGCTTCTGCCGTTAGTTTTGACTCTTCTACGAAGAAATGAACATCTTGCAATGTTATAACGACGTATGCAAAAAATACGGGGTTACAGGGTATGTCGGAACCTCTTAAATTAAGTACATAGGCAACATCGTCTAAGGCGGTAACAACAAGAGTTGTAACTTGATTCTTTTGCATTTCTCTTCGACAGTGTTCTATCTTGTCACCTGCCCTCTCTCCTGAATAAATCACTGGGTGAGGAAGAATGTTTTGTAATGTCAGCGGTGGCTGCTCTTCTCCCCATACTTCATCTACCAAGTTTTCTTTTAACGGTATCAAACGATGCCCAGCTGCGACAAGAGCATTGTCAAGAGGTACCCATGCTGCATAACTTATTAAGTTAGGATCAGCTCCAACTATCGACTTCGAAGGCAGATTGGAAACCAGCCATGCAGCCTCCGAAGGAGTATCCATCACTCCGTACTTCATCAATGTCCATGCATCAGGAGGATCAAATTCCTTCAATGCCTGGAGAAAGTATCGTCCATCCGTCCAAAGTAAGGCCTTATCCATGGTAATAATGGCAGTTCCAAAAGAACCACTAAATCCAGAGATGAAGCGACATCGCTGGTCACATTCCTTTATATACTCGGACTGATGAGCATCCTCCATCTTAACGACAAGTGCTTGAATACCTTTTCCTTCGACACCTGGGACCTTAACAGCTGCCATTAATTTTCGCAGCTTCTCTAGTTTCAACGCACCATTCTTACCTGCCATGGTTCCTTCCTGGCAAATAAAATGACATTTGCCATATACTTGGAAATACAATCTAATGTTAAAAAACTTTTAAAATTCACTTTGTAGGATGTACGTACACGTATAACTGCTATGTATCAGGTGTCACGTGTAAACTTCTTTACAACTTATTAATACCAACGTCCTTTAGGAGCAACTCAGTAACGCCTTGAACCAATTCACCTGGTTGAAATTCAGAAATATGTGTAACAAGATTGCAAAGTCATATACCTGTATTGTTATCACCAAGTTTTCATATCTGAGGTATCTACAGATTTATATTATATATCTATAAGTAAACTGTGATAAAATCATATATTTGTAAGATCAATGTCCAGGTGGCGTTATCCTTCTCGCTTCGATGTCAGAATTTATTTCCGTTGCTCGAAAAATTCGTTCCACAAATAGTATATAGATAAATAGTACGATAGCCAACGGATGGCGGCGCTGTAATCAGCATCTCTCTTGTGCCTCATTTCCATACACGCGGAAACTGCGCGGAATGAATGCGGAGCGCGGAACACAGAGATGGCTTAACCAATCAGCGTAATGCTTTAACCCTGACGCGCGTACCGCGTTCCGCGCTTCGCGTTGATTCCGCGCCCTTTCCGCGTGTATGAAAATAAGGCATTAATTTTATATCAATATATAGCGATTTGCTTTACGCCATGTGAATTTACCAAAGTTTTCGAGTACGTACTTGTAAAATGAGGTTCACCTATTTCATAAAATAATTATGTTTTTGTGACTTGTCAGAGTGAGTTCTGCGGGATTACGTGATCTAGGATATTTTTTCTCTCTTTCCTGTTGCTAAAATAAAAGGTAGGAATCACGTAATTCTTGTACGTTTGTTTGTTGTAACCCGGTTTCAATTACAGAATGTTGCTTATTCCAGTTTCATAATGTTGAGCATACTCAAATGTGGACGAAGCATTGTTGGAAGGCAAGGTGTTACTAACGTATGTTATGGGGAACGCCTCTTTAACACAACTGCGGCAAGAAAGCCTATGGTTAATAGCGGTTATATTTTTCTAAGAAGGATTCCAAATCAGTTAGGGAAGGTAGGCGATACATTATAATTCATCGAAATTCCTCTAGGTAATACCTATTCAGTGCAATTCAATGTCTTCATTGATTATCTTGTATGGCAGGTTCGGGGATTATTCAGACAAACTGGCAGCATTGCTCTAGGCTATGTAACAAAGACAAATCCTAAGTCTGACAAAATTGTAGGCACATGGATGCTTACGTGCAGTGGCATGGTCCTTGCAGCCGTTATTTTAGGTACATTGGGTTATATTATATTTTATTATTGTATACGCACTGTTATTAAAGTCATTGTAGATGAAACGTACGGAAAATAAAAATGCGTACACATATCGAATAAGATTTTTATTAGAGCAGGTGGGTACTGTTTGATTATAGACTAAAAGTAACAATAGGTGATAACGTGTATCATTTCAATAAAAAGATTTCTCTTTAAGAGAAGAGCAATTAATCGGTGACCTGCCCCGTATTTCAGGTGGCGTAACCAGACTTTCCGAATCTGGTCTGTCTATGGTCACTTGGAAATTGCTGGGAGAAAAGATGCCCACTTCGGAATCCGATTGGGTTGCAGAATTTGAGCTGTACAAACGGTATCCTGAGTTCAAGCTGTAAGGTTTCTACATTCAAGTCAAGCAATGTGAGAAAGTGGATTTGTCTTGATATTATTTTTTTATTTATTAGAATGAATCGAAATATGACTCTGGAGGAGTTTAAACGTATTTGGTGGATGGAGTACGTACACAGAACATGGGGTCGATTAATCGGAGCAGCATTCATAGTTCCAGCAGTTTACTTTTGGTCAAAGGGAATGCTGAGACCGACCATGAAGGGAAGAGTCTTGGCATTGGGTTCTCTCATTGGCATTCAGGGCTTAATGGGATGGTACATGGTTCAGTCTGGATTAGAAGACCGATTCCAGGGTCCCGCTGATGTCCCCAGAGTATCGCAATACAGACTAGCAGCGCACCTTGGATTGGCGCTAATACTTTACTCGGGCTTATTGTACAATGCTTTAGACCATTTGCTATCTGCTAAGAAAGTATCGATCGACTACTTCAGTGCTGCGGTCATAAACACTAGGCAGATCAAGTCACTCAGAAGATTTCGATGGGTGATTTACTCCTCGAAAGGTCTAGTTTTCCTCACTGCTTTATCAGGAGCAATCGTGGCAGGATTGGATGCCGGATTGATTTACAACACTTTCCCACGCATGGGAGAGAAGTGGATTCCGGATGACATTTTAGCACTTTCTCCGCCATTGAGGAACATTACCGAAAATCCTACCACTGCTCAGTTCGACCACAGGTTAATGGTGAGCAGTTTGCGTAGCAACCAAAATCAAGACGGAAGTATTTCATTAATTCTAATAATGCTTTTTTTATATTTTAGGGGTACCTTACTTTAACATTACTGACCGTTATGGGTGTAGCATCGCGCAAACATAAGTTGCCTGGGCGTTGTAAAACAGTTATAAAGATTCTAATTACTGCTGCATACCTTCAAGTAGGACTAGGAATTACAACGTTGCTTCTTCACGTACCGATGAATCTTGCAACGATGCATCAGTCTGGAAGTCTTCTTCTTTTGAGTGCTGCAACGTGGCTCTGTCATGAAGCAAAGCATTTAAAAAAATTGCCAAAGTAATGCAACTCACGAGATGTACAAGTATCGCATGTCAAGTTAGCTATTTGCAAAGGTCGTTAACGAGAACGACAGCCTGTGAACATGTCCGTCGCATTTTAACATGTAGTAGGGGGATCTCAGGATTCCAAGTATATGGATATTTTGTTTCACAACATTGTGTTTGTTTTATTTGAAAATGCAGTGTTACAATGATCGTTACTAGTTGAAGTTACCCTATGCCAAAAGGACAACAGCTTTACCGACTTGATCATATTAAAGCAATAATCAAATTTCAATCTGTAGTTTGGGAAATGGAGGCATGACTTGCATCGTTCCATAAAGAATTATTTAACATCTTGTGTACCTTTCTACTCTATCCGATAGTCTTTGTGATTTTCCATCTAGTCTATCCAATACGTGAATCGTTAGTCGCCTTTGTTGGGCTCAATTAAATTCTTCGATTTCACACACGGAGAGCAGTCTGTCTCTTCCGTTAAATCTGACAACTGTTCTACGTCCTTAACTTTTAAATAGAATTAAGTCGTAATTAATTTTCCTCCGGCAGAAAAGTCTACCGGTCGCGAATTATTTTCAATCGGCATCGAAGGGATGAGAAGTTGAATCGTTTACATGATTTAATTGGCAGTTCATTGCAATTGTCCTATGATCACCTATTATCTGATTTCAATAGCGTGCGCTTCGCATATTGGTCCGGCGTGACGACAATATCAGGCGATTGCTAATTCGCCACGCGCTTGAAATTGCACTTTTCTTCTTTTTATTGTAAGTTTCTTTATTTACATACTTGACATAGTTTCCTTCGGTTTGGTGGCTCAACGCACGTTTCTTGTATGACACTTTTCCATGAGTATTTCTGTTTCGTTACATCAGAATCATATTAAGAATGTATAACGAAGGGCAATTCTTTTCCTTCGGACTCTATGTAACTGAAACCGATATTATATTTTCTGAGCAACATATTGAATATAACTGAGAAGCAGCCATTAAACACTGCAATCGGGGCTGAGATATATTACGTTTTCCATGCAAATACCTTTGTACATTGTTTTTTTCTCAATATAATCTACACCAATCCCTTTTCTTTGTTATACATTCAAGCAAAATGGGTACCTATGTCATCTCGTCCCTTCAAGTCGCAGGAATCTCCAACCCCTTGATCGGTACATGTTCAAATGAAATGGTGAAATTCTTATAGCCAAATTGACTGGTGTCCTAGGTCGGGTTGAAGGTTCCCGCGTAAAAATTAATCAATAAATAAAAATCGCTCATGCCCGTTTATCTTAGCCGTGGAGGTCAATTGCATCGACGTCGTGTATGCAAATCTCGTTCGCCTCGTTTCCACGGAATACGCGTGAATAACATCTCCGAAACCGCCGTTTATAAACCGTACGTGAACTCCCATCGCCAAGGTAGTACATCAAGGAAATGCATAAAATATCGAATATATATACACGCACAATATATTATAACGATTCGCGTTCCACACAAACTGAGTTCCAAACGCACTCGACGGATAAGATTCTTCTGTTAGAAAAAACGCACCGTTATACAATATACAAACGAGAAGTCACGCTTATAGAAAACCGATAAATAAGCAGGATGTGCGTATCGAAGTTGCCTTGAAGCTCAGTTTGACAAGTGGAATCTGTGACAGGCGCGAAGTGTGCACGCGTGCGTATGTCATACACATATTTACATACATGTACGCCCGACGTACAGGTTCGACGATTAAAACGTAAGAAAAGAAAACGGTTATCAAACTACTTCGGTCGTTATTGTTATAATAGCTTAGTCCCAAAAAATTCGTCCGCACAGGGCGCTGCGTTATTTAATGTTATATTACTATTATTATTACGAGTACGCGACGGGCGTAGCTGAAGTCATTCTCAGCCATTAATGCAGAGTAGTGCGATTAACGTCGTTAGGCCTATTAATGGTGATTTTCAAACCTCGTGGCAAACCTCCGTTGACTTTTCGAACCAATTTCCTTGTGACCAAACTTTCGGACCCTTCTTAATTTCTCGGTTGTGTCATTTGCGTTGAGTAATCTTGCACGACTAATCGCAATACCTGGGAGGAAGGATTCAACGACTTGGTAGGCTTGTCTCAGGCCCTTCAGAACTGTAAAAATACCTTGACTTCGATCCACTTTAGGCAGCGTAGAATCGGAACGTAATCGCCTGCTGGCTGATATGACGCCAATATGTTAACACGGTATCGCGTGACACACCGTTCAACTTCAAAAGTAGAAAATGTATATGCAAAACGTCCGGTCTTCTGTAAAAACCTCAGTCAGCCCTATTATACATTGTGAGTGTAATAGCGCCAAATAGAATCCATGTCGAATTTATAAATAAGCTACTTTTGTATATGTCGTGATAGATAACGCGATTGAATTTCACCACAAGTAGTTTAGACTTCCCACGTTAGGCAGAAAATCGAAGCATAGTTAACGCATGTCATAGCTAACTTACCGACACATGTTTCTGACATTATAAATAGGATTTGTTATTCGTTAAATTGCACGGACGATTGATACCACGTCAACAGTCGGTAATAGGCAGAACCATTCCATAATTCAGGTTTCGGTTTGATATCACGAGCACAGTTCTATTTCGCAAAATCAGTTAAGTCAGACGGATCTCGCGAATCAATAGGAATGTGCCAGTTGTGTGAATTATCAGCTCGAAACGAAAACCTGTATGACTTGTTTCACGTGTCGTCCCGTTCAACTAGTCCTCACTGGACTGTCCTCGGTTTTCTCAGGATTTACAATGACTTGAATAACGTAACCTTGTTGAACCTTTGCCTCCTCTATATGCATTTTGTCCCCCAACAGTTTGCCACCAAAGAACCATCTCTGCCGGGATGGCTCCAATCCTTCTTGGCTCTAGAGAAAAATTACAAAAAAAAATTATATGACTTGATAATTCATTGATTCTTATTTCCTTAATCAAAGGGAATCGTACCTGTAATTTTTTCTTAGCAATCCCAATAGTGTCCTTACTGTATACGGGTAACTTAACGTCTCCCACTGTGGTCGATAGTCGAAGTTTTAGTGTCATTTCAGTTCCACCGTCAACAGGCTCTAAAGGAGTAAAAAAAATGTTAGCTTATGTATGCTGGATACATGTGATTCGTGCTATCAAATAACTTACTGCTACCTGAACAGTCAGCCGGTGAGTCTCTACCGCTGTCCTCCTTGACGATATTGATAGGGTACGATAGACAGTATATGGGGACTTGATATCTTGTTCCCAACTCATCATAGCATTCCGTTAAAAACCCATTAGGCACTGAAATGTTTGCTCCATCTAAAATGGCTTGGGCCAGTTGATAATCTTGAGCTTCCGCAGCTGTAGCTCCAGCTCTTAGGGCATCCCATATTTCCTTCCTCCCATCGAATGCAGGTGCCGTGTCCCAGAATTCGTCTCTCTTGCTCCGTAATTGACCTTCGGTTAAAGGTACGTCCGACTTCCATCTAATTACTTCATGGCACAGTGGATGATTTTTCCTTGAGTTACCTGCATGGCATTAGCAAAGGAAAGAAATTTCATACTTTAGTACATAGCTTGTCAAGTACAAGAGTGCACGTAAACAAAGGTCAAGAGTTATGCAAAATGAGCGTAACTTTACGCCAAGGAAATAGACGAACAAATGGTGCTGCACCTTTGACCGGTCAACTACGCAGTGCATAGATTTGTACACAATTTACATCAATTCGTGAATCTAATCGTGCACCATTAGTCAAACTATGTGGAACAAGACTGTACGATATGTCCTCGATGTGGGCCACCTTTGGCATCGCACGAGTGGATTGCAAAGCGCGATAAGATCGCCACCGCGAGTATCGTTCTCTTTGGCATCGAGTTCGGATTATCGAGCATGACAAATCATGCAGAGCGCAAAAACAGATGCACTGAGAAAACGGTGGACTAGTTCCAAGGTTAGTTGACGTTAGGGGTGCCTTCGGGCACGCAGGACGTTTCCTCGAGGTTCTCACCGGAGTTCGTTCTCGTGGAGTTCGCGGAGGTATCGTCTACGGAGGCGTTTCTCGTCCTCGTGATGCCTATGCAGCCTCCCATCGTAGGCGGCTGGAGTGACCAAACATTTCACTGGAATTTAACAACACCTCGCATGCCATCTTCGTCCATCTTATCTCTGGCGATTTAAATCTCTGCCGAGAGGGGCGCTAGGATCCTAACCTCTCTCAACGCCACTCGTGTAATCCAAGATGGCGCCACTGCGCTTTTGCGTATCGGCGCGTGACGTCCTTCCTACTGCGTGCGTAATATCGGAGTAATATTTTCATGTTTTTCTTCTGTGTACACGTGTGTACATGAGTTTGCACGTAGTGTACATATACACGTACGACGCACCTGCGGTGCAACGTCGGTGCATTTGCCAACGCATTTGTGCCGGTTTCGCAGTTTCGGGTAATTTGTTTGCACACATGTGAGGTCGCAAAGGGTTAAACTCCAAAAGTCACGTGGAGTAGCTGGGTACACGGATTTTTTTTTACGCCGGATTTAATTGTCAGTCATGTTGTATTCATCTCCTTGATTTTTCTTAATGACATTTATTCTACAGATTTATAGGGAGATTAATCTTGATTCATTTTGGACATCCTAATCAGGGCTCGAGCAGGGTCTGATAAGGAGACAAACATAACATCATACACCTGTTGTAATGGCATCACCCACCAGTGAGTTATTTCCCAAAGATGTGTTCTCGACCATGGAAGATGATAATGCAGTACTCGCAAAATGTCAAAGCATTGCATTGGGTTAGCCTTGTTATTTACTTTATTTATCGATACCTGCTTTCCAGATTTAGAACAGCAGTTTGTTAGTAGTTGATATACATTTATTAATTTCCTATTCTTGTAGATATTCAAGAAGGGCGTATTAAATTCCTTGCTGTTGTCAACGAGCTGGAACATTTTCTGACAAATAAGGATGTCAACTTACGAGAGAAGGGAGTCAGAATTCTTTCTACTACATTAGGTCTTTTGCCTACAGATTTTTTTAATGAATCTGAACTGGAATTTATAACGTTATTTTATTGCGATAGAATGAAGGATCACCATAATATTCTGCCTGCTGTGTTTCAAGGAGTTCTATCAATTGTACGTTCATTTATGTTGCATATCAAAATAGTAAATTAATAATTACAAATTAATTGTAATATTGCAGGTACAAATGAGTTGCCTCCCACAAAATGCACCTCATGGTTTACTTACTGCCTTGTTTCAACATGTACAGTGTCAATCTCAGATAAAGCAAGACCGAAGAAATGTATACCTCTTGTTTAAAACTCTGATTCAGAAGAGAGGCGACAGCTTGAAAGCTATGGGAACAGAATTTATTTATGGTTTCATAAGTTTCATCGATGGAGAACGTGATCCTAGAAATCTCATGTTACTTTTTAATATAATTCCAATCTTTGCAAAAGAATTTCCCATTGGTCAGCTGACAGAAGAGTTATTTGAAGTCATCGCCTGCTATTTTCCCGTTGACTTCAATTCCGTAATTAACACTTGTAATTAAGTTTCTACACATTGTTCTTACAAAAATGAAAATTTAACCTAATGTGACAATTTTTCAGTCTGGAAACGAAGGTCGTGACATCACCCGTGATAGGCTTGCCGAAGCACTGGCTCCATGCCTCTATGCGATTCCAGAATTTGCAGAATTTTGCTTACCTCTTGTAATCGATAAGTTAAACTCAGCATTGAAGACAGCCAAATTAGATTCTTTGACATTGCTGAGCAATGGAGTTTCTACATTTGGAGCAAAAGGGTGTCAACCCCACTTGGATGAATTGTGGCCACTCATTAGAAGAGAAATCATGCCCGGAAATGATTTGGAGTTAAAGAATGCCAGTCTGAAAGCTCTAGGAAAAATCGTCGAGACTTTATCTAGTACCGATTTAGACAGAGAAGAATTTATCGAGAAGATCTTGACGGATACAAAATCATCTCTGTGTGATGTGCAATTAAGCCTCTTTTGGCCTGCAGAAAAAATACTGGAAATTATAGCTAATACAAACAAAGAAGCGTGCGTACAAGTGCTTCGAAGCATTATTCCATTATGCCTTGGACAATACTCAACGAAAACATCTTTTGTTGATAAAACTATCATAATGGAAACTATAAATAATTTCATAAGAATTTCTGATGCTTTCGGATTTTCTATCAAAAGTGAGTTAACAATAAGTTTACTTTACACTTGATCACATTAACTACTTACATTATTATTTTGAAGGTGTTCCAGAATTGGCTTGGACAGATTTACCGTTACTCTATCTAAATGAGTTAAATACTGAGGCTGAAGAATTGCAGTCAAAGGTATTACAGGGTCTGATTGCACAAAAATCTTATTTAAACGATGTACATCGTGCAACTTTATATGAAGTCATTTGTAAAAAAATTGATTTTACCAGTAACGAGGTGGAAACAGTATGTTGCTCGTGTCTCTTGGCATTTGCTACATTGTACCCAGGTGAAGTTTTAAATGTCGTGACTGAAAAACTGTCCATTGATGTCGGTGAGTTGACACTGATTAATGTAATCTCTACCGATCGATGTCTGTTTAATAGACTTTTTTTATCTTAGAAGACATAACGGTGCCAATACTGACACGCAGGTTGAAAGCACTTTCTATCGTTGCTAAAGTACCAGAAATAGGACATGAAGTTCTTCCAAAAATTGTTGCTGCTACAGCTGCGCGTGATGTCGAACTGGGCCTTACAGCATTGTCTTGCCTGTGCAGATTAGTTGCTGAGAAAAATGGAGGTCATTTCGACATTAACAAATATCTCCATGATAATTGCAATGTTATCGAAAGGCTACTCCTTTCGGAGAGCGGTGACACTTATGAAAGGTTGCACTTAATTTCAAAGATTTGTCGATCGATTGTAAGACGACTTGATATCGAATCCCAGCAGGCAGTTTTAAATAAGTATGGCACCCTTGTAAATAAACGTTCATTAGAAAGCAGTGTCATTTTACTAGAAGGGATAATAACACCCTTGCGGCCAAATGTAATTGTACCAAAGATTGACGAGTTGCTGAATAACTTGTGTAATTTAGCCATCGAAAGCAGCGATGTCGACTGTAAAAATACTGCTTGTAAATTGATTTCTGTACTTATTAACAAAATGGCCGAAGATGAACACATTGAAAAACTGTTAAACCGTTTGAGAGAGCGAATCATGGAAATCTTAAACAACAGCGATGCCAGTATCGAAGTTACAAAAGCTGCTGCTACTTTACACGTCTGGCTGACAAAAGCATTAATTATGAAGGGGAGTCGAATTTCTCAAGACTTATTGAACTATGTAAGTAACAAACCGATACACATATCGTTGCACTCGTTACATGGTATATCAAAATGATTAATTTTTTTCCAGCATATCAGTATCCTTAAACACTCTAAAGTTGGTTTAGATGCTGCAAAAGAATTCCAAATATTAACAAATAGACAAGAAGATTCCTTAACGGAGGAAAACTTCTGTACGATTAGGATCTTCTTCAAGCAGAGGATATTTCAAAACCTAGTTCAAGCAAGACACCTCTTTACATCCGACTCTAGAGAAAATTATTTAATAGCTGTAACGCATTTGTTAGAAGAAGTGCCCACCGAATTGCTTTTCATGTACTTGAACGAGGTGAGTTATCCTATAATTGCCTAGATGATCCTTATCATTAAAGTCTTCCTAAAATATTCCTCATTACTTCCAGCTAGTCTCACTCCTTCAGGAATCTCTTAATTTACATAATACCCAGTTAGTTCTGTCGACTCTGATTGCCTTGAAACTGTTGCTGGATACTAATAACGAGATCTTCGCCGACCAAGTACAAAATTTTATTCCAAAATTGTTGAATCTCTCCACCTACAAAGAAATGGTTAGTATTGAAATAATTGACATAGCCATGATTATTCACAAGCTCACTTAATGTTCTTTCCACTTCAGAACGTTAGGATGGCAGCTTTAGAGTGCTTAACGAGTTATTGTACATATCCAACCAGCGTGATCATCGTTTACAAACCAGACGTACTAGAGAAGTTACAAGAAACAATCGACGATCGAAAAAGATTAGTTAGAAAGGTCGCTGTTAGAGCCAGAACGCGCTGGTTCTTGGTTGGTTCTATCAGAGGCTCTAAATAATTTCTATTTTATTACGTTTTTTAAGCGACTCGCCTATGTACTGTTCGACCCAGTACCACCAACACAATAAAAGGGAGAAACAGTAATTCCATTTAATTAATCGAACCAAAGTCACAATTTGACAAGCTCTTTCAATCTAGCAGGAATAAAATTGTCCGTCCTTGAGGTAAACTTACACCTCGGTTCCCGAGCCTAAATATCAAGGTTGTGATTTTTCCCGTGTACAGAATTTTATTAACAAGGGTCTGTATGCTTCTCTGCCATGCGTAAGATGAATTTCCGCCGTTTATGCCTCACGTAATACTGCGGCACTCATCGATAATCAAATAACGCATTGATTACCGTAATTGGATTTAAACTTGAAAGCCGGGATCGCCACCAGTGCGCCGAAGACATGGGTGACGGTAAGGTTCTTCCGTACCTCGCGATCTCCAATATTTGGGAATCGAGGATTTCTTGGTGATACTAGTGGACTGGGTTTAAACTTCATTCCAGGAGTCGCTAAAAACGGAGCGTACAAGTACGAGGATGGAACGAGATACGTCGGCGACTGGAACGGACGAGGGCTGAAACATGGAGCTGGTTCCTTAGCTCTGCCTGACGGAACTCGTTACGACGGTGGATTCCAAAATGGATTATGCTCAGGACTCGGTGTCATAGTGTTCCCAGACGGTGCCAAGTGAGGTTCTACAATACATGATTAGTACTAAGTAAAATAACGATGGACGTGTGACGTACTTTTCTGTATCCTCGACGTCATTGCAGGTACGAGGGTGAATTCATGCAAGGATGGTTCCACGGTCATGGAGTTTTCTGGCGAGCTGACGGGATGAAGTTCGAAGGAGAATTCCGCGGTGGCCGAGTGTGGGGCCTTGGTTCGTTAAGTTCCCTGTAAAATAATTATCCAGATATTAGATAATATGTTTTAATTAATTGCGCTCGGTGCAGGCCTGGTGACCTATGCGGACGGTTCCCACGGTTTCCCGAGGAACGAAGGCTTCTTCCAGGATTGTCGGCTGGTGCGTCGTAGACGCTGTCCCGACATCGTGCAGAAATCGCAAAAGATATCGATGATGGCTCGCACCCAGTGCAGTTAATCAACCCGAGGTCCCCGCATAACGAATCTCGCCCTTGTGGAATTTCAACTCGGAGTGATTCTCCGGTGTGTAAGAATTGGTAGGCTCCGAATAAAGAGATTTCAATCGACGATCGTTTCTCTGGATGATGCAACTTTCCCGATTATTAAGAATACTATGGGTAGTTCAGACACTTTTCTAGGCGATTTGATTCATAATTTTGTTTGGGGAATTTTTTAAAACCGCGCGTAAGCGGGGCTACGAGGTTTCCGGTAGATGGCGCCACTCTCGATTCAACTGGCGTACCGACTGAGGTTAGGGTGGCTAGTTTCTGTACAAAAATTCAACATGGCGGATCGAGGTCCTCTGTACCTCTGTCTGTACGACCAAATTCGGATCCGGACTATCAATTTACAATTATATCTCGAGTAACCGTCCAGGTAATCGACGCGATATATATATAACGCAATAGGTTAAAATATGGCCGAAGCCGCAGATGCATGATACATGTATTCACCAGGTTATAAATGTCCTTTAACTTATACGTAAACGCGTCATTATTTTTAAGGAATAAATAACCCGGTGTTTGCGTTCAAAGTTCCTTCAACTTAACACTTTAATATCAAATTTCTACCTGGATTCATAATTTTCTATTTAGAAATAAGAGGGTGTAATATACTTTGCGCTCGCGTTGAAAATTCGGGACGTACAATACGTTGTAATATACACGTAAAAAAAATTGAGGTATATTACGTGACGTATTATACCTACCCAACCCTGCTTACAAGTACACGGCATCTTATGGAGGATCGATCCGCGCGATGGGGAATTAATTTAACGAGTGGTATTAACTAATATATACAAAGGTATGTACAATTTAACACGACGTAATACTAGATTCGCCTGATTATCCCAGGTTGGGTCTTCTGCATCTCCTAGATGAGCTCGAGAACAGCGGCCTAGGCTTGTAAAGGTCGTCGCTCGAGTATCTCTGTGCTTTCCGCTGCTTGCTGGAAGGATCGAATCGGAGTTAGAGTCGTCTCTGGATCGCGCGACGCCGGATATACCCGATCCTACTGGACAGGGTTCGATCGGCATCGAAAGCGGTTTTTTAAGGGCGAGGTTATGAGGAAAAGTCGCGATACCTCTTCTCTTCCTTGAGGGGATTCGCAGGAACCTTCTCGCTGGAGGCCGAGACGTCGCTCTCCGGGCTCAAGGGCATCACGAAGCTCTCCCCGTTCTGCAGAGTCTGGGGAGAAGCGACGTTCGGGTTGGACCTCTGCTTCTTGGGCCGGCCGACTTTTCGCCTCTTGACCAGGGGCAGGCCACCCTCGTCGTCGGCGGGAGCCGCCGTCTCGCGAGCGTCATCCTCCTCGGCCGGCTCGCCGGGGACGACGCGGGCCTGCGGGGGACTGGCCGGTCTCCTCCTCGGCAAGGGCGGCGCCATGCTTCGGGGTTGAGGCGACACCACCCGGCCCCCCAGACTCTCTATCATCTGTTCCAAGCTCCCGCCCTCGCCCCGCTCCAGGGACTCGACGAATCTCGAGAACCTCGACGCCCGACCGTCGTCCTCCTCGAGGTAGAGGCAGTCCTCCCGGTCCTCTCGATTCTCTCGATCCTCCGGATTCTCAGGATTATCCGGGTTCTCCCGGTTCCCGGGCGACGCCGGCCTCGAGAGGGCTCGTTCCCCCTCCGCGGGCGCGGGGGACGGCGCCGTGGACATCCCCGTCGGTGCCAAGGACCACCCCTCCGTCGGCCCGTCCAGGATGACGATCGCCGTCTCCTCCGGTGTCAGATTCGCGTGCTTGTCCGGATAGGGCTGGTCGTACTCCTCGTCGGGGATCTCTATGATCTGCACGCGCTCCTCGTCCGGCACGGTCCGGACGTCCTCCGGACTCGGCCCGCGAGTTCCCGGGACGGTGGAGCTCGGTCCCGCGTCACCGCTCGAACGACCTCCGCCTCCGCCAAGGGCTCCGGATCCAGAGGATCCCTCCTCGTGGGAGGGCCTCCCACCTCCGGACGCCCCGGACTCGGGCGCGCCCTCGTAGGAACTCCTGCCGCCCGCGGAGCCGCTCGACCCGTCCCGGTCCGTTGACCTCCGGTCGCTCGAGTCCCTCCTCCAGTTCGAATGGTCGTCCTTCGTCTTCTTCGACTTCCTCTCGTCCTCTTCCTCCCGGCGCTTCTTCTCCTCGCCTCTCCCCGCGTCCTTGGCCGACCGGTCTCTCCCTCGTTCGCGACCGCTCCTGGACTCCGGCTTCTCGCTTCCTCGGAACTGGGAGTCCACCTTCGACTCCCTCTTCCCGCTCGACTTCTCCGAGAGGGTCTCCGAGTCTCTCTTCTGGTCCTCCTTTTCGCTTCTCGACGTCCTCTTCCCCTCCGACCTCTCCTGGAGGAGGTCCGACCTGGAGCCGTTTCTACCTTTGCCGTCTCGAGACGAGTGCCGGTCGCTTCGCTTACCCCTGTCCTTGGATTCGCTCTTCCCTTCCTTGGAGTCGGATCCACTTTTCGTGGATCGGTTCTCGTGTCGATTGGAGGTGTAGCCTCTCGACGACGAGTCCTTCGAGTCCCTCTTAGGGTCCTTTCTTTCCTTCCAGGAATCCCCTCTGTCTCGATCCTTCGATTCCTTGCCTCTCTTCGGGTCTCTCCCGTCTTTCGTTAGCCTCTCCTTCTCGGTTAGTTCCTTCTTTTCCCTCAGTTCTCTGATCTTCTCTTTGTAGATGTCTTTCAAGTCTTTGGGCTCTTTGCTGCCGCTCTCCCTTTTCTCCGTCTCTCTAGGACGCTCCTCCTTATTTTTTCCCGAGGCGTCCTTCGTCTTTTCGCCGGAGTCGCGAACTTTCTCCAACGCGTCGCCGAATCGGTCGGTCCTGTCTTTGCTCCTGTCTTTGCTCCTGTCTTTGGATTTGTCGGTCCTGCTCGTCTGGCTGTGTCTTCTTCTGTGATCTCTGTCCTCTTTGAAACTCCTGGAGTCGGACCTTTCCTTGCTACTTTTCGACCTGGACGAGTCACCGTCTTTAGTTCTCTCCTTTTGTTCATACCTGTATTTATTTCCCGCGTCGGTGGCGTCTCGCGAGTTTTCCTTCGACGATAAGTTGCTCCTTGTACTCTTGGCATCCTTGCTCTCTTTCGTTTCCAATTTGTTACAATCTATAATAGTCTTGTTCTCCTTACCTCTCCACGTTTCACATTCTCCGATCGCCTTCAGATTGTCTTTGTTGCACTTTGTTTCCGGTTTATCCCTGTTGTCTTCCTTCGGTCCCTCGGGTAGAGGCGTCGACGCCTGATTCGAGGAACCGAAGTCTGTAACGATCGACAATCGGGAATCGGACGACACTTTACTAAGTTGGGAATCGTGGTTGCTGAAGTCAAAGTTGTCCCGTGAAAGTTCGTTGGAATAATCTGGACTTCTCGATCTGTGGCTGGTTAATTCCGATATTCCGGATAAATGCGAGTCGTTGGATACGTTGGATTCGTTGAGATTCATTATGTCGATTGGCTCGAACATTGGACTGTCTTCTTCTTCTTCGTCCGCCTTGTCATCCGTTTTTCCGGAGTTATTTAAAACGACGTGACAAATATTCTCAACCGTGACTCTTTGCGATACACCGGATGATTTTTCTTCGTAGTCGATTTGCCCATTTTCAACGGCGTTGTCTGTCTCGTTCTCGGCATTATTAGAGTTTGCTTCCAAAGCTTGTTCGTTATTCGATGAGCATTCTTCGTATTTGTCGGTACCGTTCTCGACGTCAACGGATTCCAGGGAGACATCTCTTAAGCTGTTCCTGTCCGATTCCGGAGAAACAGGATCCAGGTCTTTGGGCAGTAGATCCTTTAAACCACAGGCTGTTACTTTGTCGCGAGGTTTTGGCCTTTCGATTCCCAAAAATTTGTAAACGACGTCTTCGATGTGTGGCATAAAGGAGGAATAAACCTTTGGATTTACTACTTGGTCCACTATGCGTTCGACGCCGGCATCTAAGTACGGCGCATCGTTTATATGCTTGCGCAAGGTTTCTCTCAGTTGATTTTTGTTCAAGTCTGACTTCCATATCTGTTTTGCAAGGAACGTGTTCACGGAACCTTCCACTCTGGTTCGTAAATTCTGATATGCCGGCTACAACCAAGAATCATGAATGCATTAAATTATGTTCCTCTGAATCTCTAATGTAACAATATACAGACGCAATATACCTTTGTATCGACGTCGGCGATGCATTCTTTTCGAAATTGATCGAAGATTCCTTGTGACTTAACTTCGCCTACTATGTGATCAATGAGACGCGGGTCTCCAGCTAACAGCGTATTGCTCAAGCCGATTTCCATCTTTAATCGGTGTAAATAGACCAAGCTGTACGGAGCAACGACATATTCCTTTGGTTTAACTGCAAGGGCTCCTCAATATCGGATATTTTCACCTAACACATTCCAACTCTTACTCCGAGCGCGCTGCCATTCGTGGCCACTCTACTCTGCTTTACACTGTTTTTTTATAAATGCATCAAGTACGGCAACCTCTGGTGTATTCTGTGACCTTCCGGACATTGCAAGAAATCATGTACATTTTCTGAAAGGAACCTACTGCGCGAAGGGTAAAGGCAAAGAGGACGCCACGAGTGTCTTCTCTTATCATTAAAAGCGAGCAGGGTCGGTAAGCGTAGGTAAGCCACCACTGTCAACAGCTGCATGGTATTACCATCACGAGCACGTAAGCCGCCAACGTAAGTAACGTACGAAACCAGAGGGCGGCACAGGATGCGATCGCGCGACCCTGCCTCTCATAATGGCGTCTTCGTCGCATTCGTTAGATGTGAAGGTGCGAGAGAGACAACCTGGTCTTCCGACGTAGCAGGATATTTGCAGATTCTCTCGAAGATTTATCCTTCGTGTAAGAGCATGTAAAAGTTAAATACTGAGTTTACGTAACACAGTGTCCAGCACGACAGTGATTCGTGGTGACTATTGCGAATTGTTTTAGTTTAGACATTTTTTAATGAAGATACTCGGCCAGCATTCCTCGAGTGGAATGCGGGAGTTACGTGGCTCGGCCGTTAAATTCGATCTATCTACCCTTCGCTGTTTCTTTCCGTGCCAGAAGTGGAGAGGCCAATAGATGAACCTGCAAGACAGTCTCTTCTCCGAGGACGTGGAGTACGACGTGATACAATTCGCGGCCGACAAGAAACGCAAAAGGTACTTAGATCGAGCCTTATCACGATTACTTGCTCCCGTTTCCACGCTAATAACGTGACAATCTATCCATCGCTAATCGCTAATTTTTCTAAAATTAGGCCCTATCTTTTCCTCCGCACCATCAAAACGTCATCCTCCTGGAAGACGTTAGGAAAACACTTGGTCAATAGCCAACTTATCCGTTAAAGATGCATTTGACCATTGCTCGATCGGTAAAGCTTCGTCGTTTCCCTCGATAGATCAAAATGCAAAAGTGGCAGAGCACGCATTCACCCCAGCGAAGCTAATCATAAAGCAAAGGCAAACAATTCTCTCCATTACTCTCACCGATTTAGAATGATTTCAATACCCTGGCTTATCTTTCGATGCCACGAGAGTACGATTTCAAAGCGCCCGTTTATACCTTGACCTTTCATGCCTAATCGTTGACTTCTTTGATGTACCCGATTCATTGTGCGGACTGATTACATAGATTGTAAATTTGAATACTCGAGTTATAAGCTTTACCATGTGACACGCTCGTAATTATAACCGTTTGCAAGCAATAAAGGGATAATAAAAGCATATCTATCGTATCTGTCGTTACTTGTCCCACCTAAGGTGTGCGCCACTGCGGTGAGAATACGAACGAGCATACAATGAACTGTCTAAAATTGGAGCACATGGCGATTCACATGCCGTGCCTACGTTACAGTATTCCTTTTTGTCATTTGTTGGACTTTGCAAATGTCACAGGTGGACTTTCGACTTTTCGACGTTTAAATTTGCGCTCGCAGCCTCGCCACGAGGAAGCCAATAAGAGTGAAAGTGGCGTTACGTAAAACGTCGGGCTCCGCTTCCCGTCGGTTTCACTGGTTCACTGCCCTTCGGGTCTCTCAAGGTAGCTTTCCACTTTCAGGGCACTCGTCTTCCCTCCGGTCAACAACTACAGGCGGTTCTTGATCCACCGGCTCGTGCAGGAGAGGTTCCCGGAGGTGCTGCACACCTTCTCAATTGGCCAGGGTCAAGGCAGGAGAACCGTTGTCTGCTACAGGAGCGATGTCGTAAGGTGCTCTCTCTCGCGTCCCCCGGACACGGAGTACTTCTGGTCCGAAACCTTCGCAAAAGGGTCGGACCGATCTCGCGGAAGAACGAGGGGCTATTCCCTGGGAAATCGGTGAAAACGATTTCCTTCTTTGAGAACCGATTACCTTTCATTTCATACGATAAACGACAATAAGTAACTATCGGCCTTACGATTTCCCCGCGATTTCGATTATTAAAATCCAGGATTTCCCGAATGAACGACCCCTCGTTTCTCGGTCTGTGCGCGCACCAGGAGAAGATGGATAAATCGGAATCTTGTCATGTCTTTAGAGATCCGGAGTCGAATGGTGTACCAGGTGGAGGTAGCATTCCCTCGAAGGCGGCGTCAACCTGCGGAATGGGCGTCGAGGGAAGGCGATCTCCGTCGCCCTCTCCAGAGCACTCCCGGACGCGACAGGGTGAGCAACCAGGATAGGACCTCCTTTGGGGTACTTTCTTCTTACGACGCTTTTCCTTTCCGTGTCTTAGCAAGGTCTGCACCACCCGTTGGCATATACGTACCTCCAGCCCGAAGAACCAAGATCCTTCAAGAGGTCCCAACCGAGCGTTTGTCGTCGGAACCTTCCCCGTCCATTAAGTGAGTGTCCGTTGTCACTCCGTGAGTGCTTAAACGAAGAGACAAGAAACTTTTTTATGCTTATCTGGATTGAAACAATAAGCGTCTTATGATTTTCAGAAGCCGACAAAGGAGACCCGACCGAGCCGTGTACGTGCCCAGACATCGTCGAAGCACGGACGCGGAAGTGGGGCCTACGACACAAGACCCGACCGAGTCGTCTTCTACGCGGGATTCCTCCCGGACGACACGCGGCGACGACTCCAGGAGGAGTACGCGACACGAGAGGACCGGAACCCCGGTGGACGCGACATCGAGCCGGAAGGAATCGCCATTGTTGATCGAGGAGGTCCAGGGAAAGGATTCCGGGTCGCTCCGGGATCCTTCATCGGTGGAGGCAGATTTAAACCGCGCTTCCGACCGAGAAGGTGGGGGAAAGGATGAGGAGGCCACGGCAACAGCTGGGGAGAGTATTCAAGAGCCGAGGCTCGCAAACGGTGGGTCGACGTCGACGGTCGAAGGGCCTCGAGTGCCGAACGAGTCAAACGACGCAAACGACTCCAACTTGTCCAGGAAGACGTCGACTCGCCAAAGAGATCGAACGACCGTTGAGAGCCTGTCGAACGACTCCAGGATCGTCCTGAATAACGCGAAAAATTCCAAGGACGAGGCCAGCTCATCCGCCTCTCGAACAGCGGACCATCGGAGGAGGAGCGAGGAGGACTCGTCTCCTGGACGCGAGAGCATCAACGGGCTGGAAATCGGTACCGGGGTCCTGATCGTCCCCAGCGACACCCGGGAACGACTACCGGGTCACGGGACGACCTTGACGACGACGGTCGCGCCCTCGGAAAAGAAAATCAAGAAAGTCGAGAGGCAGAAGAGCAAGCCCGTCCCCCCGCCGTTTCCCGCCTCGAAAGTCAACCGGGACGAGTGCGACTGGGACAGCCTGTTCGACGACAACGGGGACTGCCTCGATCCGACCTTGATCGAAGAGGTTCGACTCTTCCTGTCTACGATTAAGTTGGAGTTAGATCGCCCGAACGGTTTCAAAGGAACCCTTGGCTTGTCGGAAAGCGCGGCGATTTATCGGATTTGGTTTTAATTTCTCCCTCTTTTTTCTTTTTTTTTCCTACTTTTCTAGCTCACGTCGACGGTCGGAGAGGTCACGATAGAGCAGCCGAAGAACGACTACAAGGCTTACGCGAGGCCAGTCGAGGTTTCGACGGACGACTTCGCCCACGTCGTGGAAATCTACGATTTTCCCTCGGACTTTAAGACGAGCGACCTGGCGGCCGTCTTCAGTCCTTTCAGAAACGGAGGTTTCGAGTTCAAATGGGTGGACGACACCCACTGCCTCGGGGTCTTCAGCAGTCCCCTAATCGGTACGTCTTTGAAAAGCAAATCGGACATCGGTCGATCGATTTTCGCCGGCAATGATGGCATTGACTCGCCTATCAGTTAATTCTTTACGTTTTAAACGTTTTAAACATTTAACGTCCTGCCATGTCGATGTCTTACGTTAAGTTGTCGGCTATTTCAATCGACGTCGATTGCTTTCGCGCAACGATAGGCTAGACATACGTTGTACACTGGGAGACATCAATGCCCTCCCATCCTGCACAGGCGATGCCGTATCTGCAGGGGAGTTATTCATGTCCGCCATTATACGTGTATAAAGTCCCAAAATGGTTTTCAGCTGCCGAAGTGTTGGCCATCGATCACCCCTTCGTCAAGACTCGACCTCTTAGCGAGGCCACCGCGTCGAGTAAAACGAAAGCCAGAAGAAGCGCCGAATGTCTGCAGCCTTACAGAAGCCGCCCGGAGACCTGCGCAGCTTTGGCCAGACGTTTGGTCACCGGCGCTTTGGGAGTTAAATTAGCTACTGCCAGGCAAGAGAGGGAACGCGAGAAGCTTGTCTTACGCGAAGCAAAAGGTATCTCCAGCCTCGGTTAAGGGGATGCGAAAGCGGCGTCGAAGAGCGTCTCGCTTATGAAACATCTCTCCGAACTCGATTCTAAACTTAACTATATAAATATAGAGGGGACAAGGAAGGTTCTGAAACTAATGGAATTTCAATTTCTCTTTTATTTGCAAAGCTCGTAACGATTCGGCACACCCTGTTCGGAGAAAAGTTTCATTAAGGATGTACCCCTCGGATGCCGCTTTCGCATCCCCTCAAAGCATCGATATCCAGCCGAGGAGTAAAAACTGTCGCTAATACGAATCTCCGGGGAAAATTATTTCCAGAAAAGAAAAGACTGGCGAACCAACAACGAGACGACGCCTGGGAGGGCGTCATCGGTGAAAAATAGCTCCCTTCTGTAACCTGAACGACTGGATCAACTTTTCCTTTCTTTTTCCTTTTCCCCCCACCTACGGTTACGTCAAATAAGTCGCTTTCACTTTTCCCTTTCCCACGATTGACTCTCGTCAGATGCCATTTTCACATCCCCTTAAGCTAACGATACGTCCTTCGTCGTCGACTAGAGTAACGCGTTCCTATCGTTGAATAACTTGTACAACGCGTCAAATGTAAGTGCACTTCGATCGATATCCACTTGTGTAAATACTTCCCAAGAATTTTATACGTGGACTGATCCTTGGATTGACTGTAAAAGAAAAAGAAGAAAAAAAAAAAGATAAAAACAGACGGAGTCGTTAACTATTTTTTTTCTTTTAAACATTGATTTCTAAATATTACAGGATAACGTATTGGTTTACATTGAAAAGTACATCTTCACGTGCCTCTAACGAATCCCTCGGATTAAGGAGCCACTTTTATTGGCGAAACATCGACTTGATCGGAGGGAATGAAAATTCTATAAAATCTACGTAAGGATTTTTTCCTTAAAAATGGACTTCGGAGTGAGACTGAGAACATCGGATAACATATTGAGTCATGATCTGACGATTCGCGGACAATTCGATGCGAATTTATTTATACTCGATGGCTTTTCTATAATGTAGACATCATATTTCGTAATTCGAGCGGACATCTTTGTCGTGGATCGTACATGTTTATCGAGACGTGCGATGCAATTCGAGACAATAAAATTAGAATATTGGAATGTAACGGATCGTTGCCTACATTTATATGCTCTACGTTTAGTTTGCATGATTTGTACCCTGTCGCCGGAAGAAATAATTTGAAATCGTTTAAAGGAAAAAAAAAAGAAAGAAATGTTAGTTTCCCAATTAATTGACTGACAGCATACTTGATACATAACAAAAAATTTTTTATCGAATCCATATGATTTCTTAAAACGCGAGCAATTATCGATTTACCGGCTTTCCTAGTGTTGGACGATGGGATTAAATGAGTTTTAATGTAAAACGTCCTAGTCATCGTTTGACATGCAAGGTGAAATGATGTATTACGTTAAACTATTGCGGATACGCCTTCCCAACATTGCACTGTATATAAACTGATCGATGAAACTGTCCGAACAACTAATGCAATGATGATACATAGCGATAACATTGCTCATTTTGTAAAAGTAAATCTAATAAGAAATCTTGAAGGCCACTATGCCATGCAGTTAAGCAGTTCTAAAATATATTGTACATACCGCAACAAATCCGAAGAAAAATTGTATTTTTTTATGTAAAACTGTTATCGATTGAGTGTACATACACAAGAGAATCTGCATCACCAGGTCCTAATCATTGCTTGACAGACACGTTATATTCTATGTTAGACGTCGATATGTGATCAATCGAAAACAACCTTCACTTTTAAAGATTATTAAAAATTGTTTACATACTTAATTAGTACTGCTCCTTTGCCTCGTTATGTCTGCCAGATACTGCTTCTGTTTTTCTTCCATTTACCACTTACCACCTTTCCTTTTTTTCTTTTGTTGTACCTTTCTCTGTTGCTGTCGTGGACCCGATGATTCAACTGCCGGACTATTCCGAACGTTCGGAGATGGTTTTGCTTGCATTTTAGTAATATCACTGTAACGGACAAGGTCACGTATATAATTAATAGTAGGCTATTCATGGACAATGTTCAGCTATCGTAACTCATTTTCGAAAACTGTTTATACCGATATGCAATAATTTTACGTACTACATGTCGCTGGCTCCTGTTGCAGCACCCTGGGTTCCTTTCATAGCTGAATCCCTATTTCTCCTATCCCTTTTTTTCCTATAGCCACTACGTTCATGTCTTGGCAACCATCTTTCAGGGTCTGGCGGAACATTCGGGTCATAGGTTTTAGGAAGTTTCCCTTTCCGTTTTCGTTTCTTAATCCTCTTCCTGATCAGATCAGTTGCTGGGGTTCTAAAAAGGAAGACAAAACATTAAGACACATCAATATGTACGTAGTCAAGAATTAATTATAAATTTTAAACCTGAAAATGTGACTTACCCTGGTGAAGCTTCCACTTTCCGCTTAATAACTTTAGTACCGATAATCCAGTTGCTACTTTCCAATGCATCCACATTGACAGTCTCTGCAAGGTCGTGCAAAGGAGGTAATCGTTTAGATAATAATTGGGCTCTGGCAGAATCGAATTGGGCATATGCAATAACCAATTGCGCCAAAATTTTAGTATCTGAAGGCGAAGCATGCAGCAATTCCTCCAAACTAGCAGCAACAACTTCGACTTCACCACTGCGCAAATGGAAATCTGCTGCTTGCCTCCAAAGTGTTTCGAGATTTCCACCCATTTCCTAAAATAAATGTTTTACACGTTAATTATTTTCCATTGTTAGCAATCATTCCATCGATGAAACTGTATAGATCAGTTTGAACAAAACATTCGAAGTTAGACACTTAATTAAAGCACCTTATTCTTTTTATAATAATTTACAGCATCCTTGAGAACTGATGAAGCTCTTTGACGATTATTTTCTGCCATATAAAAGGTCACAAGAGCGCTGACAATTCCTGGCAGTGATTTGTCCTTTTCGTTCAAGCTTTCCAGGACTTTAATTGCCTCGTGGCGCTCTCCATGATTTAAAAGCACCTGTATACAATTTAACTTCATTTGTAGTTGGTGCTCTCCGAAAGCGTGCTCGTTTATTATTTTTACTGCCTCTTTCGTCTTATCTTCCTTACTCATTTGCAGAGCTTTCACAAACATAGCATCAGATGTTAATTCAGGGTATTGAGTTGCTAGTTTATCACAGAGCTGCTGACATCGATCACCCTAAAATAATACAAACATAATTGTCATAATTTTAAAAAGCAGCCCAATGCGGTATACACTGAAGCAGTCACTTTGGATGAAAATTTAAAGCGGTGAATCTCACAAGGGAATAATAAATTATACCAATAACAACATTTTAGTACTATGTACCTGATTCACGTATAAAGCAAGTAAACATTGGTTGTACGCTATAGTTCTCCGTTGTTTAGAAGTCAACCTGTGCTCTAAACCTTCCTGAAAAGCACTTTTCATTCTCTTCTTACTATCAAATATATTTTGATCCTTGTTCAGAGTAAGTAGATTATTATTAGCAACTGCATTTAACGCAATATCCGATGGAGATGATTTAAGTGCAGCCGAGTACAAAGCTTGAGCTTCTTTCTCTCTTCCTTGCAGCTGTAGACAATAAGCAAGCTGAACTTTAATGATAGCAATTTCCTCGTCCACCTTTTCAAGAGGTACTTCATCCTCTTCCAATGATTCTCGACACATTTTCTCTGCCATTTTCAATTTATTTTCTGCTTCAATGAGAAGTTCTTTGCTCTCACATGTGGCCTGAGATACTAACTGACAGGCAGCATTATACACTTGCTCGTAAGTATTTTCTTTTAATGTAGGAACTTCTAAATCCTACAAACAAGTCATTTTGAAATTTCTTTCTCTTTGGACTAGATTTTATAAGGAAGAATACATACCAAACCTTCTGCTGCTAAATTAGCAATTACAGCAGCTAGATTGGTTTCTCTTTCATCTTCGTACTCATCATTAGAATTCTTAATAATATCTCGGTAAACAGAGAAGCACTCCTCGTATCTCTCCAGTCGGTATAAAATCTGTGCCTTTAGTTCCTTGATTCTTAAAGAAGGATTCTGAACACTGTCTACAACCTTAAGAGCTTCGGTTACTTCATTCAACCGATAAAGGGCATATGCCTTTTCGAACACCAAATTTCTGTAAGACGATAACTTCTTAGTATCTCAAATAAATGACGTAACAAATGTTATCTTCGTAATAACTTACGCCAATTGTTTTGGAAAGTTTAAAATCGATTGTAGAGCTTCTTTGAATCTCCCCAATTGAATGAAGCAAACAATTTTACAATGGAAAGCAGGCTCCTCCTCTTCGGAAATGGTAAGAACTAAATGAAACCAAAAAGATTCATTTAATTATACTATTCCATGTTTAACCATTAATCAACGTATCGACCATTGGAAATGTTTGAAATATTATAATTAAATTTAGTTATCCGCGACACGTGCACTCGATACTCATCCTACTGTAAAGCGAAGTGAGAGGTTATCTCACCAAACGGATATTTACACACGTCAGTTAACCTTACTCCAAACCATTCCAAATGATATAACACGTATCTCGTTAAACGCAACTAAGATCGGACATACTTTTATTGGCCGTTTTTAAAGCTCTCTCGTATTCGCTACTTTGGCCCAATTTATTTAACTCCGCGTAAAGAGAGGACACGTTACTCTCCTTTGTCGCCATATTGCCAACTGACTGCAACTGACAGCAACGACAGCAACTGCCTTCAACCGATAAATTTCGACATCTCCTAGAAACCCATGTTTTGATTAAAATGCGTGATACCCAAAATAGTTTCGATCCGAGGCACTTGGTTGCGCCACTGTCCACAAAAAATGAGTTACAGGAGTAGTATATCAGAGATCAGAGATGAGTAGCAACCAGAGATGAGTTGGGAGATTGCTCACGGGCAGGGTCGCGCGATCGCATCCTGTGCTGCCCTCTGGTTTTCTAGCGGTCGACATCTGACCGCAGATACCTGAAAAAGGTACCCTTGTACTTCTTTTGCATCATCTTATAATTACGGATTTTCCGTTAAGGTGACGAGAAAGAGGCAACCGGGGGGTCGGTTGATAAGGAAATTTTTCAATTCCTTTGCTTCTATTCTTATTCTCGTAGTTTTGAATTCCTTTCAATTCCGTTCCTTTCAAGTTTTTGGAGTGAATTGATAGGGATAAGATTTCGCTCGTTTTCTTGTATCGTCAGTGGAATAAAAGACAAAGGAAAAATCAGGTATTCAGTGGAATTAAAATTTTCAATTCCAATCAATTCCAGCCTTGTTACCGGGTGCTGACGTACGAAACCAGAAGGCATCACAGGATGCGATTGCACGCCCGTGAGCAATCTCCCAACTCATCTCTGGTAGCAACTGTGACCACAGAAGCTCGACGGGAAAGGTTGTTTTCTTTAAATTGGTCTCTCGAGTGAGTGGCTGCGATTTTTTTTCACAGATACAGGGTTTGAAGCTTTTGTGAGGGGTACATGTTTTTTTCAAAATAGGTGCTTTACATTAAAAGAAAAGCATTAGATAAGCAGTATAAAAGACATTTAAAGGGAAAACGTATATTTTTAATTTAAAAAAGTGTTATTTAAACATGTCAAAGACCAACTATCATTGATCTAAAAATGAAAGACGTCTATAGATTAAAATATCTATAAGATGTTAAATCATGTGGAGGCAAAGTCAAATAAGGGCATTTCGAGTGGTACAAGTGGTGGCAAAGGATCTAGATGCAAAGAATGCGCATGTTCAGAATTGATCGTGTCACTAGAATCAACGGAGACATGACGTAGACGTTCCGTCAAATGTTTAACCTCTTCTTCCTTTTTCTCCAAATCAGTTAACAGTCTTTCGACGAGGGATCTTAACTGACAGTTTACGGTACGTAACTCCTCTATCACCACTGTCGTGTCTTTAGGATGTTTGAAAGCCTGACTATCATCAGGTGAAGGCAAGATCAAGCTCAAAAGACTATCGTGTTCCTCGATGGTATTGTATATGGCCTGGCGCAGCGATCCTTCGGCCTTGTCGTACAGCCTTTCGCAAGAGTTACCCTTTTCGACCGGTTTGGATCCTTGCTTGCTTAAAATGTCTCGCTGCTGAGATTCCAAGGTTGCTTTAAAATCCTCGTACTGCGTTTCCTTCATTCTATCAAATAAAAGTCAGATCAGTTTCCAGATGAACGGGACGCAGGAGCAGTCCAGAGGCTAGACCGATCGACTCACCGACCTAAGTATCGCGGCCTGCTTTCTGTGGTAATCTCGCTGATGGGTAAGCGATTCCAAGGTGACGAGCAAGCGAATCGAGCTCGTGAAGAGCAGAGTTTCTCCTGTGGAGGTGGCCGCGGAGTGCAGCCCACCGAGATTACCTTCCACTCGCGAGCGCGCTTCGGTTAAGAGGTTGGCGACGCACTCGTGGCACTCGGCCGCCTCTCTGAATCGGCCTTCCCGTATTAAAGCCTCCGCTCGGCGTTGCCTCTCGTGTGCCTGCAAGGGACATTGGAACGAGTAATCGTCAGTCGGTGGTCAAGGCGTACCAAAAGATTGGCGGTTTGCCTGCTCCCAGGGATTCTCGGTCCCCGGGCGACCGGCCAACGGGAAGCGAGTCCACCCTGACGGACTCGGAAGACTCCACCTTCGACCGCACGGACTTTCAATCAATCAAATGGACGATTACGAGATCTCGACACAGGTGGAACCGCTTCCCCCCGCCGCAATAGCGCGGAAGGCACTGACCAAGTTCAAGGCAGAAGTCTCCATGACCGACCGACCCACTACCGGTCGTCATCGCGTCTTCGAGTCCAACCAGAGTTAAGTTGAGAGATTACGGGCAGAGTCACGTGATCGGTTATGTGCTGCCATCGGTAGAGAATGCGGACGGCTCGCGCACTCGCGATGTATTACCTACGATAAATTACCTAGGGTATTTTACTTACCCAACTGTACCCAACCCTGCTCCCAACTCATCTCTGGCACGAATTTGACAGATCTAAGAACTGTTTCGGAAAGACTTTTGTGTACATTATACATAGGAAAGATGGTAATTACATTTATGAGATAATTATATGATTGCAAATACACGAATGACCAAATTGATTTTTCTTCCAGGCAAGGTACTTCCGTGAAGAGGACATCGATGGTCAGTATCCAGATAGAATTCCTCTTCATTTCGTAACAATAGATGGATTTTTGAGTAACCGTTAGATTCGATATTCTCTTAACCGCAGAGTTCAGAGAATGTTTCTACCTCTTCGCTCGCAGTGGTCGGATCAGGACTTTGGACGAATTGACGATAGTCATGCGATCTCTGGGTCTCAGTCCAACAGTGGCAGAACTTGACAAGTACCTCAAGAATAAAGGTAATTACGAGTAATATCACCTAATATTAATTATATGATGATGACATATATTCACTTTTCTAAGGTGGAAAGATGTCCTTTGCCGATTTTCTGGAGGCAATGCATCTTCAGACCAGAGCAGAGAACCTTCCCAAGGAAGTTATAGATGCCTTTAGAGCTGCCGATACTTCGAGAAGTGGAACGATTCCTGCACGACAACTAGCGCACATGCTACTCGACTGGGGAGAAAGACTGAGTACTAAAGAAGGTAGCGACCCGATTCACTGTAATTACTCGAACCGTACACAAGGCATTCTCTTCAATCTTTGACCTTCCTTTACAGTTGAGCAGATCTTCCGAGAAGCCAACGTTTCGCCAAACGGCTTCGTTAAATATGAGGACTTCGTCAAGATCGCATGTGCCCCAGTGCCCGATTACTACTAACATGCCTCGATCCTTATCGATCCTTTGCACTCCGTCCTGTCCAAATTTGCCATGAGCCTTGGGGAAGTGGTATTACTTGTTACACTATTTTTATACACTTATACCCTATTGCATATCAATATAAATAAAATATTTAAATAAAAGGACGATTCAACGGAGAAGTGCGTTTGCGAGTACGTCTCTTTCTACATCGCGGTAGGTGGAGAACCGCACAGGATGACGGTGGTGCTGACAACGGTTGTCAGAAAGAAGACGCAGAGCAGGGCGCGATCACTGACCAGCGCAACCTGCTTCCACTCGAGCTCCGTCCTGTCCCGACGATCCTGTTCAACGAGACGCCTCTCGTTCCTCTCGATGGTCCCGTGGACCCTGCCCAAGGCCCTGGACCAGTGAGTTTCCAAGCTGGTCTCCTTCAGGAACTCTAAAAAGGCGTGAAAGGCAAGCAACTGCGAGGAAGGAGAAGAAATTCGAAGGCAAGGACGAATCATTTACCCAAACTAGGACTACCGCTGCTGCCGTGTCTACGATTCTCATACTTGGGCGAGATCTGCTGTTGCTGATGAGCCCAGTCCACCTTCCTGTGCACCGGACAGGTGTTCGTCCTCTTGGGAGGCTCCGCCACGTCCTGGAAGAGATCCTCCAAAGAGTTACCAGTGAATTGACGGGATGACCAGAAAATAATAACGGCTACCTCTTGCAGATCAAAGAAAAGGACCTTGGCGAGCTTGTCGAGCACTAGGGACCTGATGATCCGGGGTACCCTCGTGCCCCGAACACCTCGATGGTGGAGGTTCAAGGTCACCACGGCGAGCCCTGACGCGAAGGACACCAGGCAGATGCTGACCCCGTAGTAGAGACCTGTTGACATCCTGGATACTCAATACCTGGACCGAGAGGCACCGATTCCCAGGAGTAAATACACCGTAAACATGAAACTGAAATTACTCACTGATGAGCGGCGTCTTCTCCGTAGGCGGAAGCGTCTCTCGAATCGTCATCAGGAAGACCGTCATCGAGAGGAGCGCGGATATCCCCAGAGTGACCTTCTCCCCGGATTCCGAGGGGACGTAGAACACCAGAAGAGCTGGACCGCAAGGACGAGACAACTTTGACGAGTCTTCGAGCAGGTTCCCTTTTTATGTCGGCGCGCCGGTAATGCAATGATTCGCACCGGCTTCAGCCTCGGATAATTTACTTATTTCCCCGAGGCGGCCGCGGCCGGAATTTACTTATTTCCCTGCCTATCCGTGAGGACGGAACGTTTTTTGAAAGAATATTAGCGGAGGGGTTAGATCGACCGCAGCCCTGCCGGGAGGGAACCTGCTTCCTATCTCTCCTTCATCGAATCAGGTAAATTGGCGCACCTGATCGAAGACTACCTTCATTTTTTACTCGCAGATCTAGAACTGGCCGAGCTACCTATGCCGTTGATCAGGATGCAGGGCAGGATCAGGTTGAAGACGTAGAACATGGGTCGTCTTCGCAGACGGATCTCGTAGGTGATGTCAGGGTATGGCTCCGGGCAACAGGAGTAGAACTCCACGTGCTTGCTCGCCGAGAAGTCCACCAGGTCGAACTCCCCGTTCGCCTGGTAGTTCGTGATGTCCCCTTGCTCGCTCTGCTTCTCTAACTCCAGCTGTGTCAGTAATGTTCCGTAATATCTATATTTTAAGTACAATTATGTATCCCTCTATTTACGCGAGGTGTCCGTTCCACGTGGATTCGTTTAACGCAAATGAAAATGCCGGAAATAAAGTCTGTCAGTACAAAGAAAAAAAAAAAAAGAAACATATTGTAAATAATAAGCTAGTAGATATAGATTCTAGATACGTATTTCTTTCAAATAGCTTAAGGTAAAACCAAAAATAACGTTTGGAAAACAGCGAAAATTGTTATGATTCACCGCACAGGAAAAAAAGGAGTACACCTTTTTTGTTGGAAGAAACAATTTTGAATGTAAGGAAGTTACGGAAGGATGCAATTATCGGGGGGGCAGAAACTATGGGGACGGTGAGATGCTCATTGGCATGGAAGATCCGGAGTTTAACGATGTCGCCGATAATCAGGCGATAATCGGTACGGCGACTCCTGATTGTTCGGTCTCACCCTCTCGGGACTGAACGGGTATTGAATGGGCCAAGGCAGAATAGGAAATTGAAAGCTTCGTCTGGACCGAAGGGTGTATTCAATGCGGATTAACCCCTTCGACTCCGGACTTCGATTTGGGACCAAAGGAGCGGCAGATTTTCGATTAGCCGATTTTTAGAGGTCGTCGCTCTCGGGGGCCAATAAATGGGAGATCCTTCCTGGCAATTTCGGATCAGGGTCGGCGCTTCCGAGCTGTCCACCCTGACCCCTCTCGCTTTAATTTCGATATTACCCGGGAAGCCGTAGAACCTCGCACTTATTTAACGTCCAGGAAGAACTTGAGACTTCCCTGAGATCGTAGAGGAAGATTCTCCCGACCTTCCTCAAAGAAAAATCCTGGCCGGTCCCAGCGTCGCAAAGGCAATGCAGGGACAATGGCGAAGGAATTGAAAGGAAAGGGGAAACGAGTCCACTCCAATTTCTCTATCTCGAGTGGGAATTCCGGCGAGTTGTGTCAAGTTAATTTTCCTTGATTATTTCCTTGCAGGTTGTATGTAGTTAATTATCCTTTATGGTAATATTAAGAAAATAAAAGAGTTCTTTAAAAATTCAACCTGGTATCCGTCGTAGGTCCAGGACGCCCACTTCAGCTCGCAACGCTGCTCGTCGAAGGGGAAGAACTCCACGTCGATGTCGCAGCTGCTCCGGAAGATCCCGTGGCTCAGCCAGACGACCTGGCCGGTGTAGCTGACGATGACGTTGGTGTTGATCACCGAAGAACTGTACTGAGGATCGGCGCTGCAGCGTGAAAAGAAAAATATCTTCAAGATTGAAAAAAAAGTCCTACAGGGTCCGAGAGGTATAAACATCGCCGTGAAGAGCGTACTTGTTGTAGAGGATAGTATCCGGTCTCCAGACTCTATTATAGGGCACTCGGATCACCCTGATGCCGGCGAACTCGGAGGTGTTCCACTTCAAGTGGTGGTCCGTCCAGACCTGGGTCACCCAGCAGTTCGTCGTCAGGATCTGGTTCTTCTCGTCCTGGAAGTATCACGGGAGGTCTCAGGGTTCCGCTGTACCCTGGTACCCTGAAGAGTCCTATAAATTACTGGTAATTAAATTCTTCTAGACCCTGGAGGAACGAGTTACCACGTCGATGATGTGATGGAGCGACAATCCGAAGACGACCGTCAGCGGCCTCGAAGAGTTCTCCGCCGGGCGGACCCCGGCGTCGTAGTCCTCCAGGAGGTGCTTCGTCAGCCTGTACTCGTGCTCGTCGCAGAAGACCCGACCTGGAACCACAAAGAAACATCCTGAATCTCAATCTTCTAAATATATCTAGATGTTTCATAGAAGAGATCGCCGGAGAAACGTACGCCACGAATTTATAGAAATTTACCCGAAGAGACGGCCCATGCCGAAGATCCGACTATAGACGAGGGCGGGATATATTGGACGGTGTCGCAAGAGGGAGATGAAGTTTCGCCAAGAACTGACAGGCAATCGAGGGGGCGAACTCTTTCGAGTGAAGGAGTGCCGAAGAGAGGGAGGAATTGAAGAAATGGGGGAGAAATCGAAGAGCCCCTCCCCGAGTTTCCATATCACGAGATGGGAAACTCCGCCGTTCCTTTTTCTTTCCCGGAGACCCGAGCGAGATGTTTTTACTTTGCAATCCACTCTCCCGTCAGCATCTAGATCCTCTTCGAGGGGTTCTTTTTCGGTCCCTTAAACTCCTTTGCGTAACGAGATGATAATGGAAATAATTCCGGGAATATATACGCGCACCTCTGTTCACCTTCCTCGCACGTTTAAATCCTTCTCCATAGAGGAGGCGGGAGTTTTGGCGCACTCCCTGCACGTATATGCATATGCACGTGGGCGTCTCAGGCATCCAATTTTATACATATATCGATTAAAGCCGAATCGTATTAACTTTTTCCCATTTCGGCGAAGCGGCGGAAAGTTCCATCGGATGTGACCTCGGCCGGAAAACAAAGCGCTGGCTCGGAGGGATTTTACACTTCTCTTAAAACTAGGAACACTTGAAAATCTACCCGCGCTAAAAGGATCTACGAGTACCTACGACTAGGGACAACGGAGCTTAGACTAGCGAATATAAATACCAGGGTAAATAAACAGGTAACTTTTATGTTCCACGGTAAATTAAAATTAGCATCCCTGAATTTCCGCGCTTTAAAATCGCCAGGCCGTGCAAACGATTCTCGGAATGTACCGGGTATTCTGTACCTAGGTCGAAGAGGATCGGCAGGACTTCCAGTCGAAAGACGACGAGGAAAAGCAGCGACATGAAGCCGAAATTCGGTTTTCGGCTGGCAGCGGCGCAGCGGTCCCTGGTCGACTACTTTTCTATCCGTCTACCGATGCAACTTCAACTGAGCTCAGTTTTCCCGGTGTTCCGCGCAGGCGCGGATTCGGAGACGCGCAAACGTCAAAATTCGCTTCCCAAGTCGCGAGTTAAATCAGGATCATCAGGATTTCGCAGGCGATACTCGAGTAAGGTCTTCGTTCCTCCAAAGGAGTTGACTCGAGCAGACCTTGACAATTTTGCAGCGTCTTCGGGGACTCTTCCAGGACGTAATCATGCGCGCTAGGTTCCTCTTCAGGGTCGAATCGCGAGGTCGCACCGAGAGGTAAAAATATGAGTTCGACGAGAGACAGGTCGGAGAAGTGTCCGTGCACGTTTGGAAATCTTCATGGACGTTCCGAGGACTCCCTGGAGGAAGAAGAATGCCTCGATGACCGAGGAAGGACCAGGAGATCCAGGACGACTCCTGTCGGTCCCTCTTCCTGCGGTTTCGTGGCGCAAATCGTCTCCGCCTCGACTCGCCCTGATGGCTCCTTCGAGGTGGGCTTACACCTGTAATTTGTGTTTATTAATTGAAGGATTCAGGACACGTATACGAACCTCGTATCCGACAGGCAAGAGTCCTGCTGGCACCGGAAGTGGACATGTCCTCGATCAGGGTCACCGTCAAATCCGACAATCTCCGGGTGACCGTCCATCGCCGGTCTTCCGGGACCAATCCGTCGTTCTGCCTCGGAGATTCCTCGGAGATGACGATGAAACATCAGGAGAACTTCCTGGTGCCCAGAAGTGTCGACGGCGACAAGGTCCGAGCGGTGGTGGACAACAAGACGAGGCTCCTCGTCCTTACCGCCCCAGCTGCGAAGGAGGTCCTTGGAGGAGCGGCCAGAAGGAGCTTCCACGACTGCTTTCGTTAGCTGGAAAACAGACTTTGTTTTAGAAATTGTATAAAATAATAAATGTACCAAAGTACTGTACAAAGACTCGTGTCCTTGGGCAGGGAATACTTTGTGACGTTTCTTACTACAGCAGCTTAAGGTCATATGAAAGGGTATATCAATATATACATATCATATCACAATATCAATATATTTATACATATATCAGGAACGTCAAAATATTTGTAAAACATTTTTCCAAACTGGGTACACCGAATCATTAAGAACTTTAACGCCTACTAAAATGATAAAGACAACCGGAGGACGAAGCGTTATCGCACACTGTGTATATACCTCATCTTCGTGAACTCGGAAAGAGCTAAACAAAAGATGGAAACGGTATCAATCGCCACGGTGATCGACCGTCTGTGGCATCCGCTCAAAGAGCCGATTGCTGATCCAATGATCGGAAAGTTTCCAAGCACAGGTCCCGAAGATGGAGAAATTACCAGCTCACTGCCGCGAGAACGCCGTCCTCTTCAAGGCTAAGGATTACATGAACCTCGACGCCAGATCCGAGGGATTCAGGACGAGCGTCAGGTTCAACAAGGTCCCGGACTTCTACACGATCGACGACAAGGACTACTACGCGGTAAGGATGTTTAAGAGAGAGATAATCCTCGAATAGTCATAGTCAGTCACCTATTTCAAGCAATATCTCTCAGGCAGAAATGAAAATACAAGGTATCAAGGTCGGCTCGGCCGCCCTGGCGAGTCAGGACATCTTGAACGTGAAGATCCAAGAGACGGAAGGGTGCAAGCAAGTAAGGAACTTGAATTTTCACATTCCTCCCGAGGCCGATGTTAAGAAGGCCTCGGTCGAGGTGTTCAACGGGGACACCGTCTTCGTGAGAGCTCCCCTGAAAAGGAGGCCTCTTTAACGTCGAAGACCGCAGGAAACGAATAAATCAGAACTTAAGTAAAAGTCACGGTACAGTTTCTCTTTTTATTAATGAAATGCTTAGTGAAAATTCAAGTAATCGCGAGTCCCTGGACCGTGTCTATTTCTTGGCCGGTGCTGGTGCGCTCTTCGGGGTCGCGGCCTTCTTCGAGGTGGCCTCTGCAGGTTTAGCTTCGGGTTTAGCTTCTGCAGGTTTGGCCGATTTAGCTTTCGCAGTCTTCACCTTCTTAACCTTCAGAGCCTTGGCAGCCAGGATCTGTTTCCTGCGCCTCTCCTGCAGCCTCTTCGCCCTCAACGCCGGCGCGTACTTCGGAAGCTTTATCTGGAAGCGGGGAGAAACATTTGTTACAAGAACTTGTTAAATCTAGAAAAGAGATTATAAACAGATATGGAGGGACAATTACTCCTTGCTTCTCCGCCAGCAGCAAGTCCTTCTCGTGCTGTCGCTTTTGCGCCGTCAAGATGGCAGCGCGTTTCAGCACAGCAGCGTACGGATTAAGACGCAGCATGGCCCGAGTGTTGTTCAGCGGATTCAGTTTCTTCACTCTGCGTATGACCTTCTTCCTGTAATTCGGAGCAAACAAAATCCCTGGTTAGCGCTTCGAAGATTACAAATGAAACGTAATTTCTTTTTTGAACATGTCATCGTCAGAAATGGTTAAAGTACTAATCACTGTCGTTCAGCAACACGGACCAAATTGGATCATCATTGAGATGTATCGAGATGCATGATCGGAAGGACCAATAATGTCAAAAATCACCTCGGTGCTCTGAGGACTTTGCGGATCTCTTCGGATTTTAGGAGCCTCGAGAGGTCGGTGTTGGCCATCTTCGGGAATGGCAGGTTGTAGCCAGCCTTCAGTTTCGACTCCTGACGCCATGTTCCGTAGAGAGCATCCAGCTGATCAAATGCTGATTTTGTCCAGATGACGAAACGACCTACGTGGCCACCCGGCGCAAGTTTCAGGAGGTTCAACTTGTTGATGTTCATAAGGTCGACGCCAGGAATATTGCGGAACGCCTTACGGATTCCCTAGAATGGTCGCGCATAGTTGTTTGTTCTTTCGGAAGGGAGAGGATACGTTTTGAGGAAGTACCAACCCGGTCGTTCCCATAAACGATGAGAGGCCCTCGACGTTGGATGCGACGTCGATTACGCATTTTACCTTTACCGGCGCGGAACCGCTGCGATTTGTACACCTAGACACCAAAGATTATGATTTATAATCTCAGCAAATCACAAGGCGGAGATAGAAAATCATTTCGAACTGACTTGAAGAATCTTGTGCGATTAACGTTTAACCCGTTTAGATGTGATTAGCAAACGAGAATAACCGTTTATCGTGTCACTCTGACCCTGCTTTTGGATCGCTTGCAAACATTGGTGCAACCGAGGACATTATGAGGGTCACGAAATGCTTAAATGGAGAGTTATTTTACTTACCTTCTGAATATCATTCCAGGCCTTGATACGCCGTAAGAAAATAACGGCCTGTTTGGTTTTAGTGTATTCTTGGATTTTATCGGATACTACCAGAGGGAATTCTGGTACTTCTTGAATCATATGCCCTAAAAAAGGTTTTTGACATACAATAATTTAACTACATGCAAGACACTTGAAAGGTCACAAAACATAGGTTTTAAAATACCTTTAGACTGCACGAGTGCCGGCACTCCTGAGGCAGCGATAGCAGATACAATGGCATAACGTTTCTGATTAACGTTCACACGACGATGCCAGCGGCGCCAAGGTTTAGTTGGAGCAAACATGCGCCCTCCCCTACACATGTTACCGAAGGCACCCTGACCAGATCGGTGGGTACCGCCTCCACGGACACGCGGAATACGTGCCACGGCTCGACCGGTTCCCCATGACTCGGCAGAAGTCTGGTGCCCTGTAAGATGTTACATCTTAATCATTGTCTAATATAACAGTACAACAGCCTTAGCAGTACAGCCTTGAACTCACCAGCCTCTTTCGAGACACAGTACGGCTGCCGGCTGTTCTTCGAAACTTGTTGATGAACAAAGTTCACCACATCTGGCCGAATAGGGGCTTTGAACACGGCAGGTAATGAAATCGTGTCCCCCGATGGTTCATTTTTCTCCGAATAGATGGTAACGAGCGGGCGGGCTGTTGATAACGACTACGAACAGACGAAAAAAAACTTTTAACCAAATAATAACTAAAACAAATAAAAATATGGGATCTCACGCGATCAAATTCACAGAGAAAACTATGTGAGAATAAAACGATTTCCTGGTCTCCATTTACCTTTCAAATTAAAATAACAAAACTTTGAAACAAGCAGGACTTGTCCACGAGGTCCGCCGAACACCCAAGCACACATGGCGCCCGCATCCGGAACCCGAAACGGGTTCAAACTACAACCCGAGCGATGCACAGGGCAATTCTCTCCATTTCCTCTTCTCTAGATGCTTGTCTAATTATTCGGCATCGTCAGGCACAAATTTGGAGGGGAAAAACGTGAAAACTAATACCGTGTTCTCCAAAAACCGACCGCGGTCAAGCGCGCTCGCACGTGGCCGACTGTGCGACATGGCACCGTCTGTTCATCGACCCCCACATATTTAGTATTAAAAACCGGGTAATCGCGATTGATAAAAGAACCGAATACTTGCGCGAGAAGCCTTTAGAACGCAGGTGAACGAAACTTACCATTTCGCGAATTAGCCCCTCGCTACTTTTTACACATTAGGATCCGGCGTCTCGCCTCCGCCTTCGCCTTCGTCTCGGTGCAAAGGAAGAGAACGACACGGGTCAAAATGGCGGCCGTCGGGCCGATGGAAGCGCCATGTGGTCGCTATTGGAAACTCCTCCAATGCGGCCAACAGAAACTCAAACTCAAACTTAAATTCTCGTGAGTTTTCTTAAAAACATTACGCGCGGAACACGTCACGTGAAATGTGTTAATAGCCAATGACAGGACACAAATTTGGTTCCAACGGAATAAAGGCGGCTTCCGCACATGTGGGCGAATTGTTGCATTTCCGCACGTGTGAATCCGCCATTACACTTCACACATGGAAATGTCACCTTCTTGAGATTGTAATTTCATATCATTTCGTATTATTAACAACAAGAAGAGGAGATTGAATTTCTAACAAAAAGCTAATTACAATTTACGCGTGAACGACCAAAATATGTCGCGATACACAGTCACCGGAATTTCTGCCCTTGGCAGAATTATACAGGTACTGGAAACAGTGTGGAAGCAATGTTGCAGATAAATGCAGTAATTGTTAAAGAATTTTTACTGATTGTCATGTATAAACTGAGGAATGATATGTATAAACTGAAATTTCAGCAAAATCCAGGCCTTCTCGTGCCAGGAGTGACCTCGAGTTGGCTTCAACATTCGCGAGCGAAACACTGGAATCCACAGTTTAAGAAATTCCGTAGAGAAAAAGTGATTAAAGTGGAGCTACCAGATTATAACTTAGATGTGGAATCCTTATCAAAGGAGGAAATGCGCTCACACATGAAAAAGATGGGTTTACAACCTATGGCACCATCGACGGAAAGAACATTATACTTTGCTTCCACTCAATCTATTTTCGAGCCGTACATACCACCAGAAGGGGATGGAAAGTTCTCAGCTATCAGTACAACGGTTTGTCTTCATATTTCGTACATATCATATTTGCCGGATTGAATAAATAATAATTATCGTCCTTAGGGTGCAAAACAAAAATTAGAATTTGTTGAGAAGAAAGGAAAATCCATGCTGGCACTTAGAAAGATCAGAAGCTTTGAAGAAGATTTTGACGTCAACATCTTTGTCGAGGAAGCACGTGATATTTATATAAAAGCCCATGAAGCATTAGCAAGGTAATAAGACTTTCAATGTTTTCTTTAAATATATACATCATTACACTTCTAGCAGAACATCATTGTCAATGTTTAAACTTCAGACTTTACAAATGTTAACAATTCAAATATTATTTTTTTTAGTAAGGATAGACACCAGTTGCGACAGTACGTAACAGAAAGAGCATATCCTGTAAGTATAACACATTCGACATCTCTGACTTGTTTAATCACATGTGATAAATATAATGAAAATGTGGTACAATTGCAGGATATGAGAAGTAATACTTTATACAAAACGATTCACTGGAAATTCCTTGAATCTTTAGAACCAGCACGTGCAGTACATGTAAGATGCACAGACATGATTACAAAGGAAAATATTTTTGCTCAAATCACTGTCCGTTTCCATACTCAACAGGTAGGTTTGTTTTTATCAGCTGCTAAGCATATGAATAAATTCCTTTGAGCATAAGGTGTACATTGTCTTTCGTTGCAGTTATTAGCTATTTATGATCGATTTGGACGCCTAATGCACGGTAGTGAGATATTGAAGAAAGATGTTCTTGAATACGTTGTGTTTGAAAAACATGTAGCCGATGAGTACGGCACCTGGCGTATTCATGGAAAAATTATTCCACCCTGGATGTCACTTCCTGAACCAGCCCAAAAAACATATATAAAAAAACCAGAAGTCATTGAAAAAACAGTACCTGTGGATTAACTTTAACCTTTAACCTTAAACTAACGTTAAATAAATTAGTATAACTGCATCGAATGTACGCATTTGTTTATAAATAAAATCATGAATTAAAACGTTGATTTCCCTCTTATTAAATCGTTATTTCTAAAAGCGATAAGAAAGTAATTAGATAGGTAGCACAGCAGAGTATAAAAAGAATCGCATTTTATTTCACTTATATCACGATATTTTAAGAGAACTTAAAAAATACAATTTAACAACTCAGTATAAAAGGAGATCAGTATTATTAAAAAAAAAATACCTGCGAAGTATGGACTTGCCTGTACACTGAAACAGTCGTGTTTAAAAACTCTAAAAATATCAGCGGAATCACACCGTCAAATATTAAAATGCACAAACCTATTTAAGATAACATACAATTTACATTTATATCACCATATATTAAGGTATTTACATTTCAAAAATGTCCCTAAATCTCCACATTTTAATATAAAAAAGAAAACGTCACTTTGATCACAATTATTTGAAGAGAATGTATACCCGCGAGTTTGCATTCAAGAAATGGATGAAAAATATACACTAAGTGCTTATCATATCGGAATTACGCCAACACCCACGCCTCCTTCGTGAGCACACATAGGTGCCGCAAAAGACCAAGAATTCGTTTTCGGATCATATACTTCGACTGTCGACAGGTTCGAAACACCATCGTAACCACCAATGGCCCATAACTTTCCCATGTTCGCAACTAATGCTGCTCTACTTCTCATCACATTCATAGGAGCTACGTACTTCCACCTGCATATAAGTGAGCTTTAATTAGTTAAGATCAAAACAGCCCAGAAGGAACAATAATACCATGTAGCATCCTAATGATAAAGCAATTCTTTACAAAACTGTACTCACGTGTCGGTAACTGGGTCGTACATCTCTACGGATTGCAAAAAGGTAGAACCATCGTAGCCTCCGCAAGCATATAATTTACCATACAATGAAGCAACACCTAATCTGCACCTTCGAGTCAACATAGGTTTAACCACTGTCCACACACCAGTTTCTGGATCGTACCTTTCAACCTGTTAATAATACATAGACAATTATCACTGAACAAACCACTGTGTTGCATTTACTCACAGAATCGAATATCGAAAGTCCATCATGGCCACCAAGGGCATAAACATATCCTTGGAAAGCATCTACTGCACCTGCAGAGCGATGCTTATTCATTGAGCCAATCAATTTCCATTCGTCCGTCTCAGGACAATAGCTTTCAACGCTATTTAAAGATGTTGCACCATTATAACCCCCACAAACGTATAAATAATTGTTAAGAGCGGTAGTTCCGACGGCACTGGAAGTAGAAAGACCACATTTTAACTCTCTTCGGCCATGGATTCACGTAACTTAGGTGACTTCAAATTCACCTTCGTTTGCAATGCATTGAAGCTATGATTTTCCAAGACTTCAAAGATGGGCAATAGACTTCTACAGTTGAGAGTCTTTCAGTTCCATTGTACCCACCAAATGCGTAAAGTTTATTTCTGTGAACAGCCACTCCAACACGACTTCGAAGCATTGTCATAGCTTCGGACATTTGCCATCTGCCTGCAACATTGTGATACATATTATCACACCCTTCCTTGTTCGCAACCTCTCAAATCGACTATAACTCACCGACGAAAGGGTCGTATACTTCGACCGTACTTAAAGAATCACCAAACTTTGTGATCCCCCCGACGGCAAAAATATGACCAGTAATATAATTACAACATCTAGGTCGGATTCTAAAATTCTGAACTAAGTGTCGCCTCTCGGGCATAAGATGATAGTCTCTTGCTTCATCTAACAAATCTCTAAAAGTATTCGATTCTTTGAGACTTTATCAATTTTCTAAATTACATGCCTACATACCTGCACTGATGAGAACTCCTTATGAGTTCCTCTTTTGCCACGTAGTCAATTAGATATTGAGGAGTCAGGAGAGGTAACCTGACCGAAGCTAACAGTTCTGGTAAATGTTTTCTTCTTCCTTCTTTTTCATGCCTCACCCATCTCATGATGGCTTCGAATACGTGCTCTTCGGAAATTACATGCAATTCGTCACGTGTTACAAGTTCATTCAGATCCATAAAGGAAAGATTTACAAACTCTTCCGATCTCGAAACGTCATGAAAGTATTGCTGAATATATTTGTCTGCTTCTTCTACTAGTGGGGAGCAACTCAGAGTGTCCGCAAAATGCCGAATGCCCAATGCATTTTGTGGATGAAATTGTCTTTTCAAGAAACCGGCACAGGCGTCCCTTACTCCATGTAGTTGTAGAAAAGATGCTCCGACCATAATGCTCTGGACGTTACTAACGGTAATCGTGATGCGACCACTGTATGCAAAATTGATCAAAGTCTCCAGAGCCCTAGAAATTAATGTCAAATATTTCCAGCAATCGCCATCGCTCGACCTCAAAGTAATAGCAGTTCTCCCTATACATTACCCACCCTAAACAAAGCCCAAAATACATAATTCTTACGTAGCGTCAAATCCTTGCAGTGTGATATCCTTCTGCTTGCTCTCGACCATGTTATTCAGGAACATTGCACGGAAATACGGAATCGTTGCAGCCAGCACGATTCTGTGTGCACTGAAGCTCTGATCGTCCACCTAAAAACTCGGAATTATTATACAAAAAAACAATCGCGTCAATCTTAACCTCTCCTGAATCACCACTCCACGTATGCAAATGAGCGCGTCTAAACAATCCGTCTGTTCCAGGAGTCCACGGCTTACCTTGAGCGTGGCATCGCAGAGTTTACCCTGTCTCCGGATCTCCTCGAAAATCGGAAAACTCTGCAAGAAGAGATCGGTCTGCTGATACACGAGTAGTTTCTCGTCTTCCATGACACCGCTGACAGGTAGCTGCTCTCCGACCGAACGGTGACTTCTCCCCTGCGAGGTCGCGGCGTTGCTCCAGACACGTCGGTGCCTGCGGGAGAATTCGCTGGTGGCTGTTGCCCCGCCGGTCACGAAGGGCGGCCTATTACCGGCGAAACCGGTCACCGACGGCAGGGTTCGGCGCGACATCTTCCGCTAACCGGGCGAACTAAAAGAAACCTCCTACTTCGGATTCCCGACTCCCCTAGAAACTGAAAAAAATACCACGAATTTCGTTTCCTTCGGCTAATTAACAATGTCTCTCTCGATAGCACTAATTAACGAACGAAGAACACTGAGGTCTCGATAATTACTAGAGGTCCAGCCTCTCTTCACTTTACGCGCGAAAGTTTATCAATGGAATCCTTCACGGGTCGCTATCATCCCGACTTATATCGCACGAATTATCCTCGCGGACGTCTCGCGACCCCGAAATTTGGCTTCGAACTGACTCCGGGACCTTTGGGCCGGCGATTTCGGGGACTCTGCCGAGACCGTTCGAGTTTTGTTTACGGTTTTTGCACCTCGAGAATTCGCGATTCCAGGGCGTGCGTCCCTGCGCGCGTCGACGCGCCTTGGGACGCCGCTCGCGCGCAAATGAATCACGGAAAGCCAACGAACTCCCTTTTAAACTCGGCCTTCTCTTTGTGGCTAAACTTGGCCCGGATGCTAATTTTCGCGCAAAAGGTTGCCCGAAGGTTGGCGGGCAATTAAAGGAGCGCACCTCGCGGCTCTTCGCCGAGTCACTTCGCCGCGGCGCGGCTTTGTTTCCCGAAACCGGCGAGAACTCTCCCGGCCACAAAGGGAGAATTTCCCGATTACACCTCCCCGTATTTTTAGTTCGACAATGGGACGAACTCTGTCCTCTATCTCATACAAAATCATAAATTCCTTAGATGACAAATAACGCGTGGAAAAAATCTCACTCTCGTGAGTAACAACCAATAACAAATATCCCTACGCTCGAGACAAAAAGAGACGCTGAAATGCCGAGAATTTTTTTCACGCGGTCTCGAAAATGAAGTAATTCAGATCAACGTAGTAACTATCAACATGTTTTTATAGCATCGATAATTCAAAACGTCATTCGTGAGAAAAAGTGCCGCGAGTCATATAAATTGTTGAGGTTAGGTTAGGTCGCGACGGTCGAACGCGAAGCGAGCGACGCGCAGTGGTGGACTCGTTTAAATTTAATCCTTCGTTCGGGAATCTTGCCGGAAAAGGGGAAAAAGGGTTCCTTGCGTCGAGGTTCCTTCTAATGATACAATTTTGCAATGATTTGGAAAAACAGGAATAAAGATTTCGTCCGGTTTCAAAGCGGTCGAAAGAAGATGTAGCGAGGAGCGACCGTGGTTGCCGTCAGCCGTGACATCCGTGACCCTAACCAAGCGCGCGGCGTTACGTCAGGAAAACGAGTTTTCTTCCTCGAGAGTCGTCGTCCACTCGCCCTGGTAGGAGCGGAGAGCAATCGAGGAGCGTTTCAGCCTGTGCAGTCCTCAGAAGTGCAAAGTCCACCTTACAACAGGCTACGCGACTGCATTCCTGACATAGCAGTTTGTTAGTCCGCGCTCTGATAAGCGACCGTTATCACGAATTATATTTGAATATCTGCAACTGCTGTTAAAAACCGGTAAGTTTTGGTCGATTTCACAGCTTTCACCAGAAGGCTTCGTAGAGTGGAGAAAGTAAGGAGTAGACCGTGAAGACTGTGACTTTTCAGGGGCAAGATGGTTCTCAAGCCAAAGGTCTACGTTGTCGGGGTGGGCATGACAAAATTTGAAAAGCCAGGGCAAAAGGACAGCGTAGATTACCCTCAGCTGGCAAAGGAAGCTGTCACAAAGGCTCTGCAAGATGCGAATGTCTCTTATGCCAATGTCAAGGCTGCATGTGTTGGATACGTGTACGGGGATTCGACGTGCGGCCAGCGGGCACTGTACGAAGTTGGCCTGAGCGGTTGTCCAGTATATAACGTTAACAATAACTGTTCCACTGGTTCCACTGCATTGATCATGGCCAAGCAGATCGTCGAGACAGGAGAGGATTGCGTCTTGGCCCTGGGTTTCGAGAAAATGGAGCCTGGGTCCTTGACGTCCAAGTTTATGGACCGCACCCATCCGATGGATAAACACGTGGAATTAATGGCAGACATTGCAGGTATTTCTGAGAAACCTATAACCGCCCAGTTGTTCGGCAATGCAGGTATCGAACACATGAAGAAATATGGAACCAAACCGGAGCACTTTGCCAAGATCGCCTACAAGAATCACTTGCACTCCGTAAACAATCCGTACTCTCAGTTCCGGGACAAGTACACTCTAGAGCAAATAATGAAGTCTCCTACAGTTTTCGGACCTCTCACAAAATTACAATGCTGTCCCACATCCGACGGTGCTGCAGCCGTTGTCTTGGCAAACGAAAATTTCGTTCGAAGGCATCGCTTGGAATCCCAGGCCATAGAGATCGTCGCGATGGAGATGGCCACCGATCTGCCATCGACCTTTGCTGAGCGCAGTGGGATAAAACTTATTGGGTAAGGATAGAATTCTCGTAAGATCATCAGAATATAAACCCCTAAACATTTCATAGAAGAAATAAATATCTAATCCGTCAATCCCATCATAGATACGATATGACAAGACGAGCAGCCCAAAAGGCATTCGCGGACTCGATGTACCGTCCCATGGACGTGGACGTGGTGGAGCTGCACGATTGCTTCTCGGTGAACGAACTGATCACATACGAAGCCCTTGGTCTGTGTCCACCGGGCAAAGGTGGAGAGCTGGTCGACCGAGGTGACAATACCTACGGAGGGAAGTACGTGATAAATCCCAGCGGAGGACTGATCTCGAAGGGCCATCCCCTGGGAGCGACCGGATTGGCGCAATGTTGTGAGCTGTGCTGGCAGCTCCGAGGAGAAGCTGGCAAAAGACAAGTCCCCGGAGCCAAGCTGGCTCTTCAGCACAACATAGGTCTAGGGGGTGCCGTGGTCGTAGCCCTGTATCGCAAAGGGTTCCCCTCAGCCTCTAGGCCTCGAGCAAACGGAGTAAACGCCAAAGTGAACCCCGACCTTTTCAAGGCCAACGTGCTCTTCAAGGCTCTCGAGATCGCCATGCAGGAGGACACCGACGGGCTCATCGAGAGGGTCCGAGGTATCTACGGATTCAAGGTCATCAACGGTCCAGGAGGCGCCGAGGGCTATTGGGTGGTCGACGCTAAGACCGGGAAAGGCAAAGTCGAGTTCAACGGCAAGACCAAGCCCGACGTGACCTTCACGATCAGCGACACGGACATCGTCGACTTCATCTCTGGAAAGCTGAACCCGCAGAAGGCCTTCTTCCAGGGAAAGGTCAAGATCCAAGGGAACATGGGGTTGGCGATGAAGCTCCCCGATCTGCAAAAACGCGCCGCCAAAAAGATAGAACTAATCCGCGCCAAATTGTAAACCCTCGCGCGACGAAGTCCAGAGGTTCGATCATTCCGTTAAAAGCTAATATAAATAATCGTTCGTCGATCAAATCGCCGAATCGTGTCGTGGGTCGCGTTAAGGGGACGCGAAAGTGGCATCCGAGATATCAATTGTCCATGAAACTTTTCTCCAAACTGGGTGCACCAAATCGTTTCAACCTTTACAGCGTGAATATGTAGGCTATAAGGAAAGTCCCGACCCTCATAAAATGTCATTATTTATAAATATGTTGAAGGTATCTATAAACAAATTTTTAGAAAAATTGAAATTTCATAGGTATCGGGACCTTCCTTATAGCCTCCGTATTCACATTGTCAAGTTTCAAACGATTCGGTACACCCAGGTCGGAGAAGTTTCATAAAGGAGACCTACTCGATGCCATTTTCACGTCGCCTTAAGAACGACACGAGTTTCGTGGGCAGTGGAATCAAATCGCTCTTCTTGGGATCTTGGGCCTATCATCAGGGGGGAGAAATATTTTTGATATATCGTCACAGGGCCTAGGGAACTGCGCTTAATCGGCAATTAAATTGCAATGTTACGGTTATCGTTTATACGCGTAGGTGTACGCATTCGTCCTGCATGTTACATATATACGTATATACAAGTTTTCAATAAACAGCGGAAGGAAGAAATTGTAAAGGGATCCCCGATTTGAGGCGACCTCGCCGCCGCGAGGAACGCGTCTTCGGCCTCGAAGAGAGGAGTCCTTCGACCGGTTCGCCGAGGAGGGTCCGCAGAAAACATTGAACGATCTCGCCGGAACTCGCGATCGCTCGAAGCGGTCAGAAGCGAGTCGATTCCCCTCCGCAAACTCGGCCGCGACCGGCCACGCCCCCCACTCTCGAGGATTTCGAGCTTCAAGCGGCCCGAGCTCGCTCGACTTTAGCCGACTCTAGCCGACTCGGCCCGACTCGGCCCGACTCGGCCCGATTCGAGCATGCTTGAGCGTACTCGACCGACTCGCGCAGTCGTGCTTCAGCCCGTACTCCGCTTCGCGTCGCGCGCTCCGGTTTTCGCGGTTTCCGCTACGCGGGAGAAGTGCGGTCGTAAGTCGGCTTCAACGGGACCCTACGAAATTCGAGGCTGGCCGACTCGTTGAATTAAAGTCGAAGAACTCGCGCGTGAGAAAGGGTAGCGTGACAACGGCCGGACGGGACGCCACGGCGCAGGCGCGTCAAGGATTCGAGGAGGGACCGAGTCGTTGCCGAGCCGCGCCGCGCAGTCACGTGCACTCGGCCCTGGGAGGCCCTTCGACGTCCCACCGACAGCGCCGCGACGCCTGAGGTAAATGAACTGTTTGAAAACGTTTGTAAATTCGGAGGCTATTATCGAGGGCTTCGTATTAATATAGGAAAGCTCTGGAAGGTCCTTCGACATCGCACCGACGCCTGGTGTTATTGAGAATTCCTTAAAAATGTTTATAAATTCGGCGGCAACAAGAGAGATTTTTGTATTACTATGTGAAAGCCCTGGGAGGACCTTCGATGTTGCTTGGGTTACCCTGGGAGAAATAATCACTTCTTAGAGAAAAAAAATCTCTTGGATCGAATACTTTACTTGTTACGACGACAAAATCAGTCGAAGAGTCGAATGATCGAAATTTTGTAGAAAACTCTATTTTTACTCTGTGGAACGCCACGACGCCAATGGCAATGGAGAACTTGAAAACGGACCATACTGCGATTTTTTTCTGTTAACTAGTGAAAGTCTCTAGATACTCCGAACGGAAAACTCCGAAAGCATTCATAGATGCATAAATGATATACACGATTTTCTCTACTAACAATAAGTGAAAGCCCGCCGAGCGCCAAGTAGGGATAAATCGATAAAAGTATTTACTCGATACTTTCATTTCGATATCAAGTACCTTTGGTATCGTACCCGGTGTCGATGGAAAGCACTTGCACTGTTTTAACCAATAAAAAAGAACTGGTTATAAACATTCTACCACTTCGTGTCTTCTGCGAAAGTCCTGTTTGGTTCGTACATTTCCGTGTTTTCCTTCAATACGATCGATGTCTTTCCTTCGATACCGAGTCATACTTATTCTCGATGGAAGTGATAAGTAAGGGTATCGATGTTTGGTGACATCGGCTCTTTCCCAGCACGAAGTGTACACGCAGGAAAAAAAAATTGGTTCACTTGTCGAAATCATTTGGCCGCATTTGGTTACATTTCAGAAAACGTTTTGGTTGAGCGAATCGAATTTCAGTATACTCGATCAAATTTATTCTGATCAAGAATGAAAAATTATTAAACAAAGGATTAAGTCATGTGAACCGGATGGTTTCATTTTTCACGTGTTAAGTTAAGAAAAATTCTGTTGATTCAATTAAATATTTTGAAAGCCGATTCGGTCGGGCTGTTCTTTCCCACGGCCATAAGCTGAGAGACTCGTCTTGCTAGGCCATCGGCCAATAATTCAATTAAAATCCGTGGCTTCATATCAGCCGGTGGGAAACGTGAATATTAGATTGTAAATTTTGCCCTTGATTTCACGTGATGAAAAGTGCGATTTGGTAACAATTGACGTTCGTTCTTGAAATTGTGATAACATTTCCACCGATTTCCGCGTGATTTCGCGTATAAAAAATTCATGATTTATTAAGCGAATGACCCCTCGGGTCGGTCAAGTCGCGCCGAGGATAGTCCGCCTCCTGGGGAGAAGGACGCCGAAGACGAGGCTGAACACGATGCCAGGGAGGACGCCGAAGACGGCCACTTCCGGCTCGGTTGTGCTTCGAGCTTGCGATAAACGATTTAATGTGTTCGCTCGGCGACTTCCCTGCGGCCGGGCGCGCACGTGAGTCACGTCCATTTCGCGCGACGTGCGGCGAATACGCGGCGGATCCGAAACCGAGAAAAACCCCGGCAGGATATATCGGGCCCCGAGCCTCCGCCTTTAATCGCCGCGCGGCCGAACCGCGCGGAATGGGCGCGCGCGGCTGGCGAGGAAACGCGTGTGCCCTGCCGGAGTACATTTTTCTTTTCTCGCATAAGAAGTATAAGTACTGCTTGTAAACAGAGACCTCGGCTTGGCTCTGCCGAGGAATACACAATCGCGTTCTCGGAGGGTAACCCGGGGAAAATTATGAAGTGGAGAATTATCTGCTGGATATTTCATAGATAAGGGTGGTGGCTTCCTCGAGACTCCCGTAAGTGAAGTTCAGCTGAACATCGACCGCTTTGGATCTTGAGAAAAAAAATAAAATTGAAAATCGCACTTTTTGGAGAGAGGTCTCTGGAAAAAGTTGTGATGAATATTAAATTGCCGTGAAAGGGTCATTTCGTATATATCAAAGAGATCGGGCGATTTTGTTACATTTTTTTGTTTTTTTTTTTCTACGCGGTTGGGATCAACTTTTCGTTAACCAGGTCGGAAGCTCTGGGACCGGATCCCGAAGTCGTTCTCGAGACCCGTCGAGCGGAACCCCTGCGGTTTCTAATTCGCCGGCAAATCGTTCGATGCGATCGATCCGCGATCGCTTTTGTCGAGACTTTCCTTCCCGCGGATCGAGGCGGCACTCGAAAATCGAAAATTCGCCGACAAATCGTTCGATCCTATCGAGGCGCGACTCGATATTCGAAAATTTGCCGGCATATCGTTCGATCCGATCGAGCTGCGACTCGAAAATCGAAAGCTCGCCGGCAAATCGTTCGATCCGATCGAGGTGCGACTCGATAACCGAAAATTCGCCGGCAAATCGTTCGATACGATCGATCCTCGATCCCTCTCGTCGAGACTTTCCTTCCCGCGGATCGAGGCTCGACTCGAAAATCGAAAGCTCGCCGAAGCCGGGACCGAAAGGATCCTTGACGTTTCCACGTATTCCCTGATCTCCTTGGATCTGGAATTCGCGCGAGGTCGGCTACGTGTAGGCAGGGATTTGCAACGACTTATGGACCGCGGTTCTCGTCCCACCTGGATCGATTCAGCGATCGAGCCATGCTCGCCGATCGATCTCCAATTCCGGAGGTACCCGTCACTTCCGGGGTTCCTAAAAATGAGGCCACGCTATTATCCGTCAAATATCCTCAGATTAAGCTGATGCGAAAGGGTCATTCTATACATATATAGAACGTCAAAATATTGATAAAACTTTTCTCCATAGATTGCATCGATTCGAGGCTTGCGTCCATTGTCTTTAGAGTAGATCGGGGACCGACGACGACCTGGTGAAACGACGGACACGAGTCGCTGCGTTTCAGGGAACCGTTTCGTCAGGGCCCATTCGCGTGTCGCAACGGCCGAGAAAAAGCAACGAGACCGTTCGGGACCGAATCGGGAGCACGAGGAGCTCAGGGATCGATTCGACTGGCTATCGCCGGGGAAAGTTCCGATCGATCCGTTCGATCCACGCGAAATCCCGATTCGATCCCTCGGAGGCGGCGCCAATTCCGCGATCGATTAAACCCCGTATCGTGTCCGTGACGGGTCCGTGCACTGATGGAAATTACGTCTGAAGGTGGATTCACCCTGTCCGACACGTATCGGTTCAGACACGTGCCGGTTCCGATCCGACAGAATATCCTAACGTGCGTTTCAGTGATTCCGTTCACCCTGTCCGACCTGCGTAGGGTGAACGGTGCCATTTAAACGCGTGTTAAGGTGCATTCACCCATTTTTTTTTTCCCTCGGTGTAGGTGATAGGTGAACGGGCGGTCTTGATAAGCGGAGTGGGTGGAAGTAGGTGGAAGGGTACGCAGTGGTCTCGCACGCGTGCCCAGTTACCCGTGCTCGCTCACGATCTTATCCGGACAATGCGTAACGGGACTCGGGCGATTCCAGGGCATTAAATCGTCCGGGGAACAATGCCGAATTTCCACCTCGTCCTGTCGGACAGGTCGGCCCGAATCTCCGAGAGATTCGCGAGCTACTCGAATTAAGGACACTCGAATGAAAGGTGTTCCTGGATGTGCATCTGGAATAACAAAAGCTCCCAGAAAACCTCACATTTTTTCGAATTAACATATACATATATATATACATAATGTATAACATAATTATGACAGTTGCACGTTTAACTGAAAGTACCGCAGAATGGCGGCGACACGTGGTCAACTTCGACACGTGGTTCGTCACGTGGTTCGTCACGTGGTTCGTCACGTGGTTCGTCACGTGGCGAGGAATAAATTTGTGGGTCTTCGGAAATTCGTCGAAAAATTATTTAACGACTCGGCGAGACCGCGTCGGAAAAATTACTCATAAGTTTACTTCGCAAATCGATTCGGAGGCGACGAGGTTTGCATTAGGCCCTCCTCGGAGAGCGGCATCTCGAGTTATCGCCAGGGTCCTCCTCGCTATCTAAAGTTTGGACAGGCTCGGAGAGATATTCACGAGGGCGAATGCCGAGGGTTACGTTTCGAACGTGCTCATATCGTGTGCAAAGTCGCGACGAGGGACGCGGATTTTTTTTTCTTTTTCTTGTTCACTAAACAAAGTTCATCTCTTACCGGGGAAACTGTTATAAAGGGAATGCTTTTCTTACAAAAACGTGCACGGTGAGTTAAAAGGATTTCGAGGGTACCGAGCATTTGACGCGACCTACCGTAACATTCGACGGGATCTTTTATGGCTGAAGTAAGAAAAATTTGGTAGATTCAGGCAGGCTCCTTTTCTTTTTCTTTTTTTTTTCCGCATCCCGAGGGAAGACGCGGAGGGACGAGAAAGCGAGATGTGAGGCTCGCTCGGTGAAACGCCTCGAGAGAGCACTCCAATTCCTCCGGAGTAAAGAGTCCCGAGTAAAGAGTAAACCCTCCCGAGTAAAGAGAGCCGAGTGAAAGTGTAATCGGCTCGTCCGACTCGGTGCATAAAAATGTCCCGAGTGATCTCTTCCCGCCCCCGCGTTCGGGCTTCCGGGTTGCTTTGTTCCGACTTTCGGGCCGGGATTTTCGCCCTCGAGAGTGTCCCAGATGCGTCGACAGGAACGGGACGACTCTGCTGTGAGGAGCGACGAAAGGGGAAAAAATATGATTCGGTTCTCCCAGTTTAGAGGAAAGTTTCATACTTTGACGTCCCGATAAATATATAGAATCACCTTAAGGCGATATGAAAAAGTCTGCCTATAAATATATATCTCAGAGGTCAAATCGTTGGTGAAAGTATTCGTCGCAAATCTTACCACGTGAATACGGAGAGCCCTAAAGTAGGCCCTGAAACTCATGAAATATCAATTTTTTTTTTTTCGACGTTACCACCGAAAAGGGTATATACATGGATTTCAATTAATCGACCTCGATTATCACTTCTCAGCGCCTTTCGTATCGTCTTAAACAATCGAAATTAATTTTTCCTCGTGGTTTCCAATTCGAGCCAGTCGAGTACTCTCGTCGCGGTTCTGGGTCGAAGATTTGGCTCAGCCTCCAGGACCTGGCAAGCTCCCTCTTTTATCTCCTCTTCCCTCCTCTTCTCTTCCTTTCGCTGCCAACTCCGTCCTCCCGGAAGGCGCGGAGGGAATTCCTCATCCGACGTGGCGATTCGATGCCAGGGGATTTTTCCTCGACGTGGCGATCTCGACGCCAGGAATTTTTCTCGACGTGGTGATCCCGATGCCAGGAATTTTTCCCGACGCGGCATCTTCCGCCGGGCGAAGAATCGAATCGCTTGGCAGGACCCTGGAGAAGGACGAGGGAGGATGAGAGCCTCTGCACGACGGCGTGACCCTGTTCCCCGGGCTCTCTTCCTGCTTGGCCCCCAACTTGACCCCAGATACCCTGGTACCGGGTACCAAGGACCAGAACCTGGGTTATTACGCAAGGAATTGATTCCAGGTTCCTGGAGTGGGTTCCTTTCTGCCGCTAGACCATTCCTGATTTTTCTCAAGGCGGGGGAAATATCGAGGAGACCTGGAATGCCTTCAGGAAGCGTTCTCCAGGCTGATTCCCGATGGATCCTCTTCGTCAAGGCGGGGGAAATGCCTTTTGAAAAATGTTCCTTTTATTATAAGGAGCGGTCGAAAATCATCCTCCATCAGCGAAGAGAATTCTAGGCCAGGTCGTTCCGAGCTCAAAACCTGTCCAGGGTCTGACTAATATAGTTTCGGACGTTGTTTGGACGTTGTGGAGTTTTTACCTCGGGGTAGATGGAGGCGATAAGTCGAGCGACGAACGGGGCGAGTATAGGGCCGGCGACCCCTTCGTCAGCTATTCCATTCTTTCATCCGGATCCCCTTTCCACACCTATAGCGTCCGGCGTTATTAAAGAGATCATCCGGTATCCCGGACGCCCGTCATCGAGCACAATCGGCACGAGGAATACTTACCAGACGGAGGGCCGAAAGTACGACCGATTCGCCAAACTCACCGGAGTCAAGGCCTCGGTCCGTGCGAAACGGTCGTGCCGTGCGAAAATCTCATTGTGTGGACGTTCGAAGACGAAGAGCACACCGCGTACCGTTCCCTTCACCGTTGCCCAGGTCGCCGTTAAATGCCCCCGCAATCGGGATCACCTCGGACTGTGCAACGCGTCTGGGAACTTGAAATAATGAAATGAAACATCGAAATTAGCAGGAAGGACCCTTTTGAAATTTTCTCAGGGTCTTCTTCAGGATCTACTCCCTGCACACGAGGAATCACCTCAACCAGTGCTACACCATCGTCTGGGCACCTGAAACAATGAAATGAAATATCCAAATTAGCAGGAAGGACCCTTTTGAAATTTTCTAGGGTCTTCTTCAGGATCTACTCCCTGCACACGAGGAATCACCTCAACCAGTGCTACACCATCGTCTGGGCACCTGAAATAATGAAATGAAATGTCCAAATTAGCGGGAAGGACCCTTTTGAATTTTTCTCAGGGCCTTCTTCAGGATCTACTCCCTGCACACGAGGGGACTCGGTGCCATAGGCCAGGGTCGAGGTGTTTACACATCGCGGCTTGGGAATCGTCGAAAGGTCGGGTCTTGGGAGTCTATTAAAAGGTCGACCCCGACTCGGCTCGAAAAGCGGCGAGTCGACGCTATTCTCGGGCCTGGCAGCTCTAGTCGCACCTTCTCGTCGGCGTTGAACCCCCGGGGAGGAAAAAATGCTTTCCTCCGCGGACTTTACGCCCAGGGCGAGAATAGCCCGCGAACTTGTTCCAAAAGCACAGAGCATTGAGCTGTGGCGATTCGCGAAAAGAGAGTCCTGGAATTCCAGCCGAACGACTCTATCCGATTTTCCTGCATGAAGAAACATTTTTTTTTTTCTTCCCTTAACAATGTAGCAACGTTAATGACGTTTCGTATATATATATATATATATATATGTTTTTAAAAAATATGGAAAAAGAAAAAGTATATATATAAAAATCTTTCCGTTTTGCAGGAGAGGCATCGAAGCACCGGCAGGAGCCTCGGAGGTGGTGGGAGATCGTCGAGAGGAAAAAATGGCCAGTGCAGGCGAGGTCTGGGTCCAGTGGTTCACGTGTTGTCTGACGCAGCAAGGCCCCGGGGCCCGAGGCAAGAGACAACGATCGGGCCCCGGCTCGGGCCAGGGCCCCGGACCTCGTCATCGGCACAGGATAGACCGCAGCACCATCGGGGCCCCGACGAACTTCCAGCACACGGGCCACATCGGCAGCGGGGACCTCGACATGGCCAGCGCCCGGTTGACGGCGATCCAGACCCAGATGCAGGGCAAGGGCGGCTACGAGGCTTCCTTCGGCGTGAAGGTACATCCTGGAAGGATGTCATAAAAGGATTTAACTTTTCTCCCAACACGGTGCACCGAATCGATCGAAGCTTTACGGTACAAATGTGGACAGCATAAGGAAGGTCCCGAAACTCATGGAGTCCCAAATTTTTCGAAAATATTTGTTCGTAGGTATTGTTAAAATTTGTTAGGAAAAAAAATGAAATGTCAGGACCTTCCTTACAGCTTTCATATTCACATTGTAAAGTTTGAAACGATTCGGCATGTTAAGTTAGAAGAAGAGCTTCATGAACGATTGGCACTTCGGATGCCACTTTCACGTGCCCTTAAATGAATTGCTAGGGCTTTGGATTTAATCCTGGTGGGGTTACCGGAATTCCGTTTCTTTCCAGTGTAATTGTTTTGTTCTCTTTTTCTTTTTCCTTTTTTTTTCATTTTTATCCACTGCCTAGCATACGGGGAGCGGAAGTGAAATCGTCGCCGCAAGAGAGCCGCTTAACTTCTGCGATTGATTTTTCCGCCTGACCGCCGCGTAACTCGCCCTCGGTTACCCGCTCTTGTCGGCGGAATACCCGCGGCCGTACCGCGATCAGCCGATACCCGGTGACGTTCGATTCGATCCGATCCGATCTGCTTTCCTCGTGGTGAACGCGCGTGCGTGCCCACGTAACGGTACAGGTAAGGTGATATGATAGGGTCGTTCTATATATCAGGGTTACCCATAAGTAATCGATTACTTTGGAAGAGGTATTTTAGACGTCAAAAAAAATCGTTAACTTAAGGGCACCCCTAATACACATATCAAATCGTGAAAATATTTATAATACATCTCTCCAAACTGGGTGCACCGGATCAATTGAAACCTCAGCATGTGCTTAGGAAGGTCCTAAGGAAGAACGCGATGCTCGTGAAGTTTCCCTTGAAAGAGAGAAAAAAGAATGACCCTCTGATATCGCCTTAAACATTCGGCATTTTTTTTAAAGGGTATACCGCATCTCTAATTTTATGCCGCGGTATCTTTAACTCCATTCAAGGGAGTGATATCCTTGAAGGGGAGAAAAATGTTCTCTCGGCGCAAGTCCATTACAGTCTCTCCTCTCTTCAGGGTCGCTTTGTGTCCGTCCCCTTCGCCGTTGGCTCGCTTTTGACTCCAGTTTTGACGGAGCGTCGGTTCGACGGCCCCTGAAGTGTCCATCCGTCTGGCGGATTTTCGCGTTAAAAGCGTTCTCCGCGAGAAAGAGAGAGAGAGGGAAAAAAAAGAAGAAGAAACCGGCCTGCCTTATCGATCGCCCTCTCCTTCCCCTCTTTTTCTCTGTTTTAGGCCTGCTGAGGAACGGTCGGTGGTCCTGGCTGCGAGGCTGCGACTGGACCCCGTTGAGCATTCGAACATTCGTCGAGGAGGCACCACGAAAAGCGGTATCCATCTCGGCCGTCGACTTAGAACTTCCCGTAGAAGGTGGACGCGCATCCCAAACTGGCTCTACCTCTTCCGGAGCTCCGCGTCTTGCGGCTTGAAGAAGAAAAAAAATAATAATTCATTGAACCTAAGAAACATTAGGCTGAGGAATGACTTCCCGCGGTTTTAATTGCGGCACGTTACGTTAAAAACGGTGGGAACTTATTCCTCGGCTCACTCCTCTTTGAACGGTACCGGAGAAATATCTCGTTAAGGCGGCGTGATAAAGTGGCGTCAAAGAGGTCTCGTTACAGAGGCAATAGGGAAGGTCCCGACGCCCATGGAATTTCCATTTATTTTTAATTTCTCATAAAGGAATTAAATTTCATGTCGCCATGAGACACCCCTTCCTTATGGCCTCTATATTCGCGTTGCAAGGCTTGACACGATTCGTAACATCCAGTCAAGAGAAAAGTTTCACGAACGATTGATTCCTTGAATGCCACTTTCCCGTCCCCTTAATTCCAAGAGTAATTATATTACCCAAATGAACTGGAATAAATTGCGATGTTACGTTTCTTCGGAACTGACGATTTATGTGAGTTGGAGTGTTTGGGGTGATCCTTTGAATGATATATTTCTTTGGTACCGTTCAAGGTAATATCTCGTTCCGGTTCGATGGACACTTCTTTTTCCGCACATGTACTCGCGAGCTCCGCCATTTTGGAGCCATCTGTGAGAATTATTATTTATTGCGACTGCTCGAGCGTTTCTCTGTACGATATCGATAGTTAGGACACCTAGAGATCATCCCCGTCAGTGGGAAGTGCCAGGATGCGATTTCTACCGATTTTTATTAATGACGGGAGGAGGCCCTCGATCACTTTTCGCGGGAGAGAGACCCGAGGAAAGAAATAGACGCGCCCCGGCCTTTCCCGAATAACTCGTTCTATTTTAAGATATTCGCACATCCTCCCGGGTAGAACTTAACGCGCACGTTTTTAAGGTGATATGAAAGTGGCGCCGAAGAGGTGTGAAACTATTGATTCAGGTCCGAGATAGATGAAACAATTTCCTCTTTTCTTCGCGTGTTAATGTTTAAGATCATTCGGTGCAGTTTGGCGAAAGGTTTCATAAATATTCCCACGTTATGATACACGTAGAATGACACTTTCATGAGACCTTAAGTCGCGAAAATCCAGGAACGATACCATGTATCGCGCCTTTCCTCGAATTGCATCGCGAGGGGACTTTCTTTTTTTTTTTTTACCTCTATCTTGCATGACAAATCGCGCGCAGATTCGCCCTAATCATGTTAAGATAAATCCGCGAGTCGGGGTCGAATTATAAAATAATATATATATAAATATCGGCAGCGATATTTATCGAGCCTCGACGTCGGATTCAGCATTAGCGAGCAAACCTGTGCAATAGACGCGATAACTGATAACGAAAGTGAAACGGTCGACGCTGATGACGCGAGACGTAAGAATAAATATAAATGTAATGATATATGTAAAGTGCGATTAGACGATTAGATGCGATCCTAGAGAGGGCAGATTTGGACGAATAGACTGTGTACATATACGTCGTGTACTTTTAACGGTAGCGTATTTAAATCCGTGCTTTGTGATTATTAACGATTACTGCACTGTGTATATATACATATATCCATGGAATAACACTTAAGGCGACAATTACCGCAATTAACAATAATCGAGTGGCGGGCGAGTTTAAGAGGCGAATCTCCGCCAAGGACGAGCCCATCATCCCAATCATCTTTTTTTACTCCGCATGTTAGAAGAGTCTAGGAATCTCATTCCATTCCGTAGATCAGTTGGACGAGTACCGAGGACGTGGTCGAATTACCATAAAAAGGCGGCGGTATATATATATTAAATTTCGCACCTCTCGCCCGCCGTTAGAAGTCGAATTAGAATGACTATTCCGGATTTTGAGCGCGGACTCGAAGACTCTTCGATTTTCATCTCAAGCGAATCCTCGCATTGTATCCGTTAAACTAGGATTTAAGCCGCGAGGCTGTTCAAGGTTCATAATCGTAAGCGACTAATGGTTAATATTTCCTTTATCGAGGACACCAGAGATATTTCCGAGAATAAAAATCGTGATCAACGGTACCCGTTGACAAATTCTTTCTTTCTAGGTAAATATCCTCTTCAAGGATCGTTACAGTTGAACGTAGTCTAAATATTTTTATTTACCGTTACACTTTGTATATAAGATGCACCATGCGCGAGCGTGCCTAATTACGCTAAGTACACGAATGGAAAGAAAAGAGCGGAACGGTCGAGAAGTTAAAAATTTGTCTCGGGTAGAATTGGGTTGTCGGAAAAGTCTTGACGCATTTCTTCATATGCCATGTGTTACGAAAATGCGTCATTACTTTTACGATGACCCACAGTTTGGTCGCGATCGTGGAACATTTCCTAAGGTGCTTCAGTTCCTTTCGAAGTCCGTTAAATCGGCCGGCGCTTCCGCCGAGTTCGCCGCGCTGCTTCCGGCCTCGGAGGCGCTCTCCGAATTCGTGTTGGAGTCTTCGTCGGAGTCCTTGAGGACCTTCCCCTTCGCGTTCTTCTTTGGCCTGGTCGTCTCGAAGTCGGAGCCCTCTTCGTCGGAAGAGTAAATATTGGACGCGGCTATGGGGGAGATAAAAAAGGAAGAGAGTGAGAAAGAAAAGAGGTTCTTTTCTAAGAAAAGGCGAGGCCGAGAATTCCTGAAGAGGGCTCACCCTTTGCGGTGACCGCGGAGCCGCCCTTCTTGTATTTGTTCTTGATGGCGGCCAGGGAAATCGCGCCCTCGTCGTCGGAGCCGTCGTCGTGATAGGCGTCTCCGCTGTATCCACCGGATGCTCTCCCGGAACCTCTTCCGCTCCCGCTGGCCTTCTTCGGCTTGCTCTGGACGCGCATCGCCATTCGCAGCTTCTCCTCCTCTTTCTGTGAACGAGAATAGAGATGGTTATCGCTTTCTCTAGACAAGCCGAGAGAGAGAGAGTACGGACCTTTATCATCTCGTATCTGTTCTGGTCGGGGTTCATTCCGACCTGCGAGAGGACCTTGATGCCAGAGGCCTTCTGCGATCTGTCCGCCAGCGACATCGTCATCTTCCTGTGCGTGAAGGACTCGGTCGAGTGCGGCCTGAACGTCAGCTTAGTGCGGAAGACCGCCTGACCCTGAAGACCGGTACCTTGGCGGATGTACAGATGATTGTGGTCCCCCTGGAGAGGCTGTTTGTACACGTTGAAGATCTCCGACCCCAGGTGCAGGGACATACTCCCATCGGACCACCTGACAAACCTGGCGTTGCTTTCCTTCACCACTTTCCCTTCGTCGGAGAACACATCCTTCCATCTGATCGTGTTCTCCACTTTCAACTTCAATCGCGCTCGCCCCTCCTCGTCCAGGGTCTCCTCCTCGTCGATCTCATCTTCGTACGTCTCGTGATCGAAGGGCCTCGTTTCTACGGATAAGAAATTCGGTAGCTTCACGAAGTGGATCTCGCGACCGAGATCTGTCGTGATCTTCGGGATCTCCACATCGATCCTGGTTTCGGGTGGAGGTTCCGGCTCCTCTTCTTTTTCCTTCTCCTCGTCCTTGGGATAAAGAGACGATTTCTGTAGATATAGATTGATTAAAAATTACATGAATCTGGATAGAAACGTACCTCTTCGATGACTGGTTGTCTGCTGGGGCCTTCGCCTCCGCTGTCAGATCTGCCTCCGCCACTGCGGCTTCCACTTCTACTGCGACTTCGACTCCTACTACGACTTCTACTGCGACTCTTGCTCCTGCTTCGGCTCTTCCTAGTCTCTACTACTGCTTCGGGTTTCTCTTTCTCGTCGTCAGTACTTATATCACTGGCATCTCCGAAGAGTGCGTCTGCAGTTGGCTCCGGGGCATTGGTTTTTCCTTCCTCTTCTTCTTCAGAGTCGGATGCCAAAGCCACCTTCCTTCGTTTTGATATTTTCTCTGTCTCCGAACCAGAGTCTGAACTCCCATGTTTGCGTTTCGCCTCGCCGTCTTCTTCGTCGCTTTCTTCTGATTTTTTACTCCGGTTTTCACCTGCAGAGAACGGCGAAAATTAGCTGGTTGTAGAAAATTATATGGCAAGGAGTAATATATCAATTGAGACGAACCATTAGTCTTGACGGACCTCTCGGATTCGGCATCACTGCCTTCGTCTTTGGGACTCTGCGATTTTCTGGATCTAGGACTTCCGTCGGTCTTTGGACTTGCCGGAGTGCCAGACCTGGATCGATCGCTTCTTCTAGATGCGCCGTCTGATCTTACACTGTCTGGAGATCCACCACGAGATCTGCCGCTTCTTGGGGAACCTGGAGAAGCAGACTTTCGACCGGACGGAGAGGCCCGGCTGTCCGATCGTCCACTTTTTGGAGATGCAGGGCTTCTCGATTCCCGTCCCTGGAATTACGAGTTATATACTTGAGTATAAACAACAGAGGATCACAGAAGTGCAGAGTTTGATAATTACTTGAGATTTGACACTTCCAGATCTCACGCTTCCCTGTGGAGAACCAGAACGCGAACGAACCGATTTCTGTGATCCAGCACTCACGGAGCGAGCCGATTCAGGAGAACCGCTCCTGGACCGTTGAGAACCAGACTTATTGCTTCTTGGCGAATCTGGAGTAGAATGTCTCGACCCAGACCTAGCCGGAGATCCACTGGGAGATCTCCGAGACCTAGGACTAACAATGGACCTGTTTTCCCCAACGGACCGACTGCCAGATCTGGATCGACTACCAGTGGACATCGGTGATCGAGGACCATCGTTCTCAATGTTCTCATCGTGCTCATCGTCTGTACGCACACTCCTTGAAGCTGGTGCAGCTGCGATTGAAGCAGGACTTGCACTCCGACTCGATCCCGAGGAAGCCGACCCACTATCAGACTCTGAGCCTGGAAAATCATGATTTTCCAACTCTACCTCTATTACAGATTAAATATCCATACAAGGAATCAAAACCATAATGAGAAACTCATATTAATTTATTATGTGAGCAATACTTACCCGAATCACCGCTGGAATCGCGTGAAATACTATGTACCGGTGACATATTTCACATTATCCAGTTCGATTTATAGTTAACAGCACTCGGACCGTATCTTTTGAGGTTATGTGATGCTGGGTGAATACAATAAATTCATGCACCTTCAACCATGCGTCCTGTGCTGCCCCCTGATGAGGACGCGATCGTGCGACTCTACCCGTGAGCAATCTCCCAACTCATGTCTGGTAAATAATCCGCAATAATCCGTCGCCATGGCGGACGCTGCGGCAAGACAACTTCAATATGAATATAAAGCGGTAAGTAACATTTGTTTATTATAAATAATATGCGTAATACAACTTCAAGTTCTATATGTACCTATGAGATAAGTTGTTTAAGTCAGGATGTTGACAGACTCCGAATAGTTGTGATGTTACCGGACGTATAGGTTACGTTTATTGTTTTCACTGAGCGCACTGATATTTTGTAATTTCATTACCTGTTTGACAATACTTCTTGCAGAATTCCAATCTCGTTTTACAAGCTGACGTACGATTGATAGAACGTCGGAGTAGAGATGAAGCCACGGGAGAAGTTATGTCCCTTGTGGGCAAGCTTGACGGCACTCGGATGGGCGATAGAGCCCAACGTACCAAACCGGGAAAGGCTGAAGAACGTAAAGCGAAGTGAGTTTACTGTGAAGCATATACTAAATTTAAGTTCAAGAAGAGTATTTTCAATTCGAAATTACTCTGTTGGAATATATCTTGTAAGTCATTATGTTAGGTATGAAATGAGTATTTATTCACATTTGTAAGTTTGTATATTGTTTTATTCGTGACCATATTACATGTCACTATTAATTTCCGTTCAGGCGACAAAAGCGTGATGAAGCGCAATATGATTTTGCAAGAATGAAAGGGGCTACATTACTTTCGGAAGGAGTCGATGAAATGGTCGGTATTGTTTATCGACCAAAAACACAGGAAACTCGGCAGACTTATGAAGTACTGCTCAGTTTTATTCAAGAAGCCTTAGGTGATCAGCCTCGTGACATTTTATGCGGCGCGGCTGATGAGGTTTTAGCAGTACTAAAAAATGACAGATTGAAAGAGAAAGAAAAGAAAAAAGAAACGGAAATGTTACTCGGCACATTAGCAGAGGAAAGATTCGCACTTCTGGTAAATCTTGGGAAAAAGATAACGGACTTTGGAAGCGACGAGAAGAGTACAACTAACGAGGAGAATATTGATGAAACATATGGGATTAATGTACAATTTGAAGAGAGTAGCGAAGAAGACGACGAAGATGTTTATGGAGAAGTAAGAGACAATGATGAGGACGGGGATGAAGGTGAAGAAGCTAATGACGATCGAGCTATACATGCTGAAAATGTAAGTTAAATAATTTGCTTCGTTTAAACAGTACGTTATCCCTTGGAAGAATTTGTTTAATTTATATATTTTTCTTAACAGCTTGGAGGTGCAGAAGAAATGAAGAAAGAGAAGCCACTGCACCCGTTAGACATAGATGCCTATTGGTTGCAGCGAAGACTCAGTAGAATATATGACGACGCAATGGTTTCCCAAGCAAGAGCTGCCGAAGTGCTTGCAGTTCTCAGAGACGCTGGAGATGACCGTGACTGTGAAAATCAACTAGTTCTTTTACTCGGATACGACTGCTTCGATTTCATTAAACAGCTAAAGAAATATCGACACATGAGTAAGTACACTTAAAGACACACAATCTCTTATCACATTATTTACAATTATGTTATCAATTTCAGTCGCATACTGTACGATGTTGGCGTCTTCACAATCTGACTCGGAACGGCAAAAGATCCGTAACAAAATGAACGACGATCCCAGTTTAGCGAAGATTCTCCGGCAACTGGACACAGGCAAAGGAGACGATGACGCAGATGAAACCATGGAAGCAAGAGCTCAACGTAAAAGAAGAGAAGAGAACGAGGACACCGGAGGTCCTGGGGGCCAGGTACAAGGAACAAGAAACATAATAGACCTGGAGGACTTAATATTCGCCCAAGGAAGTCACTTCATGGCCAACAAACGATGTCAGCTGCCAGACGGTAGCTTCAGAAAACAACGAAAAGGCTACGAAGAAGTCCACGTCCCAGCCTTGAAACCAAAGCCCTTCGCTGAGAATGAAAAGTTACATCCTATCGATCAACTGCCTAAATATGTACAACCAGCATTCGAAGGATTCAAAACATTAAATAGGATCCAGAGTAGATTGCACTACGCAGCATTGGAGAGCGATGAGAACCTCCTGCTTTGTGCACCCACAGGTGCTGGTAAAACTAACGTAGCATTACTGTGCATGATGCGAGAGATAGGAAAGCACATAAACGACGACGGGACGATCAATGCTGATGAGTTTAAAATTATATATGTGGCTCCGATGCGCTCCCTGGTGCAAGAAATGGTAGGAAACTTCGGTAAAAGGCTGGCAACGTACAACCTAACGGTATCCGAATTAACGGGTGATCATCAGCTAACAAGGGAGCAGATAGCCGCGACCCAGGTAATAGTATGCACCCCGGAGAAGTGGGACATAATAACCAGGAAGGGGGGCGAGAAGACGTTCACCTCGCTGGTGAGGCTGGTGATAATCGATGAGATCCATCTGCTGCACGACGAGCGAGGACCCGTCCTGGAGGCCCTCGTCGCCAGGACGATCAGGAACATCGAGACGACCCAGGAAGACGTCCGTCTGGTCGGCCTCTCCGCTACCTTGCCAAACTACCAGGACGTAGCTGCGTTTCTACGGATAAAAACGGACACTGGACTCTACTACTTCGACAACAGCTTCCGACCCGTCGCCCTGGAGCAGCAGTATATCGGCGTCACGGAAAAGAAGGCGCTGAAGAGGTTCCAGGTGATGAACGAGATCGTCTACGAGAAGACTATGGAACACGCGGGAAGGAACCAGGTCCTCGTGTTCGTGCACTCCCGGAAGGAGACCGGGAAGACGGCTAGAGCTATCAGAGACATGTGCTTGGAGAAAGACACGCTGGGACAGTTCCTCAGGGAAGGGTCGGCGTCGATGGAGGTCCTCAGGACGGAAGCTGAGCAGGTGAAGAACCAGGAGCTGAAGGATCTGCTGCCTTACGGGTTCGCTATCCATCATGCCGGCATGACCAGGGTCGACCGAACCCTGGTCGAGGATCTATTCGCCGATAGGCATATCCAGGTCCTCGTGTCGACGGCCACGTTGGCTTGGGGTGTGAACTTGCCGGCTCACACCGTTATTATCAAGGGCACCCAGGTTTATAATCCTGAAAAGGGTAGATGGGTAGAATTGGGTGCTCTGGACGTTTTGCAGATGCTGGGTCGAGCTGGTCGACCGCAGTATGATACCAAAGGCGAAGGCATCCTGATAACCAATCACAGCGAGCTCCAGTATTACCTGTCTCTGTTGAACCAGCAGCTGCCCATCGAGTCGCAGCTCATCAGTAAGATGTCCGACATGCTGAACGCGGAGATAGTGTTAGGCACTATTCAGAACATCAGGGATGCGGTTACTTGGCTCGGTTACACGTATTTGTACATCCGGATGCTGAGGTGTCCGAACCTTTACGGGATCAGCTACGACAAGCTCAAGGAAGATCCTCTGCTGGAGCTGCACCGAGCCGACTTGATCCATTCCGCTGCAATCGCTCTCGATCGCAGTGGGCTCATCAAGTACGACCGCAAGTCCGGAAACTTCCAGGCCACCGAGCTGGGAAGAATCGCCTCCCATTATTATTGCACCCACGAGACCATGTCGACGTACAACCAACTTCTGAAGAGGACGCTGAGCGAGATAGAGCTCTTCAGGGTGTTCTCCCTGTCGGGGGAGTTCAAGAATATCAATGTCAGAGAGGAGGAGAAGCTGGAGCTGCAGAAGCTCATGGAGAGGGTGCCGATCCCCATCAAGGAGAGCATCGAGGAACCTAGTGCCAAGGTCAACGTGCTTCTTCAGGCCTACATCTCCCAGCTGAAGCTGGAAGGGTTCGCCTTGATGTCGGACATGGTCTTCGTGACGCAATCGGCGTCCAGACTCATGAGAGCCATCTTCGAGATCGTCTTGTTCCGGGGCTGGGCCCAGCTGGCGGACAAGTGTCTTTCCCTGTGCAAGATGATAGACCGTAGGATGTGGCAGTCCATGTCTCCTCTGAGGCAATTCCGGAAAATGCCCGAAGAGATCGTTAAGAAGATAGAGAAGAAGAACTTCCCCTGGGAGAGGCTATACGACCTGGGGCCCAACGAGATCGGGGAACTCATCAGGGTCCCTAAACTCGGTAAGACCATTCACAAGTACATTCATCAGTTTCCGAAGTTGGAGCTCTCCACGCACATCCAGCCAATCACGAGGAGCACCCTGAGGGTGGAGCTGACTATTACTCCGGATTTCCAATGGGACGAGAAGGTGCACGGTGCCTCGGAAGCCTTCTGGATCCTCGTGGAGGACGTCGACTCCGAGGTCATCCTTCACCACGAGTACTTCCTGCTGAAAGCCAAGTACGCCGCGGACGAGCACCTCATCAAGTTCTTCGTTCCAGTGTTCGAGCCGCTGCCCCCTCAGTACTTCCTCAGGGTCGTGTCGGACCGCTGGATCGGCGCCGAGACCCAACTTCCGGTCAGCTTCCGGCATTTAATCCTGCCCGAGAAGAACTTGCCACCCACGGAGCTCCTGGACCTGCAGCCTCTCCCCATCACCGCCCTCCGTAACTCGAAATTCGAGAACCTCTACTCGGATAAGTTCCCCCAGTTCAATCCTATCCAGACCCAGGTCTTCAACGCGGTGTATAATTCCGATGATAACGTGTTTATCGGAGCCCCAACAGGGTCGGGGAAGACGACGATAGCAGAGTTTGGAGTGCTCAGACTTCTCATGCAGAACCCTGAAGGGAGGTGCGTCTACATGGTCAGCAAGGAGGCTCTTGCGGAGCTCGTGTATCAGGATTGGTTCTTCAAGTTCGGTCAGCTGTTGGGGAGGAAAGTCGTCCTGCTGACTGGCGAGACCGGGACGGACTTGAAACTCCTGGCCAAGGGACAGATCATCATAACGACCGCGGATAAGTGGGACGTTCTATCTCGGAGATGGAAACAGAGGAAGAACGTGCAGAACATCCAGCTCTTCATCGTTGACGAGTTACAGCTGATCGGCGGCGAGGAGGGGCCCGTCCTGGAAGTGGCTTGCTCCAGGGCGAGGTACATCTCCTCCCAGCTGGACAAGCCCACCAGAATCATTGCCTTGTCGGCTTCCTTGGCAGATGCCAAAGACACCGCCCAGTGGCTGGGTGCTCCTGCTTCGGCAACCTTCAACTTCCACCCTTCGGTCAGGCCCATTCCCCTGGAACTCCACGTCCAGGGGGTGAACATCACCCACAATGCGTCCCGTCTGGCAGCCATGGCGAAGCCTGTGTACAATGCGATCTTAAGACACGCGCCACATAAGCCCGTTATCATTTTTGTGCCTACCAGAAGGCAGGCCAGGATGACCGCGATAGATCTGCTTACTTTCGCCGCTGCAGAGGGTCAGCCGTCGAAGTTCTTCCATGCCGAGGAGTCGGACATCAAGCCCTTCCTGGACAGAATGGCGGATAAGACCCTGAAGGAGACCCTGTCTCAAGGTGTAGCTTACCTGCACGAAGGCCTTTCCGCCGATGATAGGCACCTGGTGGAGCAGCTCTTCGAGAGCGGGGCCATCCAGGTTGCCGTGGCCACGAGGGACCTCTGCTGGGGTCTGTCCATCAGCTCCCACCTGGTCGTGGTGATGGACACCCAGTGCTACAACGGGAAGACCCATGCCTACGAGGACTACCCCATAACCGACGTCCTTCAGATGGTGGCTCGTGCCAACAGACCCCTGGAGGACGACGACGCCAAGTGCGTCCTGCTCTGCCAGAGCTCAAAGAAGGACTTCTTCAAGAAGTTCCTCAACGAGCCGCTACCGGTTGAGAGCCACCTGGACCATAGACTCCACGACCACTTCAACGCGGAGATCGTCACCAAGACCATCGAGAACAAGCAGGACGCGGTGGATTATCTCACCTGGACCTTCCTTTATAGAAGGCTCACCCAGAACCCTAATTACTACGGACTTCAGGGAGTGACTCACAGACATCTTTCGGACCATTTGTCGGAACTTGTAGAGAGCACCCTGGGCGACCTGGAGCAGGCCAAGTGCGTCGCGGTGGAGGACGAGATGGACACGGTGCCGCTCAACCTGGGCATGATCGCTGCCTACTATTATATAAACTACGCCACCATCGAGCTCTTCAGCTTGTCCCTCAACAATAAGACCAAGATCAGGGGCCTGCTGGAGATCATCTCCGCGGCCGCGGAGTACGAGACCATCCCTGTTAGGCAAAGGGAGGAGAACTTGCTGAGGAGCTTGGCGGCCAGACTGCCGCACGCTCCCCAGGTCACCAGGATGGCGGATCCGCACGTAAAGGCCCAGCTCTTGTTGCAGGCGCATCTCTCCAGGATACAGCTGGGCCCTGAGTTGCAGAAGGACACGGAACTCGTCCTCGGCAAGGCTGTTCGCCTGATCCAGGCGTGCGTGGATGTCCTTAGCTCTTCGGGGTGGCTTGCTCCTGCCGTAGCCGCCATGGAGCTGGCCCAGATGGTCACCCAGGCGATGTGGTCCAAGGACTCGTACCTGAAGCAGCTGCCGCATTTCACCAGCGAGACCATCAAGAGGTGCACCGATAAGGGCGTGGAGACCGTCTTTGACGTCATGGAGCTAGAAGATGACGATCGTAACAGGCTCCTGCAGCTGACCGATGCTCAGATGGCCGACGTCGCCAAGTTCTGCAACAGGTATCCTAACATAGAGATGTCCTACGAGGTCCAGGATAAAGATAAGCTGCACAGCGGGGGCACCGTCAACGTCATCGTTCAGCTCGAGAGGGAAGATGAGATCACCGGTCCGGTTGTCGCACCCTTCTTCCCGCAGAAGAGGGAGGAGGGCTGGTGGGTCGTCATCGGGGATCCTAAGAGCAACTCCTTACTCTCCATTAAACGACTCACGCTCCAGCAGAAGGCGAAAGTCAAGCTGGACTTTGTCGCTCCTGCTCCTGGACAACACTCGTATACTTTGTACTTTATGAGCGACGCTTATCTCGGATGCGACCAGGAATATAAATTCACCATCGGCGTCGGGGAGTACGAGTCCGATGTCAGCTCCGGATCCGAATCGGACTGAAGATAAGGTGGACTGAGTGTTGGATATGCATTTTGTACAATTTTCTACCCTTCCGGAGGATAGACTCTGCGACTTCCGGGGCCCTTCAAGAGGAGGGAATTTTTCTACCCCAGGAGTGGAAAATGTAATTTAATTTAAGTGTACAGCCGTCCCTCAATTTACCCTGAGTACCCGTTTAGAGCGAGTGAAAATCGCGGCGCGTAGAGTCTGTCGGTGCAAAGAAAAAAAAATATTGGAAAGACAAACCGCGTAAATTGTGTTTTAATTTACCGCGTAAATTGAGGGAGGGGTGTAGTTAGACGTGGGTATCAAAGACATTTCTGTTATCAAGTTAGATCGTCCTGAAATGTGACCGACTATGTACAAATCCACCCCCAGAAGAATTCCCAGTTATAACTGAAAGGGAAATTTTACTCGAAATCGAATTTCGATTTTACATTCAGGATAATTGAATTACATTTTCCGGGCCACTGCGAGTAAACTCGGATTGCTTGCAACTAATTCTGCCTCGTTTTTTTTTTTTTTTCTGAAGAATTATCTGGGCAGATAGACGATAGAGTTTCTGTATTTTATTAGTAATATCGATAACAGTAAAACCGAGGTACCTATTCGTTAACAAAGTATTGTAATTATCGACGGTCAATCGGCGTATTAATTATAACGATTTCTCGGGAATGTACAGGCGTGTGTTTTTTATGCGTTCTTTTATTTACTCTTAATCATGAATCTTAAAATTAACGCCCCGCCATCGAGTGTGTAACGATCCTTGCAAATTTGCAAATCTGCGAGTTTACCAGGAGAAAAAAATTTCGAGAGATTTGTCGAAAAAATAAAAAAGAAAAACTCGTGGGAGCTCGCAGTCCTATCTACGGTAGCTGAGAAATCGTGCTAATAAATCCAGGGCAAATTAACGTCGCTTCTTAAAACATTAATTATTTATGCATACATGTAAGGCTCTGATAGGAACACGCATTAAGAATACAATGTTGTCGTCTCGGAGATTATTATAAATTATCGATCGCACGCGAGGAGCCTCGATCTTGGCGAGAAAAAAAAATCGGCTAATTTTGAAAGAGCTTGCCGAAATATTTTTAAGCCTAAAGAACATGTAAAAAAGGGCGGTATGCGTTTTAGAGCGGTGCGAAGTGGTAATTGACGCAATTAATTTTTAACATTCGGGTATCAATTATCGGCACCGATAATTTAATACAACATCTGGTCGAATTAGTTTCACGCTATTCGGGTTTAAAAGAATCTGCGGGGAAATTATTAGAAATATTGCGCGATATGTCTGTAAATTAAAGCTCGGTGGCAGATGGATTTTGTAAAAAAAAAATTATGAGCGCTTGTTGGAAAATATTTGTATTTTTCGAGGCTCCTCGCAACACGTGGTGGACCCATGTAAAAATTCCCATTTTGTTTTCTAATCTTTCAGTCCTCGCCGTGTAAACGTAAAAATGTCTCGCTGATTAGAGACCGATTACGAGTACTTTTTGTTACATTTCCTTATTTGGAGGCTTCTTGGAGCGACCGTTTCATTCCTCTCGGTGTTTTCCTCTTTTATTATCTATCTTTCTGTTAGGCTTTATCAAGAAATCCCGAGGGACTCGCGATTAATCTTAGATTATTAAAAACGCTTGGATATGCCAGGAAAGATTTTCTCGAAGCAGACTCGGACGAGAAGGGACGGATGCCTTGTTTTTCTTCTTTTTCTTTATATATATATACATATATCTTTATGTTAATCTGCACGATTAGATATTTGTTGCTTCCCTTTCTGTTTTGCAATAGTGGTTATTCGGAGGTTTTTCACGCCTTGGGGATCTAGAGGTGCGTTTTTTATGGTAGAAGAGAAACACTGACTAGACTTAATTAACATTTGCGGATTATCTTCCATATCTGGACATCGCTTTTCTCGCTTTTCCCGCAAAGATTTATCAAAAGTCTCCTCAAAATCGGGAAATTCTTTCGCAAGGGCCTTCGATAGTCGTAGCTGATTGTCACGGAAAATGAGAGAAAGAAAAAAATAAAAGTGCGTATAAAAAGGATTTAAAAGTCAGTCGGGGATTTTCATTTCCTGTTAATCTTAATTCTAAGGTTCATCCAAAATTAACGTGGGTTCATAATCTTCTGGTATCGATCTCTTCGATTTCATTTCGGGATTCTGCATCTTCCGGCACCGATATTGAAAGCTTAGGAAGATATGACGAATAAACAAATTCTGGATGCCTGAATACAGGGAACGTTATCATCGGCGATAAAAAATGGTAACTCCGACTAATGGCACAGCTGATAGTGGTTTGTCCGTTAACAATTGTCGAATGATCAATTAGAAATTATTCCTCGTCTCCCTTATGCAATGCCGAGTACAAATCTACGGTATAAATTACGCGCACGTTAAAAGCGACGTGATTTGTTTATAAGTACTAGTTTGTTTAAAAGTACTCTAAAAGTAGCCCTAAGCAGTCTAGGTCAGTGTTGCTGTATATCTCATTACACTCGAGAGACATCTCGCAGTTGTTTCCGACATTTGGAAAGTGACTTTTTTTCTTTTCCTCTCGGTGTAGGTCCGATTTCCTTGGAATAAAAAAATCTCCCCGTACAAAGATTAGCAATAATTAGATCCCGGGATATTTCCATTATCTCGGTGCCATTGTTGGCTGCTCTTGGCACAGTCTCGACTTCGGTGATGGACCATTTACATCTTAAATTGCCATTCACGGTTTGCGAGATTTCGTCGGTACTTTTCTCCGCAAAACGTCGCGTTTTTTTTTTGCAGTTTTTAGGCTCGTTAATCAAGTACCTTGGAAGTCAATCGGTGATTATTTCTGTCTTTGTTTACATGCACTTCTAGTTTAATAGGACTCAGGCTAGTGTCTTTAAAATCTTTTAGTGACATCTTTTCTCATTATCATTCAAAAGTACTCCGCACTCATCCGGCTCTATGTGCAGTACCGAGCAATACCAAGTGACGCTCGTTGTTTAAACAATGTCTCATTCTTCGGTACACTCCCTGAGACTAGACGTAACAACGTTATGTTTATCTTTAGTATTCGCGTTTATCGATATTGTTAATCCGACTCGAGTCTACTGAACTTTGTCCCAACTAAATCTACGTCAACAATTGCCGCGCGTAATTGCGGTGTTTATTGCATTATCCGCGAGAATTCATGAAAATCGGCGAAAGGTCGAAACAATCGCTTAAACAACCTCTCGTTTTACGAGCAAGAGGGAGGAATTCATTCGAGCATGAATTAAAAAAAAAAAGAAAAAAAAGAAATTGCACATCTGTCGATTGTTACTCCACCTCGCTCTCTTTACTTTTATTAATTTTGTCCCTTTCTCGAAGAATTAAAGTCTGCGCTCCGAGGTCTCGTTTTCATCCCGTTCGAGCACTTTTCGGTCGCGTTCTTTTCCATTTAATGAGATTTGATATCCAATCGGCCCTTTTTTTTCCTTTTTTAACTCCTTATTGAATACTATCGATGACACTGTCGTCGAGGGTGTGCAGCCAGTTGAAGATCATCATGTTCCTCTCGTACTTGGAGAGCTGTTTCCCACGTTCTCTCTCGACATCTCTTACGGTTAGGGGATGATTTCCACTTTTGCGACCTACCAAGCTGGTTGAGATGCTGGGAGCTCCAGGAACCACTAAAGTTGCTCCAGGGTTGGTTTGGGCTGCAGATGCTGCAGCTTCCAATCGGTCCAGGTTGAACTCGCTCTGAGACAGTCTCTCCAAGGCTCGATAGGTCGTCAGCAATCTGAAGATAAGGAACAATTGTTAAAAAATGTATTCATCTCCCAGGCTACATTTTTTCCCCGGGAAAATTTTGTGATTTTACATTTTTTTTTTTTTTTCGACAGGGTATGCTAAGTTTGTATCATCCTATTCATATATTCTGTAGACTGGTATTTCATAAATTTATAACATATAATGGTGAGACCCTTTCGATGTCGTTTTTAAGTCGTGTTAATCACTAAACAAATGAGAACTTCTGGGGCGGTAATGGGGTAAAAAATTTCAATTTTGAGAATTTGGCCACCTTCGTCTGATGTAGTTTTGGCGGACTTTCTTGTTCACAGATCTGACCAGGTCGGCAGCGGTGAATGGGATCGTCTGAGGCTGAGGAGGGGCAGGAGCTTGCTGGGCAGCTCCTCCATGGGGACTGGGAAGCTGCGAAGTGCTGACGACGTCCCCGACTGCTACCCAGGTGCTGCACGACCTGGAGGCATGGTCCAACCTGGCCTGCTCCAGAAGGAACCCGTTCGTGTGGGCGGCATCCAGGGCCAGAGATGAAACCGCCGATCTCAGGTTCCGGGGACCGCAGGCGTCCGGACTGGGAAGCTGGGAGACGTCGCTCGTGCTGAAACTCTTCTGCAGACCCAAGGCGGAAGATAAAGCTCCGCAACTGCGGATCAGGTCCGTCTCCTCCTCGAACCAGAGGATTTCAGGAATATCCGCAGGCCTGGGCAGACATGGTAAAATTAATCAAATTGAGTTTCTGTATTGGTCAATATGTTTTTTTTTTTTAATAATTTTTATCAAGGGAACGAATTGTTGGCCGGCTCCCGAGGTTTCTCGAAAGGTCACGTGGTCCTGCCAGTGACATGAAATTACGCACGATTAGGTCAGTAATTGAATCTCGCCGAGCTTTACTAGCTGACCTATAACCTCATGGGCTGTGTGCATCTCTTCATCCATTTACGACACTTTAACTATGCAGGTCGATAATGCCGTTGAGGTATAAAATCTAAAATTTCCTCGGGACAATTGGCTTCGAAATAAGCAATATATTATCGGGTGATTAATTATTAATGTGCTCTGTTTATCGCAGGAATTGATTTTCGGGGAATTCTTTTGGTAACGTCCCTTTCCAGAGTGTAGAAATAATCTAGTAATCTCGAAATAGGGTGAACCGAGGACAAAGCTTGGTTCTTAAATGTCGTTTTCTGGGAGATCATCTTGGGGTGGGTCGACCCAAGTAATTTGTCTACGGGGTGAGATTAAGGTTCGACACGTTATATCTGGCCAATTGCGTTAACACGGGATTACTCATCGTCTCACCTGTTGCTCTGGATCTGTCTGGTGTCCGGATTAGGTGAGGGGCCGCGTCCACCTAGCGGGACATCGCCGTACGACTTGAAGGCGACGAGCCGATTGCCGGCCTTGACTTCGCTGGCGATAGACGAGACACTGAACAGGGATAAATCAGTAATGACGCTTTCGTGGCTAGGAGACCGCAGCATCCTGCAGGCGACCTGTAGAACGGGTGTCTGTACGGTAGTCAAGGTGTTCGTGGCCGGTGGCACCGGTGAGGCCGGCTTCTGCTCCGCCTCGAACATTTCGTCCTCGATTTATCGGCCACCGTCCACCCTAATTCACTCAAACTGCACAGACAGTATCGTCGGACGTGAACAAACGTCCCACGCGAGTTTCAGCCCCGAATCGCCATCGGTTGCGGAGATATACGGGGATTTAACGTTCCTCGGCCGGCGCCATCTTGGCGGAGCCACGCACGCGCGGAGGGGAAAATCGGCCTTCGGACCCTACGCGAAACCGATCGATCACGATCTAAAACCTCGCATCGGTCGATCGATTAGCGTTAATCGCTCTAATTTGTCGCACTTTTCGCTTGAGCGGGTCGAACGTTCATCGGCGCCATTTTAAAGGATGCAGGCGCCTCTGAGTCACGATCTACGGCTCCGGGAAATCGATTTATCGGTCCCTTTTGTGGCGAACAACGGGAAAGGCTCTTCGAGAAGCCTTTGCTGCGATTTCTTCAGGGTCCTCTTCCTATACCGTTCCCTCTTTCTGCTCCAGGAAGCACTCGATCCGCATTCCCTCCGGGAACCTGAAGAACGAGGCAATGGTTGATAAATCAATTGTTTACAAAGGCTGTATCACTTTTCCGTCTCCTATATTTAATTTTATTATTAATTAGTCGACGCAGGGTCACGGGGAAATGTTTGCATGTAATATTGTCATCTCCTCGGGGAGGAAATAGATTATCCTGACGGACGTAACGAGTCGCCTTGTCTGCCTTTTCGCAAATTCTGACGTCGCAATTTCACGGGTTTTATTCCAAGCATTATCTTCAAAGCCCCTTTGTCACACAAAGAGACACGTAGCATGGACACACGTATCGATTTCCCGTCTTCTGGCGGTCAAAATGTCTATTTCCACGGAACACTGAGTGCAAACACGCGCCTCGAGTCTCTACGTTAAATAAACGTTTACGGTACATTCGGTCAACATTTCCTTTCACGTGATTTGTATTATCGTCCGCCCAGGGCGAAGTACACAAAAGGCATTTATTATGCATTTCGTCGTTCACTTTCCGATATAATCGTTTTTCTTTTCAAATTTTCTAAGCAAAAGTGACACGAAGAGGGCACGAGCGATTTCCTCCGTTCCTCTTTTTCCTGCCCTTTCTTCCTTCCTGTCAAAGGGACACTCGACCGAGAATCTTTCGCAAAAATGTCGCCCTCTCTACGCCGACGTACCGGAAATGTTGCTTTGAGGGTCGCCATTAATTCTAGTACCTTTTCGAGGGGTGCAGCTTTTATTTCTCGGGAAAAGCAACGCTTCCAGTGCCCGGCTACCAACTTACACCTTACCTAGACGCGTTGTACCTTCGGCAAGGTTTTTGCCTCCACCTTTGTGTACTCACATTCTACTCGGAGGCATAAAAAAACACGGCTCATGATTATACGGGGTTGCGTGCATTTTCTGAAAGCGCCGCACGCGAAAAGAAGCCTTTTAGGCTAATTAAACCGAATCCGCCTCTTCAGGGTCTCCTGGCATTATTAAATATTCCGTAATTGTACCTTTGCGTTAAACTTCGACAACTCAGGGTAGGCATGGATATTTCCAATGGTCGTATTTTCGATCGACTTTTATATTTATTCTATGCGCGAAGCATGGAAGCACTAGGGATATTTCCGGAGCAGTAACAGCTTGATATATTAATATCTAGTATGTATGTATGAGACTCGTCAATACCGAATCAAGCATCAAGTAGGCTAAACATCAGCCGAGCATGAAGGAAATAATTCAAGGAGCTCATATCGAAGGCAACGACCTTCCTGATTTCCTCGTTCGCGTCCTGCACGATATCGATACTCCATTTAATATAAACTGCGCTCCTCGATATCGAAACTGAAGGCTAATGAATTGTTAAACTCAGATATTAACGGTGGAAAAATAATGCGAGTACCTATTACTCAATTTATATGCTCCTGTACTTATCGGTGAATAGTTTGATGTTGATATTTTTGGGCATGGAGATGAGCGAATTGAATATAGACGAGTACTTTGGACAAAGTAGGAGGATAAGTGCAGGGGGAATTCCGAATGCATTGTTTCTTCCTTCCACCCCCGAAGGAAGAGGACTTGCGGTTTTAATATTTTCTATGTAGGCTTTTAATTTGTCGAGTGTTAAATTAGGTTGCCACGTAGAGCTGTAGAACTGTAGAGGTTCACTATTGAACATCGTTCCACAACCCTCGACCTTAATTCCAGCAATACCACTCCCCAGGGCATCCCTCTGCACCCTTAGTGCATTCCACCCACGAGGACCTTGTGTAGGGGTTTTAATGCGTTTTGCACAACACATGGAACCGACCAACATGAAATTTAAGCCAGGAAATGGAGGACTCCTTGTGAAATATTTCACGAGCCTCGATTTCAATTTCCCCTGCGCGTTTTCTTTTTTTCTTTTTTTTTCATTCCACGAGGGACATTATGCCAAAGTTTCACCATTTCCGCGTAATCCTTGTAATTAACTCCATGACTGCCCTTCCAAGTCATTACTTCACCCCCAAACTTCATCTCACTTTTTTCCCTTATTTTCATCCTCCCATAAGGGACACTATTCCAAAGCTTCGCCAATTCCTCATAATTTTTGCAACCCCCCATAACTACCCCTTCTAAGTCATTACTTTACCCCCAAACTTCATTTCCCTTTTTTCCCTTATTTTCACCCTCCCATAAGGGACACTATTCCAAAGCTTCGCCAATTCCTCATAATTTTTGCAACCCCCCATAACTACCCCTTCTAAGTCATTACAACCCCCAAACTTCATTTCCCTTTTTTCCCTTATTTTGATCCTCCCATAAGGGACACTATTCCAAAGCTTCGCCAATTCCTCATAATTTGTGCAACCCCCCATAACTACCCCTTACAAGTCTTCACCCTAAACGTTAACCCCCTTGCACCCCCATCCAGAAGGACCGCCCTGGACGCAGCAGGTCCACCATATTGGAAAACTCGGTACCTCGTGAGAATTCGGCTCTTCTTGAGGAAGTCACCCCAGCGAGTGGGACGCGGCGCCCGGACGGAGCGTCGCGACGCCCGGACACGTGGCACTGATGCGGGAATCGCGCACGACGCACCTGGGTCTTCCGGGACCCTAGGGACGTCCCTCAGGAGCGACGCTTCCTGGTACGCACCTCGGGGACGTCTCGTGGTCGCACTTGGCACGCACACCGGACCGGAGACCGCGGTACCGTCCTGGGCTCTTTTAGATGAATGGCGGTTGTTTCCGGTGGGCTGCTGCGTGCCGGGTCGCCTACTGCACAGGCGTCGATCGATATGGGCGAGAGAGGGCGTCGCGACGCCGAGGATTCCGCCTAGCCGGGAACCGCCGCCCGGCCGGCGAGCTTTCCTCTTCCCCGTAGGCTCATTTCACCTGAAATGGTGATATAAGTTGATATAAAAGTATGATATATAAATAAGAAAAAGTCCAAATATTTATAAAACCTTTCTCCAAGCACCGAATTATCTGGACCTTTAACACCTGATTATGGAGGCCCTTAGGAACTTCCATTAGAGATAACATCCCAATATGTCCAATTCCTTGCTTTACAAATAAATTCCATGAAAAAAAAAAAGTTTGTTTATAATATAATCCAGATTCAAGCATGACCGCCAATCAGGAAATTCCGGCAGCTTTTGATAGCGGCACTGGAATTATCTGGATAACTCACTTAGTTGATAGAAATCATGATGATAGATTTAAGAGATGCTAATCCATCTCTATACTTATATCTGTTGAAAATGAATTAAAATGTAGGACATTTTAGTAATCGAAGCAGCACCCTTTAACAAGGTATCGAAGCAGCTTCCGGCGTCGGCGCTCGAATTATCTAGATCATTTGATTATTGGATCGGATCCATTCGGTGGGTCAGAAATATTCGCGTGCACCCTAGAGCGTTTCTATACATCGAGACGTACACAGGACACACTTTCGTGTTCTCTCTCGTGTGCTCGCTCGGCTTGTTATATTTGCAGCAGCGAGTGCGTAGGCGCGCGTAAGTGTGGTCGTGCGTGCCTGCGAGATACCAGAAGAGGATGTGTCCATTGGCAGTTTTAGTGTAGGCTTTAGTTAGTGACGGTGTCTCTCACGAGGAGGAACTCACTGCCGGTTTCACGAGGAAAATAAATAAATATAAGAACACGATACCGCGGAAAATCACCGATCGTACTGCCGAGAGAGACCGACAGATTGCTCGGAGTCGTCTTCGAATTTTTGGTAATTCTTTTTCCCGACCGATTTGTACGACAGATTCGATGTGTGCATAATCCGGTGCAATTGGGTGCAATGAGGAATTAAATGCCCCGTTGGCTGCTTATTAGGTGAGAGGAAAGGTGTCGAGGTTAAGCGGCGTTCTCCACGGTCGGCTCTCGGATGGGTGTACGCTCGTAAGGAAGATAAGATGAAAATAATTTTCAACTTCGAGATAGCGATGAGAAATTGTCTCGTAGTTTACGAGGAACCTCGGTGAAGTGCTAAGTTTAATGTGGGCAATGAGACTTTATTCATAAAATTATGATGCTGAACTGGGGTTAAGTTTTAAATTTAAAGAATAATTTTTCTGCCGATTGGAGGTTCTTTTTTTCTCGGTTATTTCGAGGCGATATTTTTACCGCGGTATCGGGAATTTAGATAGAAATGTTACTCGTGTCACTGATCCGGTGATAATGTCTACATGTAATGTCAATTATCTCCCAGGAGGGTATTGATAATTCCGCTGTAAATGTCGAAGAAAATGGCCGCTGATTGGACAGTTTACCTTGCCCTGTTTTGAATAACAAGTGATGTCGAATAACGAGTAATTCCTCCCTGTTGTTGGATGAATTGAAACAAAGTGCTTGATTTACAAGAGAATATCCTTGGCCTTGAATCTCGCCCTAGAATCCGTTTTCTGGACAATGCGTCATTCCTCTTTTTGTCATATTATAAATTAATAGTAGCCGAGATGTAATCTCTATTTGAAGATTCTATTCTTCCAAGGAAGAATAAAACGTTTCTCTGCCTTAATTTCCGGGTCGTTGGCCGTTCATTTATCCAATGATAATATGTAAATTAATAAATTGAGGAAATTAAACATTTCTGTTCTAATTTCCGGATAGATGGGCTTTCATTAATCAAGCGACAATTCTCACGCATATCTCCGTCCACGTGGTAATTCACTTAATATGATACATTTTTTTTTTGTTAAGAATAATGATCGCACTTTTTGACTCAGTTTCGATTAAATTCTTTAAACTCATCCTGTGATTGATTAATTCAATCCTGCTTCAGAGTACCAGGTTGTCTTTCTATGCCACGGATTGCTCTATTTATGATTTACATAACTGCATCAGCTTTAATTCCCTCGACATTCGATGTTGGGGGCGTTTCAATGTGGCAATTACAGACGAAGTAAAAATACATCGTCGATACGAGAGAAGCAATTAAACTGATACGCAGTGTCGTTAGACCTTGGATTATTACAAATAATTTTCATTAACTATTGGAAGTTGGCGACGGCGATATTATTACGATCAATAATATCGATTGCACACTTCGAGAGATGTTTCGCCTCCAAGAAACTTTTCTTTCTCAATTTAGGAGCCGTCGAAAAGAGGGAAAACGCCACGAAATGAGGTCGAAATTCGATATCTCGCTTTTCTTAAACGCTCGATCCACGATTTGGAAACTTGCCGAAAGGCCCTTCCACTTTACCCTCAACTTTTCTCTCTACCGATATTTTGTAAAATCAACGATCGATTTATTATGTCGAGGTTTATCATTTCAGATTTTTCGATTATCTTTTTTGGAACAACATGCAATAGCGTTCGTGGTGATATTTATAATTAAAAATTTGTACCGCAGTTGTACATTTAGAATTTCAAGTAATGCATATTATCACTTTTTTCTAATGTTAAGGATAAAATGAGTGAAGCGTTATCTTCGTTGACATTTCTCCTGGATGGAGAAAATGTGCCGGTTTTTCGGAAGAGGTCAAGTAAACCGTGGATGGACGCTTTTATCCACATTTTACGAGATTTGGAATCGAGTCAAAATCTGGCGAAGAGCGAAAGACGTCATCCGGTATTTCACGTGTCTACGTCATTTCGCGATATGGCGATTCCTTCTGAAAAAATTTGATATCGAGTAAAAATCAGACAAAGCGAAAGACGTAATCCGGTATTTCACGTCTCTACGTAATTTGGCGATATGGCGATTCCTTCTAAAAAAATTTGGAATCGAGTAAAAATCCGGCGAAAGCGCGAAAGACGTAATCCGGTATTTCACGTCTCTACGTAATTTCGCGATATGGCGATTCCATCTCGTTGCAAGGTCCTGGGATTTCGATCGTAAATCAATTCCCCTTAGCTCGATACCATCGATCAAGTCTTGTGGAACATTCTTACGAGGATCCCACGCACGCCGACGTAAAATATTCCTACCCTCGATCTTGACCGATTATTTTTAAGACCTCAATTCATACCTGAATCATGCCAAAGAAACGCTACTCTTCTTTCATTCCTATTTCTGCGTTCACTTTCAATTTCCAATGATTTATAACAATCATAATTGATTATGAGGTGGAATATCACGAGAGTGCTCCTGAAGAAATTCTGAAAACGCCACCAAAAGTGTAAATGAATATTTATACATTGACGTAACGCTTCTCAGGTGGCAGGGTCTGTGCAAATGGTATGGCGTTATTTTGGGAAATTGGAGGACACAGGTAATTCGAAAAATATTCCTCTCGAAAGTTGGGAACCATTGGAGGGTGCGGCCGGCGGGCCAGGGCTATGAATAGCGTTGCCAACATAAAGGCAGTCACCGCAACGCTCGGTGCTTTAATGTCGCAAAGTAACATCGAGTCGCGCCCACCTGGGCACCGTTCATTTCTCCATTTCTTCGTTTCTACGTTTCTTCATGTCCCCGTATCCCCATTTCCGGCACGCCGCCAATCCCGCGGAAACCCGCCGCGTTAATTCCACAATTCGCACCCTTCCAAAGCCACTTTTTCACCCCTTTGCTTAAAACCTAAAAAAAAAGCGCACGTCAGTTGGTACTTTCCCGTCAATTAATTCCATCTCTATTAATTCTAATCTCTAATAGTTGGTATTGGGCCGTGATTTTGAGTGTGTGGAGAATTTTCCTGCCGATGTAAATCGAGCTTTAGGAGCGCTATACTTGGCAATAAAGAGTAAGGCCAATCCACTTAAGTAGAGCAAACAGACCTCCGCGAAATGCCGCCTCGTTACAAAGGGGAAGGAAACCATTACTCCGCAATTGTCGAGGGAGGAATTTCGAAAGAAAAAAAAAAAAAAAAAACCGGAGGCATCTTGGAAAGTGATTATGGAATTGATCATGCTTTTCCACCCAGGAGTGATATTTAAATGGTTTTATTGCTCAAGAATTTTCTTTCCCTTTTCACTTAAATAAAGTAAATGAAGAAATTCGCAAAAATATACATACAAATGTTGTTGCCAAATTATGTCGTCTTACGGTCTTGACCCGGTATTGTTAACGTAATTACGAGACATTTGGGGCCTCGTGGGCTGTCTGGAATGTGTCCTTAATTTTTCATTCATTTTCGAAAGTGTCGCGCCCCTGGACGCACCCTCGCATTTGTATTTCCATTTGAAAGAACAACTCCCCGCCCGCGCAATCCATCGATCTCGCTCCCAGACCGTCAATCAGTCATCGATTGCGCTGAGAGCTATCTGAAATAACGCGTGCCGATCAATAACGATCGCTTCTCGCAAAAAGTGGCTCGAAAAAGCATTCTTCGCGTGAAAAATCACAACTTCCACGAAACTAAATTTTTTCACGATTAATTATGAAAACATATCGTCGTCGCTACTAATCTTGCTGATTATTAAATGGACGACTAATGAGGATTGGAAATTAAATGGGTTGATATTTATTTTATTAATTTTTTTAGAAGTTCCAGGGCGGACCAATTACGTCGATTTCCACTTTCAATTTTGTTGCAGATTCTATTATGAGTTCTGCTACGGCTTTGTTGCGGGAAAGAGATTTTTTAGCGATTTTTCTCGTCTTCCAGAGACGACCCTGAAGAGCTCCTCAGGGGGAGACACCGTCATCCCGACGATGACAAGCACGATGACGACGAAGACGATGGTGAAGACTGGGGCAAACGACGAAGACTCCGCTGAACTTCTCGCCCGGACAAAATCGAAACCCGTGGCGAGAAAGAGACAGCTCGAGTCTTCGTCTTCGAGGCTCGAGACACCAAGGAAAAATCCCCGCCATGACGATAACCTTCGAGGGAACGATGACGAAAAGTCGCTGACAATTTCGGGAGGGTTACAAACTGGGACCTCGAAATCGTGCCAAAATGACGAATTAATTGCCCAGTCAACGAAAGGCTTCGAGAAGAGCAAAACTGCCCTGGAGAGTGGTTCGATCGTTGACAGAACAGACGATGAAGAAGAAGCCTCGAAAAGGAGCCCGAGTAATGGAAATGGAGATCACTCGGAAATTGAAAAAGTTCCCCAGGTCGTGCACCAGGATGTCAAAGAACTATTAAAGGAAGATGCTGAGAAGTTCCCCGCAGCTCGCGGAGACAAATTCACGGCTGGGAAAACTTGGATGGAAAACGGCAGAGAGAGGACGGAGATCGGGGTCGAGGGTTCTGCAAGGGAGATGACGAAGAGGCCTCTGAAGAAATTGTCGAAAAAGGGTATCCAGGGAAAGGGTTCGGAAAATCTTGAGAATTCGGAAAAAAGGGCCGTCAAGAGATGTGCAAAGGGGGATGAAAGTAACCGGAGGAAAAGAAACCGCTCCGAGGAGGTGAAGAGGCCACAGGATGTCACTCCGAGTGGCAGAAAACCTGAAGAGTCCCGTCAGAATGTCGATCGAGATCCGATGAAAATTCCCGAAAATTCAGAGACCTTCATGAGCGAGAACTCGACCTCCGAGAAATTGGAGCAGACGTTGGAGAGGGAAATTCGAGGAGACGAAGACGACCACGCTTTGAAGGGAAGTTTGGAAAGTGAGGATTGCAAGGATCTTGAGGTAGCCAGAGCGGAAGAAGACTCGAGGACCTCGAAGAGGCCCGTTCTGCATGTCGAAGGACCTCGAAGAGAAGTTACAAGGACGTCTAGGAGGGACGACTCCGAGAGGCTGAGGAAGACCATCTCGTGGCTCGAAGAAGGGGCGAGAAGGATGAGAGAAGATCTCGCCAGCACGAGGGCTGAACTTCACGAAGAGAGACGAGCTGCTAGAATTATCAAGAGAGAGATGGACACAGCAGTGAGGGAGGCGAGGAACGCGGAGGCTGCCAAATATCAGCTGATCGTGACAGATCTGAAGACAAGGTGAGCGAATCGGATTCAGCGTTCATTCTATTTTTTTTTCTTCCCACGGTCCAATTTTTCGAAACATATTAAAGACTCTGTAAAGATGAACAAAAGAGGTTTCCAATTCCATGGAAAAAATCCTACAAGTGCGATATCATTTTCATATCACCTTAAGGAGGTCACTACTCGCTGCAAGTCGACCTTAATGGACCTCTCGTGGTTGTCGTAGGTGTAGGCTCGTTGTTCGGTGGTTTCCAACAAGCCCATTGTTCAAGTCGAAGGCGGATGCACGTTGGTAGTAAGGTGGATTCTTTTTTGGCCGATCTGTGACCTCTCGGCGATGTTCTTTACAGACTTTCCCAGTCTCCTTCGCGGTCCACGTCGGAATCGAGCGCGTCCACGACGGCGAAGGCCGAGATGCTGAAGGAGGAGAATCGCCGCCGAGAGATGTCGGCGTTAAAAAATCGCCTTGGAGAGGCCGAGGCGACCGTAAGGAAACTCAAGGCTGACTCCTTGGATCCCGGATGTCCGGGGAAACGCAGAAAACTCGACCCGGTCGCACCTATCGACCTCAGGAAACTCGAAGCCGATCTCCGAGACGCTCGCCGGCTGAACAAATCTCTGGAGGAGAAATTGCACGTAAGGGCTCACGTGGTTATTATCAAGATTTGATATTAAAACCTATAAAAATAATTCTTTTGGCAAATCCTGGGAAAAGGCACCACGAGGAAGAAATTTCTTCGTGGGCTATGCTCTACTTTTTCTATACAATATTAAATACTCGGAGAAGAAAATAACGTAGGTGAAGGATTCTTAAGTATTCTTCTATTTGAAGGTAATTTAAGCCCCTGCAGAATGTGGACCCGCCATGCTCGGCTGCTCAAAGAATAACCATGTTTTAGGTGCCCGACATAAAGCTTAACACGATGATTAATCACCTTATCGAGTCATAATCTGGGGTCATATTTTAAATTCATCACGTGAAAAATCGACTTTGCAGACTTTCCACGCAGCACCGGAAGCGTAGTCTTGCGACGATTCGAGTTGCCCTGAAAGGAGACTCGATCGCCAGGAAGTCGATTCTTCTCCTTTTTCCGTCGATTCTTCCTTTTCGAGCCGGTGTCTGGAAGCCTTCTCGGAATTTCACTTTCACGAAGAAAGGCCTCGCTCTACGCGTTACGTGTCACGTTTCCTTCGGTCTGCGAATTGAATTATTTTATCCGCCCGGACGGGTTCGGCGGGCGGGAATGAAAGTACAACTCTCGGTTATCATTTGACGCCATAGGTACTCGAAGTGCCAAGATGAATTATCGACCAGGATAACGTTCCGGAGTGTCACTTAATCTCTACGTCTTTATTCGCCGCCTCGAAGCCCGATTTAATCCCCCACCCCCGCGGGGTGATAAAGACAATTAGATCACCTCGGGGCGCTCTTTGATACGGAAATGCGATTCGCGGGGATTTAATCCGATCACGCGAGTCACCGACTAGGGAATTAGCCCTCGCCTAGGGGAATTAATCGCCCTTAACCCTTTTAAGCGCTTTCTCAAAGCTTTGGAGCTACCAAGATGAAGCCTCTCCCTCTGAGAAAATCAAATTCATCTTACGACATTAATCTTATTTAAACGATAGTTGCAATTTAATACACCCAGGGGATTCCACGACATATCTGCATATCGCACAGTCGGACAAATTATTAGTATTACTCTATAAATATGAACGAACAGGAACGTCCGCTTAAAAAAACAATCCGCAAACCATACATTATTTCCGGGGTAAAAAGTCGCAGGAAATCGATCGATCGATCAAATGACCATTATCATTCTCGCTGAATTCCCGGCATCGAGCATTTATTTCTCCGGGGTGTATTTTTTTTTCTTTCTTTCGTTCTCTTTTTTCCTTCCTTCACCCACGGAATTGCGAAATCCCCCGGATATTCGTCTATCGTCGACCGCCAACGCGCGATTCCCGCCCGGCGGTTTCTCGATTGCATGAAATAAATTCCAACCGGTGGGGATTTTTCTGTCCAGGTCGTCTCGGAAGCTGAGAGAGCTCGAGCAGCTGACCTCAGAGCGCAGCACGAACGCCACGAGGCCGAGCTTGTCATTTTGCAAAGAACATTACGTGCAGACACCATCAAAATGGTGAGTCAGCTTCTCCTTCTTCCCCCTTGAACGGCTCCGGAATTCCGCTCGCCCTTAACAGTGATTTAAGGTGCTATGAAAGTGTGACATACACACATACCGAAAAGTGAACCTATCTGTCAAACTTTTCTCCAAACTGGGTGCACCGAATTATTTTCAACTTTAACACGTGATTACGGAGGCTCCAAGGAAGAACGCGCAGCTTGTGAGATTTCAATTTTCGAAAAGAAACTTTCCATTTATCTCGAACAAGGGAAGATATTTTTTTAATATCTGATTATTATTTTTAATATCTAATATGTCAGGTGCGAGGTAAACGAAAAAGCTAAGAAAAGAGGTATTCAGCAACGCCCTTCCGGAGTGCCGTATTTAGCTCGATGGTGGATCTTGATCAGAGGGATCGAGGATCTTGCGAGATCTCGCGGAGATCCTCCAGATACGCGATCTCTGTCGTCGATCTCGTGCGAAGGGCACGGTCGGCCATTAGTCTTGACTACGATGATTTCGGGGACGTGTGCCCCGGGGCGCGGGGGTGTGGTTAAGGCCCTCTGGCACGCGATATACTCCCACAGTGGAGTGGCCGGCAGGACCCGGTGATTAAAATTTCGGGGCCCGGGGGCCCCGAGTCTGGGAGCGGCGGGGAAAGTGCTGGCCCCGCGCGCGCCCTGCGGCTCCGGGCCTCGACCGGTCAATAGTTTCGCCGGCCGCGGGAATGCTTGCCATGCCACTGCGGTAGGAGTCCCTACGGGCCCCCCGTGTAATTACACGAAATACCTTCCCACACTATTTTTAGGATTTTTGCGTGCACGCTCCAATTTGCCAGATTGACCCTTCCTCCCCGGCTCGCTGTGACTGCGGCCCGCCCCGCGCGCCCCGCACAATTACGGGGTAATGGCCGATTTAGCGATGAAAGTAATCCCCCTTAATCACTGTTTTCCTTGATTTCGAGGTCCTTGTCTCCCCTGCGAGATCCTCCGTGCGACTCGAGGTATAACGCGGTTTGTTGTGACTTTTACGAGGGCGAGCACTGATTTAAAGTGGAAGATGCAGAGGGAAGGCAATATGGCGGCGAAGGGATCGACGCCTACATTTTCAAATGGGACTCCTATTTAATGGAGGGCTGTTTTTTAGTTCCAATTACTCGCATCGAATTCTCTCAGGGCCTGTTTAGAGATTCCAGTAAACATTTTGGATCTGTCGTCGATGGTTACAGAGAATTTAAGCTTTGAATTTACGAGGTGGTCCAAGTCACCCTTTATCCCCGATCCCTGGGGAGTATTTTTCGCCTCGAAGTCGCGAGGTGGCCGGGCAAGCACTCTGCCCCCAACATGGCGCGTTTAATTATCCTTTCTCGAGTCGCCAGTAAAGATTAGCCGGTCACTTCGGAGGAGTGCTCCATTACTCGGAGCCCTCATTGTCGCGGTGGGTTTTTACCGATACCGAGAGAGGTCAACCGAGTGGAATTCGATCTCTCGAAGCTTCCTTCCTGGCACCCTTATCGCGTGATTCTAATGGCGTGGCGTCCATCTTCCCGCACGCCGTCGATTTCTAGGTCGAATTCCTCGTAATACCCGCGGCGGGTGATGCGCTCTCTTTCCACGACCGATAAGTAGGTAACTCGCGTAAACCCCTCATAACCCGTTCGTTATGTAGCAATCGAACGCTCCTCTCCGGGAAAAAACACGCAGTTCCTGATACGGGGTCTCTTCCTGCATCTTAACACCGTTTAAGGTGATACGGTCATTCTATACATGTATTTTTATTTATTTATTTTTTTTATTTACACACTTCCGTCCTTCGTTTTGCACCCACTTCCGGTGGAAAAAAAAAAGCTCTGTCCCCGTCCTTGCACATTACTCGGGGAGCGTGTGAATTTCGACCTCGTGGTCAAAACTGGTTTCTCTGGCGGCATGGCAGCGTGGGAATACTCGGTCATACGTGTACTTGGCGTCGGACTCTACTTGCTCGCCGCAGTGCAGGTTGCATTATTTGATATTCCGTGCTCGAGCGAGTCTTGCACTCGTTACGTGTACTCGCGGTTTCGTCGGGCTGGAGGAGACACTTCTCGGTGCATTCCGACAGTTACTTAAGAACAATGCAACGGACGCACACATGCGCATATATAGTTTCTGAATGTAAGGATTAATAACTGCATTTAACTTTGCAATTGACGCCACTTTGAGTTCGTTATTCGATATTTATTTCTTTTTTTTTTTGTATGATGAAATTACGTGTCAATGTTGCATTGTGTCCAGGGTAGGTTGCTTTACCCGATTATAGGGGGATAAGAAAAACGGAGAAAGAGGAGTAGAGGGGGTCACGGGTTACTGCCAGTCACTCAAGGATAACTCGAGTCAACGATCAACGATATTATCGTTATCCCAACGAGTAATACCGATGTGGATTGATTCATGGCCTACCATAAATTCAAAATTCGACCTCGCTTGTGGAAATTTTTAGTTAGTGATTATTTTTTTTTTTTTTAGTTAGCTTTTAGAACGTAAATCGCCAATGTCACACAGAAAATCACTACCCAATTTTCCACGGATGCCAACTTCTCTTAACAATGCGGACTTTCGATAACGGGTAACCAGCCTTTGAGGCCAGTTTCGCAACCGCGATCGTAAAGCTATTATCGACAATCTTTTGCGGGATTTTTAATTTCCAAACTTGTTTGCATAATGGCCAGCATGGCGATAGAAACTGAGCGCCATTAAGTCGGTGGTAATTAACTTTCTAATGTTTCGTCAAACCCTCGACAATGCACGGTGTCATGTGCACTACCCTCGTAGCCATTTCCCTAAAGAAACCTTGAAGAATGAATTTTTGTCAAAGACACCTCTACATCAGTAATGAAAACCAACCCTCCGATATTTTATATACAAACAAATATCGACTAATTGCATTTTAAATACACTAAACTTTTGATTATTTCATTTATTACTTCACTCTTTTCTCACTATTAGTTCGACTAATCATGCGCGGCCATTTTGTTTATTCCCTTTGCCGCGATTCGCGGCGATAATGGAACAATCTATTGATACATTTCATTGAACACTTGCTCGACAATCGTGGCCTCGTTACGTGCTGGCACGTAGGAAATTCTTTAATTCCCTGCAACGTGAATAGACGAAAAAATCGAGATCGTAAGGTCGCTCCCTTTCCGGGGACGTTGGGTGCGCGCGCACGCGCCGTTGTTATTAAGACGCCATTCGGAGTGGAAACTGGGAAAGGTGCTTGCAATCGCAGTTAAAGGAGCAAACCGAGCCGAGAAAGTTTACAAGCTGACCTAACGGTCGGTGCTTTGATACCGAGCAGGCAGTACTGTCAAGCGTACCCGTGTTTTATAACCTCGCTTATAGGTTAGGGCGCACGTTGCAAAGGATTCGATATTCCTGCACGGATGGACACGCGACTAAAGCGGCAATAGCGTTAATAAGGAAGTGAGTCCAGGCATATAATTATATTGATTGCGGGATTTATAGGATATTAATAATCTAATCAGATCTTTAGCGCAAAGAGGGCGGGGCAGGAAGAGGTTAGCTAATTGATTCGAATTCCGCCCCCGTTAATCTTTAAGGCAGTCGAAGGATTGTTTTCAATATCTTAAGTCCTGTATCCATGACCGAAGGACGTGATCGTCGACACAGGGCTTTAGAATATCTGATCTTACGCGATTCTCAGGGTAAGTTCCGTCGAGGCATAAATATTTCACGGTATTACATAAATACGTCCGAGTACGTGCGATATGCGCACGCGCGGTCGCGGCTTGGAGGCCGCGAAAACGAGTTGGAGCTTTCACCACCGCCGCGACACTCCGGCGGCGCCACGATCGATTTCGACCTCGCGGCCTCGGTGAAAGTAACGCGACGTCTGCCAGATTATCGAACCGAATCGATCTATCGAGTCGAGCTTTCTTCGCAATCGGCAAGATAAGACGGCCGATCGGTGGGAACAGCCTTGCTCTGGAATTTCTTTTCCCTTCGCCTTTACTTTTCACGGCGCATGCGCGCAAGCATTCCGCGCCGCGAACGAATCCGGGCGGGAGCACTGTAAACAAGATCATTAACGGAAATTTAATTAAATTCCTTGATATATTATTGTGAACTTTGTGAGACATTTTTCATCGGGTTAGATAATTCTATGGTAATGAATGTGCATGGATAATATGCTTAGGGGGGGAATAATTTAGGTGTTTTGCTTGTAATTCTTGTTCGTAACGAGATAGTCTATTTGTCGAATTCTCTGTCGTTGAACTCTTTTCTCTCTAGTTTGCGGTCTCTTTACCAAAGACTGCTCGAACAGGTTTCCATTTCGATTATTATACCCCACGGGTGCACGTGATACCGAGCTGGACGACATTATACGAGAAAGTAGCTTTAAGACCCGCTCATTCCATATAAAATAATAATATAAGTCGATAATCGGTCATTCGGGTCTCATTAGATCGACTTTACTTGCGCTGCAAATCGGAGCGTAAATCTACCTTTTCTAGGGGAAGTCGCAATCGAGATTAAACTCTGCCACCTCGTAAACGTTTCTTTCCCCCTTTTTGTCATCAACTTCATATGAAATGAAATGAAATAAAATTAAATAAAATTAAATGAAATTAAATTAATATACCACTCGCGAGACTTTCTTGCGCGTATTCCTTGCATTTCCGAGCACTGACGTCACGTTACTCGTACTTGCACCCGCGGTACTAAATCCGAAATGGATTACCGTTAGAAAATTGAAACATATTAAATATTCATAACGCGACGTCGGGTCCGGAATTTGGCGCACGGTGAATCTAAATTCATTAGACCAAGACAAGCCAGATGCATATATTACGTCGCGTGTAATTGTTAACAACTGTTAGTCCAATGACGGAGTGCCGTAAAATCCCGGAGGAATTTATTAAAGAAATATGAGAAAGGCATAAATTAACACTAATACGTACCACCGTTCGCGTTTATCAGTCTAATGTACCTATTCATTAGTTTATACGATTTTAATTCCGTTGGAGAGCGTCGACGCCGCTCTCTATGTTAATTTACCGGCCGCGAGTTTCCGAGCAAACGGGAGAGACATTCGTGGGCATAAATTAACGCCGATCACCAATGTCAATGCAGCACCGATCGATCCTGCGTTTCTAGCAATTTGCAAGGATTAGCAATGGGTTTCTTGCGCAAACCTAGCGAGAGGCAAGGTGAAGGCAAAGGCCCCTCCTTAATGGCGTAGACGCGGCCGATGGGCAAGAGACTTTCGCCTGGTCGTTGCCAAGACAAAAAGCCAAAGGAAACCCGGGGAACGATCGTTGAACTCCCAGACAGAGGGTTTTCGAGACCAATAATCGGTCACGGAGGATAATGCGGGGGGAAAAAGTAACGAGGGCCCTTGTGAGTCAGACTTCGAAGGCCGTTAAAAGTATTTCGACCTACTTCGAGAAGGAACTGGGTCGGCCATTTTGGTCTTCCTAACGAGGAAAACCTTCCCTTAATTCAAGGATAATTTGGACTATCTACAGGCCAATGTGATTAACTCCACTTGCAGAGCTTCTATAAATTTAGGGCACTTGATTGCTACTTCACTTTTTTTGTTTACCAATTTTCCCTACTTTCTCTTATGTGGAGTTAATCGCCGATTAACCGATTAACCGATAATTAGTACGTATTGCGAATCTTGCTAGGAAAATGTTATAAAATAGCAGTTTTTTCTTTAATGTTGAAGAACTCGATTTGACTGCTCAGATTATGAGTCACCTTCATCGCGTATACGCTTTTGTCTGGAATAAGTATTATAAATGTGTTATTATTTTTTTTTTGGTTTTAAACATTCTCTTGGTCTGTTTTAGATGGACGAGTTGAAAAGTAAGGACAGGGAGATCGAGAAGCTGGAGAAACTCTTGAGAGAGCTGCAAGCTCTGAGGAAAAAGTCGAGAATCAAAGACGAGGAGGCGGTAAGTAGATTTGCAGAAAGTTTGTTTAACCGGGAGTTTGAGTAATTAGGTGAATTAATCTCTGCTAGTTGTTCTTGACTTTCGGAGAGAGAAGGTCCAAAGTAAAGCGAGTACAGTCTTGTACCTTCGTATTGCAAGTGGGTAATTATTTTAAGTCTGACGGAGACCCGAGATGATTCTTTTTCATCGTAGAATAACTGTTTTGTGGATCGAGTATTGTTTTTAAATTGTAAAATCGAGTGGTGAGGAGGCTTATTTCCGTAGAATGCATCGCCTCACCTCTCGCATTAAATCGTTGACGGACGGGCACTGGCTCTGAGTTTTATTTCGAGAATGACAAGATGAGATCATTTTGCGGATAGTGACGTAAGAAGTAACCCACGCATTGAACGTAATGAGAAAATCAAGGCCCGGTAAGATACTCATTTGCAATTTCATGAAGACATTTTCAATAGAGGTTCCCTCTCACGAAGCAGTCCAAGGAAACGTTTCTACCAGACTACAATAAGATTGCTAGATTAATTATCAGCACCAACTGCACGCGACTCCATTATTTACAAATAATATCTGGATCAACAGAAAATACGGACACGGAAGGAAGTCGGTTTGAAGTATTTCATTCAATGAATTGAGAGCAAAAATTAAATTAAACGTATGAAGAAAAACACCGATTACTAACAATTGATACAGAGGGAGGTTAGGTTAGGTTAGAAGTACGTATAATTTTTAGGGGAGAAAGATTTTGCCGTGAAATGTGTTATTGTCAACAATTCCATGGCGAGGTGCGATATTCGACAGATCCGGCATTTTACGGGCCAACATTTCGGGGACATAACGGGCTTTTTTCTGGTAATGGATTTTCGATCGGCCGTTTAAATGCCGGCGAATGTCGCCTCTGACTGACATGACAGTGGCTGGTTAAACTCGTGAAAGCTCCCACAAGGAACGATTAGCTTCTCTTTTAAGGCGATAACTCGCAGTCTTTCTCTCTCTCTTTCTCTCCTTTCTCGGTGATAACGCCAAACTCCGGTCAGCCGTGGCACTCCGTCAAAGTCTCGGCATGCCCGCCATCTTATTGCCGAAACTCTCAAGAACGGTTCCTTTAAAAGGCGCCGTGGCCGGTATCGTTCGGGGATTATTATTGATGCTTGCTTTCACGATATAAACGAGCATTATGACACGCGAACCTATATGCTCGAGACACTTTCTTAATGCACGCCGTAACGCGAAAGATAGGGCCCTGGAAATTAACACCTCGAGGGCCCCCGAGCGCCGCCATCTTGCGCGTCCCTGAATTTCGACGTTTTTCAACTTCCTTTTCATCTTTTTCTTCTCTAAACCACTATTTCAATGTTATTACATGTGTGGAAGTGAAATGGAGGGAATAATTTGCTCTTTTGGATCATTGCTCGAAGCCAAGGCATCGAGGAAAAATATTAAAATCGACTTGCTAATTTTCTAGCCCAAGGCGAGCGTGAAAACTCACCCACGCATTTTATGTTCATCGGGCGATGATGCTTTTCTAGGACATCACTTCTGATTAAGAAGAGGCAATCAGAAACTAAATTAAACGAGTAATTTACTCCAATCTCCGCGATGCATCGTGGGTTTGAATTAAATATTCTAATTACACCGAAACATTGATTGATCACTTCACCTTGCAGAATGCTAATGCATGTGGTATCTCTGCAGCCATTTAATGATACAATAATATTCAAGGATATAAATTTAATAAAATATTTCTTTGATTGGATAAATTTTTTTCTCCGCGTAGAGGTGTTCAATGTTCAAATAGTATTTCGTGTTTGATATTTATGTAGTTTATCGGGAAGAAATTGTTGTGGAAATTAAGTGAATGGGTCGTCACGCAATCCTCGACGCAAAATGGAAGACGCGAGTTTGCGGGTTTTTCTAGAGCACGTGCAACTTTTACTCCTGCCAATTATGAGAGCACCTCCAACTAATTCTCCGTTGTCGTTAGCTCTTCTCGTGCCCTGGAAATCGAGAGATCTCCGTTTCGCACACGTTTCCATAACGTGCGTATCTGGAGCGAAGAGTCAGGACACGCACGGACGACTAGCAATAAATCGGAGGGCTTATCCACGCACGTGCGTATTTTTATATCCTCCCGAAGTCCATCAACAATTTCCTAGTTGGAATATTTAAACGACCAAGTTTCTTCCGTCTTGTAAAAAATGTACATGAACGAGTGACTAAATTCGCCTTGAAAAAAAATGGGAGACTGGTAATATTATCGGGAGAAGATGGAGGAGATCGTGATAAAAAAAATGAATGCCTTGTATTAATTCGCAATTCGATAAAAAAAATTGTGGGGAATTTTTCGCGCAAATTATTGGAGCGTTTCTCACCGCGCCTCGATTTAAAAGCGATTAAAGCCGCGTGTATTGTTTCTAAACACGCGATAAGCCTCGATCGAGTCGGAAATTGTATTTAAAACAGACCAGGTATGTCAAGTGGGCGAAGTTGATATTTTTCTTTTTTTTTCTCTCTTTTTTCTCGCGAGCATAGTGTTTCCCTTTGATTGCTGGGAGCCTTTATCGGCGACTCGATTTAACAACTGGCCGTTCATGTGCATTTACAATTTACGTACTTGTAATTTACGCAAGACCAGGTTGGTAGGCAATAAAATATGCCACTCACTGAAATCGACGTCGATTAAACGTTTGTCGGAGAAGTGAACCACTCACAGATTAGAAATCAGACTTGGTCCAATAAACGCGTGATGGAAAACCACGTTGCGTACAATGCACGTACTGGCCTTTTTCATGCTCTCATAAAATCTGGTCATCTTAATTTTTCTGCCACTCTCTCCGATTTCGTCGCCGAGTTGTCAAAGGTAAGCGGAAAAAATAGAGCCCGGAAAATTGCGCAATTCGAGGCCGAACCGTGAACGAAAATCAAATTAGAGAGTACTCTCACGCGAAGAAGAAATAAAGAAATAGAGAAGAAGTAAAAGTCCAATCGGAATTCATTTACCGTGCATAAGAAATATTAATCCGCTCTGAATAAACTCCTTACGTCCAATTATCATCCAATTAAACCCGACGAGGAAAAGAAAAGACGTTTTGGAAACCCTTTAACCTACTTATCCTTAAATTGTAACGTTCAATTTATGTGGAAAGTAAGAAGAAGTTCCTAGAGAGATTACTTTTACTTCCCATGTTTTTCTATATTTTTGCAGATTAATGTCTCCCCCTTCCGGTTTATTTTGAAATATATTGAAATTATTTATTAACCCTTTACCTTACTTATACCAGGTCTTGGAGTTAATTAACTGCGTATTGCCAAAATGTCTTGGAGGGCAATGGGTTAAGATGGATCTTATGGGCCCTTCGGAAATGGATCATTCAATGGATAATTTCAGAATATCTCGAATTTCCGCATTATCGGCTCTAATTGAGGGAATTATTTATTGTAAAAGGGGTAATTTCATGGTCCTTCGGGAGTGGTAATTCAGCTCTTAAGAGAGATGGTCGCAGACCGTTAGCTGAAGAACAAGAGGAACGCTACGTTCCGCGTTGGTTATCGCGTTACGTCGTAGAATACGTGAGCTCCGAACGACCTGACCCCGAAGCGAGCGTGAGTTTAATAACTTCATTAAAATACAATTATGCTTAACGAAGAACGCCAGGCATCGACTTCCTTCCTGCTTTCAGGCCTACGTTGGGTTTCTGCGTGTACCTTATTTGGAAACGAGTATCCCGCGAGTACTGATTAAATTCCTCGCGAAAATATGGAGGAACTAGGACCTTAAGAACTCCAGCGAAAAAAAAATTCGAAAAACGCCAGGAATTCTATTTTACGGAGAGAAAAAAAAATTTCATGAAATGGGTTTATTAGGGCTTTGAGAATTTTTTTTTTTTAGTGAATCTTGAATTTTTAGTTACTCGAAAACGAGTTTGACAGTCCAGATCCACGAGATTTTTAAATGCCACGGCCCAAACGGGAACTCCAGGTGAATAATGCGAAAAAAAAGTATATATAACGCTTTAACTGTAAAAAAAGAAACGAATATAAAGTGGGACAGTGGACTTCTTTACTCGCAGTTCCTCTTTTTATCTGGTAATTTTTGGATCCGTGAGTCACGGTGGAAAAATTCCCAAATGTTCTGCACTGCCTTCCTGTAAATGTCTGCGAATGAACATTTCATTCTCTTTGTCAGGAATAATTAAATGATATTCGAGGTCCTGCCGTCTCATGCTTGCAGGAGGGAAATGATTGAACGTTGTTATTAATGATACATTATTCTGTGGTTTTAAGAGTGTTTGGGGAGACGTGAATGGTGATAAACTTGAGACCCAGAGAAATGGGAAAAGGAGTCCACGAGACAATTCCCTGAAATTGGAGTAAACAGTACAGAGGTAAATTACCTCTCGCCAAAATGGCGGAGGAATGCCTTGGCAAATTGCTCGAATTAAATTGTCGCGTTACGACAGGGCCATTTTTCGTGCCATCTTGGGTAATCAAGGGGCTAAAACAATACCGGCTAATAAAGCACTGCACTCGGAATAATCACTTCCAGAAAGCGAGAACTGCACTTGGCCGTAGAAAATAAAAAGTCCAGAGCCGTAGGTGAAATAACGAGTCCCCGGAAAATGTCTCCGCAATTGTGCGCAGCCAAAAAAGGGCATCTTTATCGCCATCTTGATAGCTAATTACCGACCGTTACGCACACGCACTGTATACGTGCTGCAGCTCGTGTACCGTTTTATGTTGTACTTCGCGAAGGAAGCGAAAGAGATACCGGCAGTAACCGAGTGGAGAAATTACTCCCCTAGGGAGATCCGGAGGGGAATGGTTTGCAAAATGAAAATAGAGTAAAGGAAAAAGAAAGAAAATAAAAACCGAAGTCGAAGGCTATGAACGGAGAAATTGCCCCCTTAGGGAGGCCGAAGAAGTAACAACGCGCAGACCGAGAGTAAACACGAATAAATAAAAACAATTGAAAGCAAAGAAACGATCATGACTTGATTACGATC